TTCACATTGAAGATCTAATTGTCCAAAAACAAATAATCTATCTGGTCCATAAATCAAAGGACAAAGCACCACTTCAGGGGCATTGTCAACTTACCGTGATAGTTCTTGTTTTACATAACTTGGTCAGTCTTCAGCTCAGGATAAACACATGTATGTGTGTATCACACAGATTGTGAAATTGTTGAAATATTCATAAACACCCCGTGATGGTCACTCGTGCCACACTAGAGTATACGAAATAAAATACCTGATTTACCTCCACTGATTAGTTCTTCTGTTAATCTGATGACTTGTGAATATGAAGAATAATCTTCAAAAAAAGAAAAAGAAGAACTATTGCAAAGAAAAACTATTGTACAAAAACGTTTTGATTGCTTTTGGTAGATTGAAAATTATTTTCTTGCCATCTGAATTACATATTAAAACCAGACAAGCACTGCGCTTGTCTTGCTCACAACGAGGTTATGGTGCTCACAACGAGGATTAAAGCAAAAAAGAGTATATCTTCGTTTCTATGAAGACTTTAAGATAATAATTTACGCTGAAGACTTGTGGGCATCTGTTTTAGGTTAGAATGCACAAAACGTCACCAGAATCGACGTTTTCAATGTTAAAGTAGGTCCAAAGAGAAGTTGTCTCCAGTTTTCCAGCTACCCCGAGTGACTGCGTCGCACGGTATTTTCATCAAATTGTCCACCAACAGGCAATATCTTTACATGTGCATACTCGGAAAACACATCGCTAGCTAACTGCATTCCGATATTTTTACATAAATGTCTGTAATCTTCAAAAATTATGAAAAACTCACCTTGTTTATCGTGTCACTCGTCATAGATGGGAGCTCACAACGAGGAACGGAAGTTGCTCACAACATTTTTACCGATGAACATTTTTCACTCGTTGTGAGTTAAACGGGCGTGGATAACAGACTACCTTAGATTGCTACAGACAAAGTCTAGTGATCATCCATTAATTAGTTCTGTGTAAAAGTGTTTAGCTCTAGAGGCCCCGAAAAGGGGCCAATCAAATTATTTTAAACAAATTTGATAAAAGACTATAATTATAAGAATTAATGCTACAAGCCAAGTTTGGTGATCACAAATCAATTAGTTCAGTAGAAAATGATGTTTTAAAGTTTTTTTCTATTTTAAGCTTGAGCGGTCCCTAAAAGGGGCCAATCAAATTAATTTGAGCAATTTTGAATGAAGAAAGATATACTACTTAAGAATGCTACAGAAAATGTTTGGTGATCATCCATCAATTAGTTCAGTAAAAAAATGCTTTAAGGTTTTTCTATTTTTAACTTAAGCGGCCTCTAAAAGGGGCAAATCAAATTACTATGAGCTAATTTGTTAAAAAAACTACATAAGAATGGTACATACAAAATTTGGTGAGCAGCCAAAAATTAGTTCAGTTAAAGGTGGTGTTTAAAGGTTTTTTATTTTTAGCTTTAGCGTTTAGCGGGGGGGGGGGGCTAATCAATTTAATATGATCAAATTTCATGAAAAAAACTACTTAAGAATGCTACAGACACAGTTTGGTGATCAACTATCAATTAGTTCAGTAGAAGAGATGTTTAAAGGTTTTTTTCTGTTTTTACCTATAGATCGAGGCCCCTAAATTAATTTGAACAAATTTGATTACAGACCGTCACCGTCTAAGACTGTTACAAACAAAGTCTGGTGATCATCAATTAGTTAAGAAGAAAAAGATGTCTTAAGGTTTTTAGCTCTGTTGACGCCTATTGAGGCATTGAAATTTGACTACTGCTACACACCAAATTTGGAGTAAATCTATCCAGCAGTTTCAGAGATAACGTCTGACGACGGACGCCGGAGAATCCTTCACCTCAGCTGAACCTTCGCTAATACTTATTAATTGTTTAGAAAAATATCATTCAAAGGGTCAATGTTTTCTGTAAACTGCCGAGTCAATTATATTCATTCTGTACAATTTCGAATTTCTTTATTTGCCACTGCCTAAAATCGGGATGTGTGCTTGAGCTTAACTGAAAATATCAATTTTATAATGATATTGAAGTCAAATTAACCATACTAGAATAGAAAATAAAATAAAATAGAATAAAAAAGTGGAGTGTAAAGAGAAGAACAGCACAGAACAGAACAGAACAGAGCAGAACAGAATAGAATAGAATAGAATAGAATAGAATAGAATAATTATAATAAAACATGTTTTTGTGTCGCCTCTACGGAGTAGTGGCGACATATAGGGATCACTTCTCCGTCGTCTGTCTGTCCGTCTGTCTGTCTGTCTGTCTGTATGTCTGTCCGTGCGTCCGTCACAAAACTTGTCCGGACTACTCCTCATAAACTACTGGTGCAATTTCATCCAAACTTTACAGGAATGGTCAGTACCAAGTCTAGTTGTGCATATTGTCAGCATTTTCCGGTTCAATGATTTTTGTCAGAGTTATGGCCCTTTAATAATTTTTAATTTTAAAGTTTGTCCGGACTACTTCTCTTATACCACTAATGCAATTTCAATGAAACTTTACAGGATTGATCTGTAGCTCAAGTCCTTGCGCATATTGCACGGGTTTTCCGGTTGAATGATTTTTGGCCGAGTTATGGCCCTTTGAAAAAAGGTGTTTTTTTCTGTGTGTTGCCAGATACACAAAAGCTTGTCCGGACTACTCCTCATAAACTAATGGTGCAAATTCATCCAAACTTTACAGGAATGATCAGTACCAAGTCTAGTTGTGCATAGTGTCAGCATTTTCCGATTTAATGATTTTTCTTAGAGTTATGGCCCTTTAATAATTTTTATTTTTTAAAGTTTGTCCGGACTACTTCAATTATACCACTTATACAATTTCAATGAAACTTTACAGGATTGATCTGTAGCTCAATTCCTTGGGCATATTGCACGGGTTTTCCGGTTGAATGATTTTTGGCCGAGTTATGGCCCTTTGATAAAAAGGTGTTTTTTTTCTGTGTGTTGCCAGATACGCAAAAGCTTGTCCGGACTACTACTCATAAACTACTGGTGCAATTTTATCCAAACTTTACAGGAATGATCAGTACCAAGTCTAGTTGTGCACTGTCCGTCTGTCTGTCTGTCTGTCACAAAATTTGTCCCAACATGAAATTTGCCTTCATGAGGCGACACATGTGATTACTGATCGCTCTTGTGTTGAATATGGGCACAGGCACGAGTATCGGACCTGGGAAGAAAAAATATGACCAGATTGATAAACAAAAAAGACCTGTGTTCATCTTAAAAGTGTCAAAAAAACCAAAAAACAAATGTAAATAATGACCCCCTTTAAAAATATACTATAAGTTAAGAGTTTGGAGTTTCCGGCCTTCTCTTAACTTATAGTATATTTTTAAAGGGGGTCATTATTTACATTTTTTTGACACTTTTAAGATGAACACAGGTTTTTTTATCAATCTGGTCATATTTTTTCTTCCCAGGTCCGATACTCGTGCCTGTGAATATGGGTAGATTTTATAATGATTCTTAAGAAATCATAAAAAAGGTTTTTAGAACAGAGTATCACAGAATACAAGCCGGGTACATTCACCTGTGCATTTTTGTGTGTCCTCACGTAAACAAAACAAATATTTACAAACAACGTACTGATATCACGGTTCAAATTACTGTGTTCATTTATGTTACTATTTCAAATATTTAAGTTTACTATAATAACGACTGCATTGTTTAAAGTATCTCATCCAAAGCATAAATAATTGGCATGAAGTCCAAAGGTCAGTGGGTAAATTCGGTGGAAACTTATGTATAATATATTTTCCATTGTCATTGGGAAAAGTTTTTTTCATTTCTTTTTTAATTTTTTTTCGGTGGCTTAAACTGGCAACTGTCACTTGACCAATAAGCATTTGTTTTCCAATTCTGTTTGTATAGGTTCTATTTCTTTGTAGTGCGGTCTTTCAAATATTTATTCTTTCTATTTGAAATACCCTGAAGTTAACTTTTATTTACAGTTTAATCAGATGGTTTAATTTTAAATGTTTGACCTTTGACAATACTTCTGCGATTGAAAGGCTTAAGTTTTCTTATTGACCAGTTAATAAGTCACGAGGTTGACAAAGCATAAACGTTTTTTTTTTCCAAACAAAGGGAGACTACTGCGTTGAGTTTAAATCGTGTTCAGTACAATGTATCGTCACTACTAAATTTTAAAGGCCCAGTAAGATGCTTTTTTCCGTTTCTCAAAAGGTTTTACATAGTACATTGTAAATATATATTTGGTTTCCCATTAAGCTGAAGTCCAATTATAGTTTTAAGTTTAGTGTGCGGAAGAAAAAAGCGTATTGTTGCCTACTTTTACAAATCATTCGGGTTCTTCTGCAGCCATGTGTTTAGCCCAACAAATTGTGCGCTTTAGGGCTTTTTTATATAGACGATGGTCGCCATTCGTAAAGACAGACATCTATGAAATATCAGATTATTAAATCGGTCTGTCTTGCAGTCGAAATATTGAGACTTTAATTTAGCTCCAAATCCAATTACAATATTATATAATAGATGTTTGTCCTTTTTACAGGGAAAAAATGTTATCATTTTTTAGGCTTAATGCGCCCGTAAGAATGTAATATTTAGCATGAGGCCTGGCATTGCTCGCTGATTTGATTGTGTACTCTAGGCAATGTACCTCTTTAGATTTTTCAGTAGAATCCTCCTTAATTGTCACAAATCTGAAGATCCGATGAATATATCCTATAACTTCCCAAACCTAATTTTACAAAATTAAAAAAGCTTTAAAAAAATTTCAGTGAGATAAAATCGTTCATGTATCAGTCTGCAGCTGTTTCACATACTGATGTTTTTTGATATGTTAAAAAAGTATCCTTTAACAGCAATAGGTTTAATAACTTTTTTTCATAGAGCGTCTAGCCATTTTAAGTGTATTGGAAATATTCATCCAAGCAGGGCCTCGATCACCGAGTGTGCGTTCGTCATGGAAAATTTTCCTCACCCACGTGTAGTATACAAAATCGATCTGCTTCACTACAACACTACAGCTGGCTATTGTGGCCAATAGAGAACTATTTTACAGAATTCTTAATTCAGGATATATTTCTAGAAATAAAATTGATTGTATGATTTGTAACTTTATTAATTGATATAAGTCGTTATTTTATTTCATTGTGTTCAGTAAATTTATCGTGTTCAGCTGCAAACATTAACTTTTGCTGTGATATTTCATGAAGATTGTCTACAATGCCGGTAAGTTATTTAATCGCCTTTGTCGGCTATGTCAGACTGCCCGCGACATTTCCCGCGTTTTCATTTTCATTGTCTCTATAATGTCGTATATATTGAGATAATTATTTTTTTTGATTTTGTGAAAATTTGTTCTTTGTGTTAAATATAAAATAATGCGGAATATAATGTAATTCCGCTAATTGTGGAAATAATTACATTAAAAAGTGTGCATATTGGCAGTATTCTTCGACTTTATAAGAATTCAGTCTTTGATGTAAAAAGAATTGACATTTTTTTTCAAAAAGTTGCAAATTTTGCTTTTAAACTATTGCAATTTGATTTTTTTTGGATGAAATTATTTATTTACTTTTTTAATTTTGAACTTTTTCCTCTACATTTGAAAAGCATTGCCATGCCTATTTCTTTGCATTATAATTACTTGAGAAAATATGTTAAACTCTATTTCATAAGTATAAAGAAGAGGCAGTAAAAAGTTTTCAAATGCTTCGACTAAAATATTTGAACACTTACCCCTTAAACCTAGCATCTTACCCTGCAACCAATACAGATAAGAAGATGTAAGATTCTAAATTTTACCATTATCCTGAAAAGTTAAAACCCCATGTATAACAGTATACTTCTTAGTTGATAATCATTCTAAATTGCTGTTGCCAGTTTGTCTTGTGTATGTTAATTTAATATTTTATTGTGGCTTTAAAATAAGTCCAAATTATAATTTATTTGTACAAAACATTTCAAAGAGATCTTGTACTACAAGGACAGGAAATGGGATGGGCAGGATTTATGTATTTAAGCCAATAAGCCATTCCTAGATTTGTGTAGGGTCAGTGGAGACTTTGGCAATAATTTCAGTGGTCATGATAGGGTCAATTACTACCATGGTACAGAGGTTACATTAGTACATTTATTACCAATCAGTTAGTCTTAATTTTCATAAAAAGCAAAACATTTGCATTTATTATGTTAAGATAATAATTCATAATAATTCACTAGTTGTAGTTTGCATCTAATTATCTTATTATTCCCAATAGAAATCTTCTTTAAAATATCTTCTTTGAAATCATGCTGCTGCAGTTTTCCCATGGCAAAAATCAAGACTAACTACAGCTTTTTCCTTTCAAAGTAGCAGCAATTTTAGTGATAATATTTCCCTAAAATCAAGAGGCCTAGAATCAAGAGGCCTAGGCCTCTTTACAATCCCAATCAGGCAATGATAATGGGTCCAATTAGCTCTATTATAAAGCACTTCTTTGAGCAAAAGTAGAAATACAAATTATTATATCCTAGGTCAGTTTCCCAACACTGAATTTAAATACTTAAAAAAAGAGTAGAAATTAAGTAAATTTAACCAGAAAGTTAAATTCTAGTTGACATACAAAATTAATATCATATCTTTTCACCATTTTAAACATGATATTTTATACCATTGAATATGCATGATATGGACTTTACATTAATATTTGATTACCATTATTTTTGTTTATCTTGAATAATTTAATGCAGATTTGAAAGTTGCTGTTGCATACCAATTAGGTGGAATTTTACTATATATTCAAATTAAAATTCAATGTCACATCTATAATAATAAATATATTTAACAGTAATGAGTTCTAGTCTATAAAATTGATCTATAAAATTTAAAGTCAAACAATTTTATAACAGCCTCGGATATAATAAATGGTAAATTTTTTGTCTTTTCATAAAAAATACTCTTTTAGCTGAAGGTGATTTGCTGATTTTTTCCCCTTCTTTTCCTTAATTTGAATGAATTAAGTTTTCTGTCAATTCTAAAATTATATAAATTAATTATTTTTTGTATTCACTTTTTAATAAATGTTTAAACATGACCTACTGAAATGTCTGAAAATTTCCTTTCACTATATGGAAATATCTACAAAAGTTGATTAAAAAACCTATAAAAGTAAATATCCATTTACCAATATTTACCAATATTGTACATTGTAGATTGTTAATTATAAATTAATGTTGATCAAATAATGGCAATGGGTGCTCAGGTCTTTCCTGGCTTATGCTTTAAAAACATAAATTAACTTACAGTCACATGCATAGGGGCTTCATAAAAGAAAGGAATGAATATGATAACTGGGCACTAATTATTCATCGGGCAGGGGGTAAAGTATTTTCTAGGGATAATGATTTATTATTTATGATGGGTTCACAATATTATTTATAATTTTGCATATTATCTGGCATTTACATTATGTATTGCTCAAGTCGATTGTTATTCCACAGCAATAGCTTTTCAATTACAATTTAGTATTGAAAGTTGTTTACAACGTATATAGTATTGATGATGTATATTGTCCTATTTCTGGTTCAAAGTCACAGATTTACTGCGTAGTAGAAAACTTTGTTATTTTATGAAGCATTCAAATAATATTACCTCTATTCTGTGACCAAGTTTCTGTTGATAAATAAGCACCTTAATAATTATGTTTACTGCAAAATACCAGCCTATACCAGTCGTGTCAATAAACAGTAGCATTTGTACAAGAACAGGAACTGTTCTGTTCTGTATAAGACTATTGCAAATAGTATAACCATTTAATTAATTTATTATTAAACCAAAAATTGTAATGTAATAAATGTTAATTAACTCTCCTGCCTCCTTTCTGCTATAAATCTTGCAAATTTTTCTTATAAGACTTAATTGCCTTATAAATTTGATCGAAAAATTTTGCAAATCTTGTAGCTCATTCAAGCAAGAATAAGAAGAATCTATATTTTGCATTATATAGCAATTAATGCAGCTCATCGAATCACCTTTTATTAATAAAGTATATGTTTAAACTTTAACTTTAAAACCATTAAATTTAAATGCCAAAATTTAATGTTCCAAATATTATATAACTTAAAGAATTTTACTTATAAAAAATTATTTTGTGCACATGTACTGATTATACAGGCCTAAATAATGTTTTCTTTTTTAAAATGTTAGGGACTGATTCAAAAATTTAAAATCCAAATTTAATACCGTAATAAGAAGAAAAAAAAAGAGCGCAAATTAACAGTAGTTTAAATACAGTGTACTTTCACTAATTAGTTTTTAATGTGTTAATAAGAAAAAAAAATGTTGATCAAAATTAATACGGGTAGTTTTTTAATATCAATCATTCAAGAAAATTTGTCACATTCTTGAATAATTGTCAAGTTAACATTCAAAATGCAAAAAACGACAATTTATACAGAAATTTATTTGACATGAATAACGACAAGAAAACATTATATCAGAAATTTTACCAACCATCGTTGGGGATACCCAGGGCCGAACCATTAACATTGATGACATTTACATATATCAAACGTGATAATCCAACAATGTTTACCAACATGTCATCGATTTAAATATTCGATATGTCATTATGAGCCGCGCCACGACAAAACGAAACCCTATTACAAGTAGAGAAACTGATAGCGAACAGCATGGATCCTGATCAGACTGCGCGGATGCGCAGGCTGGTCTGGATCCATGCTGGTCGCAAACGCATTATGTTGGTTTTGTCGTGACGCGGCTCATATGATATAAAGAAACATTGTTTATATACACGTTAAAGTGGATTGGTCTACTATCGGCACATTGTCCATAAATATCATCAGATATTGATAAAAACAATACGTGATCGGGAAACTGAAAATGTGATACCATAATGAAATAAAGATGTTCCGTAATAACTTACTAACTATAAGTATATAGTAAACATATTTTATTGAACTTGATCATATATAAAATGCCATAACCATATAAAGCCATTAAAGCATTTTGCAATTTACCGGATGATAAAACCTGCTATAATATTATCATCTCTTAAATGGTGCATAATTTTGAAATTGACAATTAATTATGCATGAATTACAATTAAGCTCAAGTTTTAACCAAACAAAGGGTTTTGTGGCAGGTTACATGTGCATATTACCGTAATAATCTGACAGCTTGTTAAAAGACTGTACCACAATTAAAAATATATATATTTTGAAGAATTTTTAGAAATCAAGTCTTTACTAAACATAATTTTGATGCCATTTATTTATTTTGGGGGCGGACAAAAAAGCTTTCCATTTGAATGATTTCAAGTGGATAAATATCTTACAATTTAATTTGTTTCAAGGTTTCATGGCAGTTAGCGACTGAAATTGCTGGTATATTTTGTCCAATAACGTTATTCAATTTTTTTGGTTCATTTAATTTGCTAAAATCCGCACCAATCACCAGCATACTTATTGTTGAATGCTCACCCAGGTGGTACTCTGTGTGATAAGGTAGTTAGCATACTAGTATATTAAATCCATTAAAATTTGTTTCTTGCTGACCAGTTCATATATTTGTTAATGAGGGCAAAATTTATCGGAACCAAAGTAAAAACAACAAATGAAAATGAAAAAAATTGTGGTTTTTCTTTTCAGAAAGAAAAAGAAGTAAGTATACCCAGTTCCACAACTAGTAGCACAGAATCAGTGATGAAATCTGAAGAAGGCAAAGTTGTTGAGCGGGAGGGATGGAAGGGTACGATGGACTTTATCCTCACCTGCATCGGGTATGCCGTGGGTCTCGGCAATATCTGGAGATTTCCGTACCTGTGTTACAAGAGTGGTGGAGGTAAGGTTTATTTTTGAAAGTTCTTTAACCTAAGAGGCTCTCATTAGTAAAGTGATTTCAAATATGACTCCTTTAAGATTTGAAAAGAGAGAGTTTTTCAAAAAAGCTTTTCAAGCTTCCTTCCCAATCCCTAAATTATTTTTTTTATGTACTTTATTATGTAAATGAAAAGATTTCAAATAAAATATTGTTTAAACAAAAGATTCTTAAAGCATTGCAATGCAAAACTGTAAAAAATGATTGCAACTTGATTCTTAAGAAATGTAAAAAAAGATCAGTTATTTTTTAGCATTCAAGGTATAGATGATATTCAAACTAACTGATTATTTCTTATCACACTTTGCCCAAGGATTGTATCAACTTTACATTATTATTTTTCAGGTGCATTTTTCATACCGTATGTGATTTTCCTCTGTCTCTGTGGTATCCCGCTGTTTTTCATGGAGACAGTGTATGGCCAGTTTTCCAGCTTGAGTCCAATTGCTATCTGGAATATCAGTCCCATGTTTAAAGGTAAAATTTTTGTTCATAATTTCATATTATTGATAGAATTTAACCTGTACCTGGTTCTGGCTTCCAAAACTTCAAAAACCACTTTTTGTGTCACCTTGAAAAAGGCAACATATAGGGATTACTTTTTTCGGCGCAGGCTTGTCCGGAGCATAACTCAAGTCACTGTAAGTCAGATTGACTTCAAACTTGGTTTGCATGCTTCTTTCAATGACTCAAAGTGCAGTGCACAAGAATTGTTACTCTGCACTTCTTAATTTTTGAGTTATTGCCCTTTGTTAATTTTCATACATAATTTTCAATTTCTTCTTGTAAAAGCTATGGACTTAATAACATATTTCTTTTTCATCTGATGCAGCATATAAGTTCATTTCATGTCAAAGTATATAAATTGGTACACTCAGAAGACCTTAAGCTTACCTTTACCAGGCTTGAATATATTATATTTTGTCCAACTTTCAATCTGAACAAAACCATCCATAGTGAACTGTGCAGACCATGATCAGGTGGCATGGATGTGTCACATAGGTAGTGTCAGCTTGTGCCAGCAGGTAAATGGCTATGCATCAAATACTGTTTTTATTTCCTTTTTTGATTATCAATTATGAGTCGTGTTGTGTGGTAATTTTTATCTGTGAAATATCGAGAAAGATTAAGATTGTACATTTCTGTTATTATAGTGAATTATAATTGGCCATAACATTTTATACTTAAAAAAGGAGAAATAATATGCATCAGAAATGTTTATTGTTTATTTTATTGCTTTAGGCACATTGCAATGAACAAAAAAACAACATTTTTTCTATATAAACTAGCTAGTATATAATCAATTCTAATAGCAAACTTCAATAGGAAAATTGCATTTTCATTATACATTTACATGTTTGTATAAATGTATAAATTTCCATGCTGATTAGGAATAAAAAAAATTCTGAAAGTAAAAATTCTGAGAAAAAAAAAAACTTTAAATCTTTAAAGAAATAGAAACAAATAGGAAGATGTGGCCATTTATAATACAATAGAAATCTGCAGGACAGATTTATTTTAATCTGCTCAAAATAAGTCATTATGGGAAATGGAGCTTATATGGCTTGGTTGTAATCGCAATTAATTTTATTTTCCTCTCTTTCATAATGTTTTTCCATTCATAGATTAATTGTTCAAGGTTGAAATGTTAATAAAGGTTTATGTATTTGTTAGTTCTGGCTTCCAAAACTTTATAAGCCACTTTTAAAACATTTTTCTTCCATCTGACGCGGCTTAAATGTCCCGTCACAGTGTAAAACAGGTACGCTGAAGACCTTAAGCTACAATTATATTTGTATAATTTTCATGAATACCTTTATATATTGTGACCTGTCAATAGTTATTTTAATGTAATAATTCCAATATTTCCATTTTAAGATTTGGCACTTGATTGTTTATGTTGAACCTTAAGTTCCAAATCCTCTTAAAAAGTAATAAAACAGTGGTGGAAAATTTCCAGCCATCATGAAATTCATTAGAAAAACATGACTGGCATCCATCCAACGTGAATGATTAAATTGCAGAAAGAATGAATAATTAAGAGTTTAAGACTTGCTGTGATTTAATGGGAATTGGGTTAATTTAAGATTTCAAACAATAACTGGTGCCAGTCTGCATGGAAAGTTGATGATGTAATGGTAAACTTTCTGCACCTAAATCATTTCAAAGAAAAAGTCCACTTTGATGTTATTCTCTGACTTTGGGGTTGTTTAAAGATATAACTATTGACTGTAATTTAATGTATGTCGATCTGCTTAAAAAAGTTGGTGTTACAAAACAGTAAACTTTCTGCACTTTCATCTTTTCAAATATAACAGGAAGGAAATTTTTATTTAGTTTTCCATGAGGAAAAAATAGTTCTCATATTGTGAAAGCCCTTTCTCTTTTGACAGTATAACAGTGCTTCCTTTTCCATTCATGTGGTTTTAATTAGAATTGAACTTGAAGCGGCTCAGCTATGTCTTTCTATTGTGAAACTAGTAATGTTACCAATGTAGTATAATGTTTAACCAACAAAATTTGTTTACTGGACTTACATCCTGCTTTGGATTTAGATCTTGTTGAGATTTCAATAGTTGAGGGCAATAATAACGCTGTGGTCAAATTACAGTACTTAGATGCTGAAATGCAATCTGGTGACAGTTACACCTGTAAATGTCACAGACATGTTGTACCATGCAGACGACACCTAAGGTCTGCTTTCTGATACATCATATTCTATTTGTAGTCTGACATGAAGCCAAAGAAAGGTCATGAATATAGATGAATTAGATAATGTTTTCATGCCAAGAATCCAAATAATCTTTTCCCTAGATTGTTATTTACCATTTGCTGACCATATAATATTTCTTATAGTAGGGAATGTCTAATAAACAGTATATGATAATATATGGACCCATTTTTCAGACTGATTCAGTTTATTTTCAAACCATATGAGGAAATTAGACATGGCCACTTTTTGTGTGTAATTCCTGAAAAGACGCAAGATATAAAAATGTCTTCCCAGACAGATAATTATAAGTTTTCAAGTATATTTTGTCAATTAGAAAGTTTAGTTATGAAATTGTTGTATATTTCCAGGTGTGGGCATTGGTATGGTGATTGTATCAGGACTTGTTTGTGTTTACTACAATGTGATAGTTGCCTGGACACTTTACTATCTGTTCATGTCGTTCCGCGCCGTGTTACCGTGGAGCACCTGCGGTAATTGGTGGAACACTGATCATTGCCTTGATGTAGAGAGGTCTGTGGTGATGGCCGGCCGTAACGCCAGTCACGACTCAAACTCAACAAGTCTCATATCAAACCTTACAGCTGGGGCCAATTATACGTTGCTAGGCAACGCTACCTGGCTAACAGGGAACACCAGTGGCCTGATACGTAAAGAGGATTTGATCTCATCCAGTGAAGAATTTTGGGAGTGAGTATTATGCAGAGATCTGCCAAGAATTTGAAAGTACTGGGCCCTGGGCCCATCTGGTCTGAAAATGATGGGCCATTTTTACCAAAGTATGGGCCTTGGGAAAATAAGTAAACATTGACCAAAATAACTGTTAAAAAGTTTGTAGATAATTGAATTTCCCCGGTAATAAAACTTAAATCATATTTTATGACAAGTGGGTCACTTATAATTCAGTACTTTAATTTACCTATAATTAAAAATTATGCCTACATGGTAACTTTCTAACTAATATTAATTGCAGGCAAAAATAAAAATATTTTTTAAATGGCTGCTCAAAAATTTGATATGCAAATTTATTCACATAATTGCTGGTTCTTACTTGTAATGTCTTATATTGTGCATTATCCATTTAATTGTTCCTACTTTGCACCAAATGTCCCTTACCCCTGTATATTGACGAATTTTATTGCCCCTTGTATGCCTCTGTGTAGACAGCATACATCAAAGACATTTGCCGACAGACCTTTTGGTCATGAAAAAAGTCATGCACAATGTTTCTCTGATTGGTTAATCACCCTGTCAAACATTCTGATTACGAAATATACATCTTTTTTTACACTTCATCAGCCAAAACTTGCGTGAACTTGGGTGACCTTAAATTAGGGTTGATCAAGTTGAACACCTGTCAGATTATACTGTAACTTACAGCATTTCTTAAAATAGCAACACTTTTTTTTCAATTACCGATAATCATTTTAAATACTAAGTAGTTGTATAATTTGTTTGTTTGTTTTATTGGATTAAATTTACGGTAGTAGAAATGAGTATCTGTGTGGGAAAGGGATTATGAGAAGAAATGCGGTAAGTAGATAACATGGACAAAAGCTATAGGGGAATGGATAAACTCAAGAATATGCGTAATTACAGGAGCATGGGCAACATGTTGCTGTTGGTACCAGTTTTGACTGGATGACTAAATAACCCAGCAGACAGTTTTGTTTTCTTATAAGTCTGGCACAGATTTGAGATGCGCCCATGGCCCTTTGCTGCCGATTTTCCTGCGCCATTCTCATTTTTTTAGCGCCAATGGCGCAAAATCGCGTCCTCGGCAGATCTCTGAAATTTATGTAATATGTTTTATAATAATAATTTTATCTTAGAATCATGAAAGGGATGCTTTGATCTTTATGGTCTTCAAACAGGCATGAATTCTCTTTGGTTTCAATGACATTATGCCTGAAAATAAGGAAAATAATTTAGATTACTTAAGACCAATGTAATGCATTTATAGTGTTTACTGCCACATGATTGCTCTTAGATACCTTTACTTTTCCAGATTAGTGCCTTATAAAGTATGCCTTGTATGAGAGACTCTCTGTTTTTAGTTATATTTTATATTACCTCAAGAAACATGAATTTTATAGTTTCCAACTCAGAGCATGTCTTATCTTTAGGTTAATCTAGTTGTACCTGTTTATAACATACATTTATAGTATACAATGGCTGTTGTACTTTTAACCTATGATAACACATTACATAGTAAAGGTAAGCTTAGTACTTTAAAGAAAAACGAAAAAGTTCATTGCCCTTTCGGCCATTTACATGTTATGTTTATAGACATAATGAATGAAATTGATGGGTTTTTGTAGTAAAAGTCAAAATGTAAATTGAACTTTATATCGTAAGAGTGACAATTTTAAATATTTACTTAATCATTGAAATTGCAAAATGGTTTGAAAGCTTTTAGAAGTGGGTGGGAATTAAGCTTTTCATGAATAGAATCACGTGACCTTTGTTACAAAAACATATCTGACAATCAGTGTAGAAAACAAATGACAATAGTTTGTCAAGGTCAAAGCTTCTTTTGTATTAAATCGGTTAATCCCAGTTGTTAACGATACACAAAGGTAAAGCTTATGAATTCAACCAATGTGGCGCTTATGAAGGTTTAAGCAAACTTTAAGGCCCTGCACAAGAGTTCAAATCTACTTTATCTTAAGTTGAGTTAAGAAGGTCATTTTGACAGGCCGATAGGATGTAAATATTCTGTTTCCCGCCTTTTTAAACATATAGTCCATATTAGTCAAGCAATAGTATTTTGTTTAAACAGTGATGGTATGAAGTGTAATAATAAGTTTTAACTTCCGTTAATGTCATTGAAATAATCTGTCCTTGTCAATTACAAGGCTGTTATCTTTAATGTTTACACACTTAACAATAATAATGTAGTTCCCCTTGAAAAAAAAACTTTTTGTGGTTTTCCTTTTCCAACAGTTTTCATAATTTCATTGTATTTAATATACTTGATTTCCATGAAAAAGTTGTCGGTTTTTTTCCAAGCTTAAGGAGCATTGTGAAATTCATTCATGTGTAGTATATCATGCCTGAACAATATATAAAAATTGATAATAATATTTCAGTTGCTTAGTTGCCATGTCATAAAATATATGTTAAAGCTGCACACCTCCAAATTCAAAAAAAAATCAAACTTGAAAAAATTCCACTTAGATTTTAAGAAAAGTAAACAGATTGTAGATTCAAGTCATAGTTTACATGCCATGTGTGATTAATGATTGATTTTGCAGTATTTATCACTGCGTCACTATTAATGCATAAGGGTTATTTTTGCGTATTTTGAACTCTTTTTGCGTTGTAAACTTTTATGTTGCTTATAATGTTGTAACAAGAATTAAAAAACAATGTTCTGTTCTTTAAAATCCCATCTATCCTTGTTAATCTCAATATCTTAATATTTCAATTCTTTTAAAAACAAAATCCCTGAACATTGTAACTGTTAACATATCTGGATATGAAATTAATGGAAATAAAAAAAATGAATAAAAAAAATGGAAAAATGATTCAAAATTCCCCAAACAAACATTATGATACATTGTGTATTTCTTGCTATAATGGTGCTTTTTTAAAAATTTCTTTACAATCCATTAATTAACAGTTTATAATAATGTATATAGAATTGATATTTCATACAATTTTCATGATTTAATAGTCGTAATAATTAAACATCGTATGATATTCCACAGGGAAATAAGATATATACTGTTAATGAGTATTATATTGTATAGTTTGTGCCTCATTTATTCCATGTATACGAAATGAAATCTAGGCATGTCAATATGTTAATCTTGTGCCATATTTTATCCATTTAAATGAAATTTATGTCACATCAAAATGTTAAACATCAAAATGTAACTCTTGTGCCACATTTAAACAGAATCTACGCATGCCAATATGTTAATGTTGTGCCTATTTATTCCATTTAAATGGAATCTACGCCACATCAAAATGTAAATCTTGAAATTAATTTTTAAAATGTATAAACATTATTTACCAGAGGTTTATGTTAATTGCCAATATTAAATTGAAAAAAAAAATCTTTGATATTTCGAAATTGATCGGAAAAAAACAAAACCAATTTATCAACGTAATGTTTGTACATTAATTTTGTACAACATTATTTCCATTCATTGATCATGTTTAACTCTTAAAATAACTGTACAAATTATAGAATGACAAAATGTTAACCCCCTTTTCTATAATATTTGGCCTCATTTAAAAGTTTTGGCATGAATGGATCACTTTGGTGTCATTAATATACAAAGGGAATAAACAGACTGCAGATAATGTATTGGCTCAATTTTACTGAAATAAAATTTGTAGAAGGCCATTTTTCACTCAAAGATCAATTTTAATCTTTAAAACCATTAGTCAAATCTTATACAAACAGTAGGAGTGTACTGGTGTACCAAACTTATAAACTAACAAAAGGCTTAACAAAAGGCCGTAAAGCTCCGAAGTTTGCAAATAAAAACTAGGTTGAAATATAATTTAATAGGTTTCAAGGTTAAAAAAAAAATAATCATGTGATGTATTAAATTGAAAAGAATTTTCGAAAAATTGGCACAGTTTTTAAAAATGGTAATCATACCATTTGCTTTATTTGCTGTAAAGAAGGTATAGTAGTAATTATTTTAAGAGTTCAAACATAATTATAATAGTAAACAAACAAGAATCATGTGATAATGAGACAGTAAAATTTTGCTTGGGTAAATTGATTTGGCCGTTTTAATTTACATGGTTGATATGAATCCCACCAGGGGCTTTGGATTCTCTTATATCAGGGAGCTGGTTCTAATCAAGTATTCCTGCTTGTATTTTGTGAAAGGGCAAATTAAAGGGTAACTTTTCGGACGTTCCGATTGGTGAAATGGTTGTTTAAACAAAATGGTCATTCGTGTTGCGCTATATGTTATTTAAAATAACGAACTGGAGAATTTTGTAACAAATGAAATGCACACAAATTTAACAATAAATTGAACTCTTTATAAATTTATACATGTTTTTGATAAAAATTCATTTTGGCCCTGTAAATGCATTTACAAAATGTCAATACTGTCTCTTGCAGATTTCACCTGGATGCTTATACTGATTCATTATAAATACTTCTAAAGTGCATGATTTCATCCATTAAGAACAACATGTAATATTATATAAAATGCTACATTTTGTTCCCTGTCCTAATGATAAATGCATTAACAGTGCTCCTCTTAAACATAATATTCATGTGTATAATTCATTATTGATTTTTACTTGTGGAAATTTCCACTGCCTGTGTTTTTTTCTTGTTTGTGAATTTGTATTGATTCTCAAGTCTAAGGTGCTTTTCAGAGAGTGTGTTTCTCTTGAATCTTGTTGTTAGGTATTACTGAAACTAATCAATTAAGCTAACACATTTTTGTGATCCCTTCTGTTGATAGATGATGAATCATTCAATCATTTAAGCTAACTCAATCTGAATCTTTCATAACATTTCCATGTCTGACCTTGAGTTAATTTTGATCAAGTCTCAAGGTTGCACTTACCTTACTTGCACAGTCATGCTTTGATGAAAGATATTGGCTTTGCACAGATGTGAGTTTCCCTTGAAGAGTGCTACAGAAAATGAATAACAGTTTTGTTAACAAGAAAAAGATTTGTATGCACGATTCAAGTTTCCTTTGAGTTACAGGGAATAAAGTGATTTAAAACCTGCACAGTATTGCTTTTGAGCTGTGGTTAAAAAGATTAGCTCAAGAGAAATTTACCCCCAATAAACTTATACTGTCTTGTCAATCATATCTTATAAGTGTTTGTTGAAATCATTTTGAAAACTCTCTTTTAGCTCTTTATAACTCTGTTTACTAAATTTTAAGGAAATTCATGATTTAATGACATGCCTTTTACCGATAGGAATTCTTGTATTTCAATTACACAGGTATGCAAGTGTAGAGTAACAGTACATGCACATCTTCATGCTACATGAACGCATTATGTATTAATTATGATCCTTGAACACATAAAGAAGAGCATTATGTATTAAATATGATCGTTTATCATTCCAGGGAGAATTTAAATCAATGATTTAAGAAAATCAAATTAGTTAGTCTAATTAAATTTTAAATTAAATTTCTTTTTTATTTTTATTTACAGGAATCATGTTTTACAGTTAACGGATGGTATTGAGACTTTAGGTGGTCTGCGCTGGCAGCTGGTCATCACTCTCGCCCTGGCTTGGATCTGCGTCTTTTTCTGCTTGTTTAAAGGTGTTGCCGTCCTCGGAAAGGTGAGACATCTTTGACTTGTCGGGAATGAATTTGTATTGCATTAAGTTCTAAAAATATGGAAGGGAGATAACTGATCTTTTATGAAGAAGGGAGAATGCTTATTTTACAAAGGAAATTATTTACATGCATTTAAGAGATGGGAGATAACTCCTTTTAACTAGAAATATAGCATTTAAAAGATTGATATAATTATGGCTTTCTTTGCTCATCACAATGCTCTCCATTTAGTTTCATAAGGGAGGTAAATTGTTAGCCTTGAGAAATATTTGCCATAGATTTATTTTTATGGGAAATTGAAAATGATCGCCACTGCTGCTTACTGTTTCACCACTGCAGCGTACTGTTTCACCTCAAACTTGGCAGGGGAAAAATGTTTTTTTGAAGGATGGTTTTGTTGGTTAGGATATCAGATAGGTCATTCAGTCTTCGTGTACTGTGGCAAGGCAAATTGATATTAAAGAATAAATGACTTTTTTTCTTCTTCAGAAATTGAGAGTATTTTTGTTGTTGTTTTTTGTGGGGTTTTTTTTTGGGAAAATGCTTATAAATGTTTTACGAAAATTAAATTTTTGCATAGTATATCTAAGGGTTTTATGACCAATAATGTGGTTTTATTGTGGGAAAAATTACAGACACCCAAAATTTTTCCACTTTAGCAATTCTGAGAAGTAAATATTCTTCATGGCCTAGCATATAATCCTGTGTTCAAGAATCCAAATTTACCATTGGGTGAATATTGTGTCTCAAGTCAAGAAATCACACTCATGGTTAAACAATAATAGATATATATGCAATTTGAATTATGTTTTACATAATGGTCGAGTGGTAAAGGCTGCCTTCTTCAGGTCACTTACCCCTCACCTGCTTGTGCCCGAAATAATGCTCGGCGGGGTGCTTGACCACCAGTATAGCTGTAATAGGTCCAATTACCCGTACAATGTATCCGTGACATGCCGGTAAATCCAACAAACAAACATATATTCTCTCATTTTATGTGACTATACAGTTTTAAAGTTCCTAACGTTTATTAAGTTCACTTGAAAACAGTTTACTGTTTCAAACAATTTCTCTATTTTGATGAAAATTTGCACAAATCATGCTGCTTTAAAGCTTAAAAGATGTAAAATATGACTATTAAATGTAATATTATAAGTGTTTTTTATTGTAAAGTTACATTACACAATCTGTTACCATGGAAACAGCTTGAAGTTAATATGAAAATAAATGAATTGTTTGCAAAAAGAAAAGAGAGGCATGTTTGCTTCAAAAAATTTCAAATGAAAAACATCAAAGTACAAACATACATGTTAACAAATATGTAATAAATTGAAGGAAATTCTATTAATATACAGAAACAAAATATCTGAGATTAATATATAGTTTTGAAAGCTGGATTGTGCATTTTACAGATCTATAAATTTGATTTTTTTTGGAGATATTTTTATTTTGAAACTTTATTTAATACTTTTTTTTCACAACTGTCCCTGTCTATTGTTTAACAATCACGCTGTTATTTAAACCTTAATAGCATTTGAAATAAATTTGTTCATGTTCAGTACATAAGGACTGGTTTGAAAATTTTTTGCAAGTTAATATTTGCATCATTTGAATAATTTCTTTTGTTAAAAATAGAATTTCAGTTTATTAAAGTAACACAAATAAACAGTCATTGATTGAAAACCAGAATATTACATTTAGCACTTTTTTACCATACAAATAAAAAAGCTGACAAAAGTGAATAAAATTGTAAAAGCAAATCTTATAAATTGACATTTAGTCTGAAAGTAAAGTTCAGGAATAATTTTGATATAATTCGGTGAAGCACGATGACAGTTGACATTTTATTTCCTCTCTTCACATTGATTTTTGCCTATATATAGCTGCGATAGAAATTTTCCATGCTGCGTCTGTCATTTCTCAGCCAAATGGATGTGACTTGCTAATGTTAGAACTTAGGAAGTCTGCAAAATTTATTATTTGTAAGCAGTTTGTGTCTGTCTCCGAGGATTTAATTAGGAAAATCACTGCATTCTGTGAATATATATAGAAAAGTGAGGAAGATAAGATCAGTTACGGCCAATAAATTTTTTTGATGCAATAAATGCATGATCTAAGTGTGTGACAGAAAAATTGGAGAAATATATACATGCACTAAATGGGGACCCCTGATAGGCATACAACAGATATTTGTATGTCCAGAGAATAAATTTGAGATAATTGAAGTTTTGGATGCATCTTTTAAGCGGGCATTTACAGTAACAGTATTGAAATATGCATGCATCACAATCATGTTTTTCATGACCCACAAAGTGTCCCATGGTAACACCCATACACTAACACCCACGGTAACACCAATGTTCCATCACTGTTTCAAATGCTTCCAAAAGCTGGCAGCAAACAAAAGTTCTACAAGTATTTTATCAGTTAATTAATCATGGCTGGTATGTTAAATAACAAATTTATTTAGGTGGAGCACTAAGGAATGTAGTATGAATTGCCCACCATTTGGGTAATTAGTTATAGAAATGTATCTGGTATTGGTGTTTTACAGATGCGATTAGTTATGTTGATTTTCTTGTGTATAAAACATGAAGAGTAATGTAAACATGTCCAAGATTTAGTATGAAAAAAACATCACAATGTTACACTAGAATCTTTCATTCATAAGGAAAGTTAAAATGTTTTTTTTGTCCTTCCAAGGCAAATAATCATGGGTTGGGATGCTACTGAGATGACCATGTTTCTTTGTAAGACAGCTGTACTGGATTGTTCCAGTTGGACTCCTTGGGCAACTGGGTGTTGGGTATAAATATACTCAAATACACACACTTGTTCAAGAGATGGTATAGAGGGGGGTGGGGGGATATATAGGCCCAAAGCTTTCAAAGGTAAACTAAATATGAATATGCCATCATGATAGTCTGTGTTGGTATTCTAGTCTCTCAAAATGGGGAAAATCTAAAATTGCCAGCAATTAATTACAAGTTTTCTTACTTTATTTTATTCAAAAGTGATCATTCAGATAGGATTTTGATCAAAGTCCAGTCAATTGTATTTTGTCATTTGTGGGAAGGGAGTGGGGGGGTATTATGGTTAGGATTTTACACAAAAATCAGTAAAAATTGAATATGAAATTTTATTCAGACTGATTGCTATTTCAGGTAATGCATTTTTGCGCTCCTTTCCCATATTTGGTGTTATTGGTACTGTTGATCCGTGGAGTGACGCTAGATGGCGCTATTGATGGAATCAAGTTTTACATCATACCACGATGGGAGAAACTCGCCACTTTCCAGGTAAATATAATTTCCTTTTTGCAACAAACATTGTAATAATTACACACAGATTTGCTGCTTTTATATTATTACATGTACTTGTTAAAGATGATTTTGTTGGCACAGTATTGGAAATTTCAGCTCAAGGCAAAATAAATCTAAAGTAGATTCTGGAGTGTTACATCCAGGAATGTTAAACTTGTTATATACCAATATTAATACCCTTATCATAATTGTTTTTAACTTGATAGCTTCTTTTAAGTTCATAGCTTGTTACGAATAAATTATGTACTTTTATAAATTGTTCTCTACCTTTTCTGTGATCAGCCTAGTTGTGGTAACTTATTAAAAATCAAGCCAGTATTTTAGTGACTGATAAATAAATTATATTTTGATATATTACTAGCTAGATTCATCAAAGTACAAAAAAATGCAGAAATATACACTTATTAATAACATGATGTAGAAATGTTGATGATAGGATACATGTAATTATAACCATTACGCAAAAATAGTTTTGTCATACACATCCAATCTAGATATCTAGGGTGGAAAGGATTAATAGACACATAAAATGGCATCAGATATTTACATTATGTTTGTTATTACTTAGGGTTCCAGATAGACACCTGAGGTTTTCCTCCACTAATACAGTTGGAAAGTCGCCATATGACCTTTACTGTTTTGGTGCATTGTAAAAACAAAGCAAAAAAATGCAAAAAATATATATATATAATTATGTGTGTGTGTTCGTGTGTGCACTGGGAGAGAAACTTGGGTTCACCCTTGGGCAATTAAAAAAATATGAATAATTATGTAAAAGCAAACTGCTTAGGGATACTATACTTCAAAATATATAAATTTTTGGCATGAAAATTCAGTGAACAGCTGGGAAAAAGTTAAGAGAAAACAATTCAGTACATTTAGAAGTGAATTAGTTGTTCACTTTATGCTTTATTCCATCATTAAAAGAATCATAATTACTTTTTTATTAGTCTTAATTGTAACCTATTTAAACAATTTGAATAGAATGATAATAAACAGGTGTAAGACTGAAAGGGCTTCTTACATCTCCTGCAATAAAGCAACAAAACGTAATATGTGGATTAAGTAATGATCCCTCCATGTCTGAGATATAATTAACCTACTTTTTCTTGTATATTTCCAAGCAAGATTCCGTGCTCGATTTACTTTTGAACTTGTATTGCATAGTTACCATGGTAACCTTTGATATTTATTGTTCAAGAAAATTAGATTTTCTTTTGTGTTTTATAACTTGTCTGGTGCCAGTCCCAGTCCTGGCTTCCTTTAAAATAAATATTTCAATTCTTCATTGAAACACATAAAGTTGTCTTTAAATACTTTTCTATTAAAGCATCATACGATGTTTACTCACGGCAGGGTAATATGTCCACAAATTTGATACTTCACGCATTCAATATCGAACTGTTGTCATTGGTTATGCACTTGCAATACTGACACTGTGACATAATTATGATACTGCGCTGTGCCTGACAGATTTCATTTAAACACCAACCTTCACATTACTTTGATCATGCGAATTTTAAACTGTTAAGCTAGTCTCTTAAATAGCACCAGCTGCTTCATTTTAATGCCGGGTATATATGTACATGTATTTAGAAATGTTCGAAGCATCGGTTTCAAAAATCCAATATGCAGCCGACATCTGCTTATGTATCGCAAAAATTTAAACCGCTTTTATATTTGTTTTAATTTCAGGTCTGGGGAGACGCTGCTTTGCAGATTTTCTACAGCGTTGGAATGGCATGGGGTGGTATTATCACAATGGCATCGTACAATGACTTCAAACACAATGTTTACAGGTAAATAACTCAACTTGTTCTATCTCTCATTAAACTGTTACATAAGAATGCTTTCAAGAAGATGTTTTTTTCTCCTGTTATGTTTAAGCATTATGGATCAATGGCATTAAGTTATATAAAGATTTGGACCTCTGCCACAGGGATTTGTATTTTGTATTTGACAGTATGGTAAAGGTTTTCTATTTGTTCGGCAGTATGGTAAAGGTTTTTTATTTGTTCGGAGGCTGACTGATGTATTTGAGGTCACTGTCCTGTTATGATTTTCCATTACCATTCTATTTAAGTGTTTGATTTTTTTCTGCATGGTCTCCTGTGTATGAGATGTTTAAACTGTCATTAATAGTCTAGTGTTTTTTTCAGTGTTTAATAATACTATATTTGATACTTAATTAAAAAGCCGTCTTGTTTTCCTCCAAAGTCTTTGAACTATATTAAAAAAATTTTGGCAATGTCATCATTTTGCACGGCGAAAAAAAGTAACACAGTTTGATTTTTGTTTCAATTTACTTTGAAACAAATTTGAGAGAGTAACAACAGTACAAAAAAGAAAAGATCATTTTCCTAAATAAATAATTTTGTAAAGAGAAGAATTTTTGAATGGTTCCCACTTATGCATGTTATGGGAAAACCGTTATTTTTTGTCCTACAAGAAAATGTGTAGTAATGCATAACTTGGCAAGCTGCAGAAGATTTTACTGATTATCAACCTGAACAGAGAGTTACCTGTCTTATATTAATGTGTCTGTCTGTTTTTGTTTATATACCTGTCTTTATAACATGTCTGTCTGTTTACAATGCTGTTTCAAGGACATATGAAAATCATTTGTTTATCATGAGCTTACATATCAAGGTTGTAAACTTTTGCATGCTTTATAAAGGCCAAATAAAAAAAAAATTAATTATATTATTTGTTTCTTAGACCCAGTTATCAAATGTTGCCAACCTGCCATTGTTTTAATAGTGAAGGTCAAATTTGAAACACAAAGAATTTGTATTTTTGTTTCCTAATAAAACCTCGAAGGAATATGCCTTATTTTTCTTATGAACAGAAAAATTGGAAAAAAGTATCATAAGTTGTGGTTCAAGATAAAAATATATCAATACTGCCGTATGGTGCATTTTTCTAAACAAGGTATTGACAACAAACTGACGCGATCAGTGTTAAACCTCAGTGTTAACCGATATTACTGTAACCTTGAAATTATTGAACTTCCTTGATTCTATCTTTTTTGATAAAAAAGACTGTAAACATTCTATGTCCTATTTTAATTGAAAAAAAACTGTCTTGGTGTGCAATTTTTGTATATAATTTTTTTTCCATGTTTTTAGTCATAATGATATCAACTTTGTGGCTTTTGGACACTATAGAAATTTTTTTTCTCTCTATTAAATCATGTTTAAAATTACTTTGCTTATCATATATATGGTACGTAGAAAATATGTTAAAGGAGCATGGCTCCAAATGATATGTGCTAATTTTCATGAAAATTTCGAAAGTGTACTTAAATTTAAAAGTGTTATGTTGTGATTTTTGTAAACAGCGCTTACAATCCACATAAATTGCCAATAAGAGGTCAAATATGCACAAATAGCCCTTACTTCATTAGTAATCCTGTAAAAATATGTTGATTAATACTGAAAAATTGGTCATTAATTGCACTTAACATGTGAATTATTATTTTAATCTGGAATCTTTTTCCTTTCCTTAAAATCATAAAATTTTCTTGAAATATATTTGCTCATAAGTTTAATATCTAGTACAAACTGGAAATGAGCATTAAAATAAAGTCTTTCATTTCCAAAACAATTTACCTGTAGCCATATGCGTGCAGAGTATGGTATGGAAAAGTTATTTTGTTGAGGGAAAAAAATTTCCTATACATATATTTCCTATATAAATCTATATTATTTTAAATCTGAGGTTAATGGGTTGTGAAATTAATGGGGTATGGAGAAATTATCACTGCATGCAATCTTTTAAAATTTGTCAACCTTGCAAAAAAAATTTGGACCGTGAATTTATTACAATGAGGGGGGGAAAATCTGTCACATTTAAAGTGCATATCTTTATAGTTCAAACAAAATTTATTTAATGTCTATAAGCTTTAACTCTACTTGTGGCAGTTTACAAAAATTTTTGTTTCTATATTTTGCAAAAGTATAATTTAAAAATGACTGTACGAAAGAAATATGATGGAATATTTCCTTTTTAGTAAATGGTGCATGCACAAAATCATTGTTTAAAACACACAAAATTCTACTGAAAAATAGCAGAATAATATTTTTTTCGGAATATTTTATTCTGTTTACGTACAATATTTATGTGTATTGAAGTAACAAGAGACATTTTATGTGAAGCTCTTTCGAAAAATCAACCATAAGATTATGGAAAATATACTTTTTTTATGGTTTTCAAAAAATATTACAAAAAATATATCATTAGATAAAGCTTTATATCCTTTTAATGCTGTAAGTCAACTCTTCTTATTTTTTTCTCCCTTACTTTTACAATTTGGTCAGCCATAATGTCATTGACTTTACGGACATCAGAATTGTGTGACAAGAATTTTTTTATTGTAAATTGTTTACCGTCTTTTTATTGACATACAGCCATGAATATGTGTTAGCATAATTTTTCTGTGCTATAACAATAACAATTTGTACTGGTATTTTGTCTTAATTAAAGCTCCATGCCTCCAGATGAGCCAAAATATTCTGAAAGTTAAGAAAAATGCACAAATAAGATTTTAAGAAAAATAGAATTGTTCAAATTTCAAGTAATAATTTACATGTTATGTGTGATTAATGACTGATTGTGCAGTAAATTATATATCATCATATTACTACTGCGAGACTAAATGCAGTAAGGACTATTTTTTCATAAAAAATGTTCATAGGAAGAAAAACCTTGAAAGTTAATTTGATATCAAAAAATATTGTTAAAAAACTGCATACACACTAAACAAGCACATACAAGTTTAAAGCAAGGTCTATGGAAACTTATTTATAAAAAATATTTGATAAACGATGTGGAACGTGTAATATTTCATGATTTACAACCAGTCATGTTTTGTTTGTTGAAGATAACAAATGCAAAATGATATAGGAGAAATCACTCCTTTTAAAGCACAAAATATCTTGAAATAATTTCCTTTGTAGTTATATTTAGTATAACGGTGAATGCCACAATAAAAAAGAGCTGATACCATATGTGCATTAATAAACTCACCGTTTTAAACAAGAAATCAGTGAAATTAATAAAAACATCTTTTTTATAAAAAAGGGTTTTATTCATACAATATGTGATTAACATTAATGCATAACATTTACCTATGTTACAAGTTATAGATTGGGAAAATTTAGTATGAAAACCATAGACAATTATAAGAAAATTGGGAAAATTAAGACACATACAAAACATTCACTTTACAGATGAAGAAACGCTATAAACTTAAACTCCATAGCTTCAGCTAGTTTAGGAATTTTGGAAGGAATTTTCTAGATTCAATTAGGAGTTTCATCACTTTCTTCAATTTGGTTGACAACCTGTATTTTATGCAAAATGTAAAAAAAGTCATTAAAAGTATTAAATGACATTGATGGATACATAAAATACATTTTGCGGAAGGAGATTTATCAATGGGACATCATACTTGATAATGCTCCGAGTTTCACACACTGTTGTCAAGTACTTATATACTTAGTTATATACCATACTTAAAACAGGATGTATTTTCAAGCTTACATAAAACATTATAAATGATAAAATATTTATCTTCAGATATGTCATTTATACTCTGACCAATTAAGAAAACAACACTGAGGCCCTGCACTCAAACTATTAATACTGAATGTCCTATTGTTGTTTTGTGTGTTTGTTTCTTTTTCCTTCATCTCATTGTTTTGGGATCTGGGATAAGGGGATAGCAGCAGAGTTTTTTTAAAGGTCTTCGTTTAAACATATTTATCTAAGCTTGATTGCGAAAGAAGTTCTTGCAACTTATATATATCACTTTTGAATCAGCTTCCTGGAACCAACCAGTACTTTTGTCATATGAAGAAACATGGTCGTGACATGATTAGGGCTCGAACCCATAATCCCTGGGTTGAGAGGCAGACACTTTAACCACTAGGCCACCTCTCCCTATAGTTCTTGAAATATATTTATTATTAATATAGTGATATTTTATCTTTCAATACCCAAATCAGAAATGTTTTGTTTACATATAGATTTTATAATGTTGTTTTTCTTTGTAACATTTTACGACAGTTGTTGAATTTTTGTTGTTTCAGGGATGCTATGTTGGTGCCGTTTATTAACTGCGGAACAAGTATCTTTGCTGGTTTTGTGATTTTCTCTATCCTCGGGTTTATGGCACACGAAACTGGAAAATCTGTAGAAGATGTGGTAACACAAGGTGAGAATGTATGCCCTGTATTATTACAATGCATAATATGTTATTATGTATATAACACTTAAATTTTAGTATCTATCAGTAATACAAAATGTATAGACGTATGGCTGACTTCTTCAGCAGTGAATATTTCAGTTTTTCAATTTTCAATGATCTTTGAGGATAATGTAAGATCATGGTGATTCGGCTTTCCAGAAAATAGTTTCATATTCTGTATCAGTAGATACATTGTATAGAGGCATTGTATACAATACTGAACCAAAATACTAATATTATCATATTTGTATTGTCACAGTTTATGACTTGAGTGAAATAACATTGAACATTGAAACCTTTTTTTTTACATTTATCAGTAACAGATGTTGTTTTTTTTACACATTTTGCTATTAAAAACAAAATTTTTATAATTTGTAATGACTTATGTATTCGATAATGTTTTAAGTATAAACATATAGTCAAGTTTATGATTATCTGAACAACATGTTGTCACCTTAGTGAAATAACTGGTTAACTTCTATTAGATTAAGAAGTACTTAACCAATTGCTAGTCTACACTAAGGTGAGTTATATACATAAGTAAAAGCTTTCTGCACTATTTTGAATATTAAGATTTTTATACTCTACAAAGCCATCTTTTTAAATGAATGTCTTATATTTTATGAACAGGTCCAGGGTTGACTTTTGTTGCGTACCCTGAAGCCGTGTCAATGTTACCGATCTCGCCACTGTGGTCGGTGCTGTTCTTCCTCATGTTGTTTATCATTGGTTTGGACAGTCAGGTAACCATAGCGATTAAATTTCTATTCCTATCCCTTCATTATCAACACATTTCAACGTCAAAAATGTTTAGAGCTTTTGATATTGGCTGAAAATAAAAACAGGTTGATAAAGCTCGGCATGTGGTCCATTAAATGTGTTTTATAAGAGGACAGATACTGACAGTTACTCGCTGTTGTATTAAATTGTTTTCCATTTAGCAACAGCCATACGGGCAGAGAAAAAAAGAATTTAATTGACTTTGCTGAATCTCTCTCTATTTGTGTGATAAAATAGCTAAAATTTTCCATGACGTCAAATAGATACTGGTAAATCTGTTTGTGAATAATATTAAACCAAATTATATAGAAACATTGATAATGAGTTTTCACTGCGTGTTTTTGGGAGATTTTAAATTTGCAATTATTTAAATCAGGATACTTAAATGCTTGTCATGTAGAGTTTTCTAATTTAAATTCCCTGCACATTTTATGAATAAAACTGGTGAATATTAATCATGTTTATGTCTTCGTCACAAACCTTACGTAGTTATTTTCTCACTTAAAAAAATCACTGCAGATAAATCATGCCCGACAGACATACCAAGGGAGGTAACCTAGCAGAAATTAAATATAGAAAACCCATGCAGAGTTTTATCCCCTGAAAAAATGTTAAAGAAAATTATCAACCACTTAAAAAGTTTTAGGAAATTGTATACATACAATTATTGACAATGCAATATTTCCATGAAGAATGCAAGCATTTAACCTTTGTAAGATAAATTGCAGTATGTTTTTAAACTTAGTGGTCTTTTAGGCCTTTTATTACAAAATAAATAAAAAAATTTTTTTTTAATGCACAGCAATCTTATTAGGCACAAAATAATTAAATCACTAAATTCAGAATTAATAAAGAAAATTAACAAAACTCACTAAAGTCTGTAACTTTCTACAATTTTAGATCTATTAATATTTTATTTTAAAATGGAATATTTTGAAAACTTTGCAAGAAGGTATTTTAGTTTTAGAAAAAAATATTTATTTAACTTTCTGAAATTTATATCCGGCTTTATCTTTTTTGTTTCAAAGTTATTTATTATAGATAAAAAAACTGCATTCACGAGAAAACTTTAAAAAAATTTTTTTTGAATTATCAAATAAGAAATTATGTCAAATGTATTAGTCTTCATTCAATATCTAAAAGTTTTTTCTTACTTTTATCATTTAATTCTATTGTTTGCTGCAGAAATTTATTCAATGCCAAAAATGTACACTTATGTCTTAGCCCACAACAATGATAATTTACTGTTATTTACACTTTTGAATTTTTTTTTGAAATTTCACATTGATTTTTGCTTTTTACTCACCTATTAGAGAGGCCACTTGTAAGTCGCGGTCCTAAATTCCACAGTAGTAATAAAAACATACTGCAATCTTGTTTCAGCTCAAAAACACTTGGATTTTGCCTCTTACAATATCAAAGTTCATTTTTTTATTATCTTACACACCGTTTGAATTATTTGTTACATTTTGTATTAAAATTTTTATCTTTTATACATTCAATTGCACTTGTTTCATTGATAAAAAAAAAAGAAAAAAAATCTATTGTATCATCATAATTATTTTTATTTATCAGATTTTATTTTGATTTGAATATTATTCACATATTATTTGTAAAATATTAATTGCTAAATTTATTGTTATGTTTATAAATAAATCAAAAGTGCTATCAGAAAGTTTTTGTAAAAATAGTAAAAAGGTGTTGTAAGTTTACAATATACAAACAAATAACCAACATACATATATCAGAAAATAAATAATTTTTACTTGAAATATTAACAAATTCAATAGATTATATCTATTCAAAATGAAATAACTTCAAATTTTCTGTTTTGTGCAGATATTTAAAAAAATACTTTGCAAAATTTATTTCAATAAGTATTTTTTTGTGTGAATTACCATAACTGTCTTATTTAGATCTTATGGTTTTATTTTTTTTTTAATTCTTTTAATAATAGATTTAAAAAAAGAACTCTGTTCTGTTGTTTAAAATGATTATTTTTGTTGTTTGGTTCCTAATAGAACCTGATATTTAGAGGCATATATCCAAGGTGTGACTTAGTTTTTGACATTTCAGATAAAATGTTACAGGCAAATTGGAATCTTCTTTGAAAAATAAAATTATGATGCCTTGAAACCATATTCTATGTAATTTCAAAGGACTAATTTTTATGGAAAGAATTTACTTTGATTTGTAATATCCACTTAAAAAATTTTATGCGCATAAATTTGCACATGTAAATTTTATATGCATAAGATTTGTATATTTAAAAAACAAAAATTTTAATATTTTTGTGTACCATTTTAAAGGAAATAAATTAACGAAATGAAAGAATACAAAATGATTGTATGGAAAATGGTACAGGGCATTAAGTGCACTTTTTGCTTTAGCACTTAAACAAGACAAAATCTTATCAAAAAGTTTTATTAACAAAGGAGTTGATTCCAATTTCCCTGAAATGTCTATGTACCATAATATACCGAACCAACATTCCCTTGGTAAGGGCCCTCGGCATTAGACCTTTATGTAATACTTTATATACATGTACATGCTTTTTGTACAACCACTTTTAATGTGTGAATTTTCTCTGAACTAGAGTCTCAGACTTTCACGAGAATAAGCACGCCTTAGAAGTGGGTGTACTTTGTTTTCAGGGCTGTTTTTTTGCAGGAAAATATTGTCCATTTTTTGCTTGCGTTCTTCATGTGAACTTACACCTGTTAAAGCATACCCGTTGCTCTCAGCATTTTTGACTTCATCTCAAATTTAGATCACCCAAACAATCTATTTAAGCATTTTCTACCTTACGAATTTTAACTCGTGTAGAATAACATATTATATTTTTAGATTCACAAACATTTCAATTATTTTTCTGGCTTTTTATACAATTTATAACTTTTATAAAATAAAAATGTGTAATCTTGTAACCGTAAACATTTATATTCAAATCATTTTCTTATAAAGTTTTCATAGCAACATAAGTTGCTATGGACTTTGCTTTGGAGATTATTTTTCTTGGATGTGACATTTACTATAAAAATACTACTAATTGATATTATTTTACTCTAAAGTGCTGGTATAGTTGTACAGGTAAGAGAAATTTGTAATGGTTAGAACTTACGTATAATATAAATTAAACTGTTTGTGTTTACAATGCAACCATTTCCCCGAATATATCTTATGAAAACCATTCTTGAACAAGACTGCTTTTCATCAGGAGGAACAAAGGAAATGAAATTATATATTGAATTGTGAAACCAGTCCAGCAAAGCTAGACTGTGTTTCTTCAGGAGTAAGTCATGTGAGCGTGTTCCAATCTGATGAAGTCCAAACAAAAGGTATTAAAATGTGTCCGTTGGAATGAAATATGTCTTGTTCGTGCATAACTTAAAGTAAATTTCATCAGAATTTTCCCATTCAGCCTTCAATGACATACTTTAAGAAGAGTAATGTTATAATTTTAAATGACTGTGTGTATTAAAAGAATAAATGCAGCTGTGCATAATGTGACTTAATGTAGTGTTACACTTCCCGTCCACCGTCCATCAAAAAAAAATTGGAAGTCTGTGTTTCAGATATGATCTATCTAAAAATTTATATCATACTTTTGGTTAGTATAATGACATCATTTACAAGAACACAATGCCTCGAGTCTTGATAAGTATTTTCTACAAATTACATGTACCGTATTTCTGTCCTGTAAATAGGTCATTTGGTTGTATTGTAAACAAGCCAGCTTTTTGTTCCCAACATGTTGATATTCGTTTTAGTACACGTATATAAGTCTTTTAGTATTTTCCTTTGTTATGAATTGTTTGTATGCAAATGAAATTTGATGTATAAATATGTCCAGAGTAACTTAACCAAATAAAAAATTCAAATAATTTAACAGAAAAAAGATCACTCAATTTTAAATGTGAAAAAAAATGTGAAAAATAAGAATAATAATGACTTGTTCAGTTTGAATATCTTGAAGGATTTCGATGAACCAAAAATTTAAAATATAATGACATAGAAGAACTTGGTAAATTTATACTCAATTTACTCAAAAATAGGTTAATTCACTGACTAGCTCATTACATTCTTAACTATAAAAAGATTATTATAATGATAAAACTAAATGTATATAATATAAATAAGTCAATGGGGATTTGGTTCATTTATAATTCTACCTGTATTTCTCTATGTACATTGCAGTATTCCAAAATTACAATAATTAATATTTTATAATTAATCAAATTAATAAATAATTACAATACATCTGAAACCTACACTTTACATTTAAATGGTTTAAACATGGAATAAATACATAAAAATACATATAATTATGCTAATGCGTAATATTAATTATGATAATAATAAATTATTTATTTATAATAGTGACATGTGTAAACATAATTTAAAATCAAATCATATAACTTATTAAATACACCCAGCCTAATGGGCCTATAAGTCACACCTTCAACTAAAACATGAAATATTTACATCAAGTGATTGTATTGTAATATATATAAAATTAATGAATTTTAAATAAGGATTTTATTCCACAAACATGGTTATATTCAAAGATCACACATTCATAACATTTAAATTATTTAAACCTTAACCTACATAACATGTGTAGTGAATTTACTTACTTTAAATTTGGATAGTCCATTCAAAGTTTAAGGGATTTCAATATACAAAAATTTAACTACCAGTTATATACCGGTAATAGAGTCTGTTCCGAGACTGGACAGTTACGTAGGCTTGCCAGTCTCTATGCTGGTGGTATAACTAAAAGGGCAAATCACAGGGGGTTAGAGTCGGTTAAGGTTTAAATACAACGCATGTATCAAGGTATCATAGCATGTTTGAAATAAAATCAGAATTTTTCCACGCATGAACACCCCAAATTTTTTGGGTGACAAGACCTGACCAATCATCCACCACCAGTTTTTCTGAATATGAAATGTCAAGCTCTTTCATTGCTTGGTTAAATCAGTAATGATGATTTATAAAGAACCATATTACAGATAACTAAAGAACCTTACTAAGATTTATTTTTTAATTTATTTTCTAAGTTATTCATAATCTTAAGTAACAGACAATTGTTTCAAACATACGTTTTTTTAACATAATACTATGAATGTAAGATTTAGTTTACATTGAAATAATCAAAAACAAGGCAATGTGAAAAGTATTTTCTAGAAATTTTCTGTTTCATCTCCATACATTTATAAGTTAAAATTTGAATTAAAGAAGTTCTACTCTTTAATACTTTTTAAAAAATTGATAAGGTTACTTTGGTAGAGAAAAAGATAGTAATGTTGACAACATGTAAATGATAAGTTTTAAGGCATAGTGCTACAAAAAAAAAAAAACAAACATAATTATAATATGAAATAAAAGTAGATATATTTAGTAACTTTGATATGAAAATATCAGTATGTCCAGATATTAAATTTATCATGAAATAAAATACCTTAATTAAGCTTTTATGTAATTTAAAAAAACAAATTAAGATAATTAATTTATGAATGTTGTAAGTTTTAGAATTAATTATATGATAATGATGTCATAAAGGATAAAGGAATTAAAAAAAAATCAACCACTTAATTTGAGAGGTTCTGGACATTCAATTGTATTTTTGGCATTTCTTGTTTAGTCACAGGGTCGTGGGGGTCGTGTTGGAAGACGTGTCAGGGCCAGGTGGTTGTCGTCAGCGTCGCTAGTGAAGACGGCTTTAAAATCGCTGACACGCACGTCAAGTGGTACTTTATAGTGTAGAAATACACAACATTGTTGATTTGAATGGTCCAAGTATGTATACTGCATTGTTTAATACTACATTTTATACTTCAGTTCAATTAACATGTCCCTGAATTTTAAAAAAATGTTAATTAATTGATTTTCATCAATCTAATACGGTAATTTTTGGTAAACAAACACAATTTCAACACTTTAGAACCTCCCCTAGCCAGTACAAAGATTTTATGCAGTATACATAATTGACCAGAATGAAGTCTTAAGACCAATTCTTTTATTTTATGTTATGTAAAAAAATCATGTGATAGAAATACTTGAAAATTGTTTTGTGTAGTGTAGGGCACTGCACCTTTTTACTGGCAAAATTTCAGATTTTTTTTTATTTAACTTAAAAAATCTTAACATAAAGATGGAGGAATTCCAGTAAGGTGTAGATAATATTCTTACATTTTCAGGATGTATGAGAGAAAAATATATGTAGAGAGAGAGAGAAAATAGCTTTTACCTATGTGCTGGTATGAAGGTTAGAGAGAAAGTGTTGCATGAAAGGCTATATGTATACAAGAATATTATCTACATAATTATATACTGCATAGAGTTTACACGAAAATTTAATTTATTGATTTTTTTTCGACACACAATGTGTGTAAACCAGTGTAAAGGGTGCAGAATTTGTTGCATTTTTATTGAGAGAACATCCCATTTTCTAGGAAAATTTCTTGTTTTCTATTTAATAAAAAATGTAATTCATCCGTGCTTTCATTTCACATGTTATAAGTTTAACTACTTTTTTCATTGATCATCATTAAATCATCTCATATCATGCAAAAGTGTAATATGGCTTATCACATACAGAAAATTGTCGTGTACAATTAAGTTTAAATTACTTAAGAAAATAAAACTTCTACTGAAATCTTTCAAGGTTATTGCCACCAATCTTGGTATTGAGACCTATGAAATGATATTTTGGCTTTTCTAGAAATTGATTTGGTTTCGACGTAAGGAAAAAAATCAACAAATAAACAAATACACATTTAAGAAATGGCTTGATCATTTTCAAGCAATTTCTTAATGTACCTATTTATTTGACCGATCAGCACTCTTTTTGCATTTGACTTTTCGTTTCTCGTTTTACCGAGACTATAAATTATGTACACGGCAGTTACATGTATTCATGATGACAAGAACATTATATTTATGCATGTACCCAGATGTTGATATAGGAGGTTTCCTTTGTAGAAATATATGAAAAAATTATGAATGAGTTTAGAAAATCATGAAACCTTTCATAATTTTGCTTTCACCTTCATGTTAGATTCATTTATACTGCATGAAACAAAGAAACAGCTTAATTATACAAACATTTCTGTACCATATCTGTTGACAACACCTTCTAATGAACAAACCGCCAAGACTCCCAAGTCCTTTCCTAAACAAAATCTTATCTTTCCCTATTCCTTCTACACAGAATCTGTATTGAACTGTTTAATAATTGTTATGGTACTCAACTCAATGTATTAATAGTAGTCAAATGAACAAAATATGACTATATATAGCAGAAACCTGACCGTGTTTTCTCTCAACAGTTTATCAAAGTTTTTAGTAAGTTTCCCTTAAAACTTAGTTTAAAAACTTTCTTTCTTGAATGCATTGGTCATGAAAATGATAAAGTTAAACATTTTTAGATTCCCTGAAGGGCATCCAAGATGGCCCAAGGGCATCCAAGATGGCCCGATCATGTAAGATGAAAAATGGATTATGTTTCACACAGTTCTTTAAAGTATTACGTAAGAGAATTGTATAAATAGCATTCAAGGTCAATACTAGTCTGGATTACAACTGCCTGTTACTAGGTTACCGCAGAATAGTAGGCAGGGAACCAGAATAGGTTAATACAAGCTAACAGTCCTGTACCCTGGTACCGGCTTAAGCATGGCTTAACATTTAAAAGTAAAAATGGTGCTTTACATCTAAATGTAGAAACATCTGCAGAATGTCCATTTTTCTTATCAAAGTGTTATTGTTCCCTTTTAATAATAACAAGATCTATCAACTCATGAGTGTCGAACAATATCAGAAATGTGATACCTTGTTATGGCAATTAATATCCTGGCTTTTACTGCCTTTTAATAGCTTGGTGATGGGTCATTATTTATAACTGAATCAAAATTAGTATTCACTAATAGAGACTTAAGTCAATTCCTCTGGCTTGAAATATGTTTGTGGAATAATAAGAAGTAAAGCTTATTTTGTAGTTTAGGAAATTGCTCAGTGATCTCTTGTCGGTATTACAAGGAAAAACACATGGTATAGGGGAGTGCTTGCCTTACACACATAACAAAATAGTAGATAATATGTAGATATATTGCATAAATTATGACAAAGCTTCAATCAATATCAGACAGCACTCTTATATAAATAGAGACCTGTTGAAATATAACAGCCATAGATACATAGTGGCTCCTTTAATTACGCATATATATTTAATTTAGTTAGTTACCAGTACTTGTTTAAAAAGAATCACATAGCTTCAGGCATGATGGAATACAAACTTTAAAATATACATTTTTTTTTCTGTCCACTTACAAAGACAAACAACCACACAAATAATCTATATGCCCACACATTCATTTACAAATCATTAATTTTCAAAACACACTACACCAACAGCAAAAACAGTTAAATTTATTTTCTGTTATTTCCCCATATTTCATAACCATAGACTTATTAGGTAATTAATATCACCCATTAGTAGTTCTTCTTTATCATATTACTTTTTCCTCTCTTACACTTATCTATATATGCAACTGATGAAAACAAACCTGTCAGCCTGTTTACTGATAAGCCCTGCCTATTGGATTTCATTGGTGTAATTGAGCACAATAACAGTTTCACCTTTTCAGTAATATTTTGTAAAAGGGTGTGGGGGTGTGGGGATGGTGGAGAAAGGTTGTGAGGGTTATATTATTATCACAATTCTGAGGACAGGCATGTTTTTGTTTGTTTTGCTTTTATATATATGTATATATGTATGGTAGGCCCCCCTTTTGTATATTCTAATAAAACGCCCCATCTCATCAAACAATCATATTATTTTTCATTATGTATTCATTTATGACATAATAAAGATATCTTGTATTTAAAAGAGAGGTGCCAATTTTGCTTAATATGCAATTTCCTTTATTTGTAGTTTGGAATGTTTGAAACATGTTTAAGTGCATTTATGGATGAGTTCCCGAAAACTCTACGAAAGCGACGTGTCTTGGTTTCAGCCATAGCATGCTTCATAGAATTCCTCCTAGGTCTACCGCTTATCACAGAGGTGAGTTTATACATGTAATATGTGCATTGTTGTTGATATAAACCTTTATTTCACACCCCATAAAATATAACCAATGAATAGTTAGTGTTTGTACCATATGATGTTCCAAAAGAAACATAATTGAATCCAGTCTTATCAATTAAGCCTCGTTTTAATTTCCAGAATCCAAAAAATGCATATCATACTCCATACAGCCTAGACTTCATTTTTATAGTCCAAAAAATCTATATCAAATGTTTATTGCACTTAAAGTAACAAAGCTTAGATCAGACTTAGTAAACAGTTACTGGCTTATTTACTTAGAGGTTTAATTGGTGACCCTAATAGATTCATGTGTAGATTACTTAACAAAGAGATTGAAATTTTTATCACCTGGGTAAAAAATGTTTTAAGACCTGACAGTTGCAAGTGTAGTGTTTGAAATTAATAGAAGTTATTTGAATAAGTTGAACCATTTGAATAAGTTGAACCATATGAACAATTCATTTTCCACAATAACTTAATGTTTTAGCTGGATATTATTTTCAAAAGATAAATGAGAGATATTTGTATTTTTTCAGGGAGGAATCTACGTGCTACAGATCATCGATTGGTATTGTGCAAGCTTCTCCTTGATGTTGATTTCATTTACGGAATGTGTTGCCATCGGATGGGTTTATGGTATGTTCAAATACAATGTAGAGCATTATTATCCATGTAGCTTATGGAATGTCAGTGGTTCTTACTTGGGTGGCCATGCGTGCCTGAAATAATGCTAAGAGGGGCACCTGAGGTCTGCCTTCACCAGTAATGCTGGAAAATCACCATAAATTATAACCTCTACTGAGTTAGTGTGACATAAAATGCTTCCCAAAACAATAAAAAAAAAAACTGTATTATTATTGTATTTCATTTTCAACCAATTTTCATTACATAAACCAATGAAGTGGCTTTCATTAATCAATGCTGCAAGGTTTGGCCTACCAAGCTTTACTGTATTAGTAGCCTTAATTCTGGTTCATTGTGTTTTCAGAAAATAAACCACCGCTTGTTTCCTAATTTGAAAGTCTTGAAAATCATGTTACAATTTCTATTTTGAACAAGAAAAGAACTTAAGTGACTTTTAACCACAGATCTTAATGATAGAAAATTCTTTTATCAATAACATGTATTTATAATTTTGTATCTTAAAAAGGAATGATAATAGTCAATAATGTTGGTTGTTTGTTGTTGCAGGAGTGGATAGGTTCTACAGGGATATAGAGTTAATGATTGGATACCAACCCAATGGTATGTGGAAGGTTGCTTGGAAATATGTTACACCCTTGGTCATATTGGTATGTTACTTTATTTTTAACCCTTATATAATGCTTAATATCTTAATGAGACTTGTCTATTTTTCAATCTTGAAAAAAAACATTCCCCGTTTTAAATTGAAAATGTCAAAACTGACTGAATAGCGAACAGTGCAAACTATGGTCACACTGCACACAAATAGAGAAAACAGAATCCCTAAAGAAAGCCAACGGGGCAAAATGGACAATGATGCAGGCTTGGTTTGATTGAGCCTGTTCATGAACGGAACTGGAAAATGCAAGTTACTGTCTTGCAAAGGCTTAAGGAGAATTCAACATTTAAACACGAACATGGTGAAATTTTGAAACATCCGCAGATGTGATCATACAAATCATGCATGGGTACAGGCTTTTTACTATGCCTGAAAGCTCTCTTTATGCCCCCGCCATATATGGGGCATATAGTGTTACCCTGTTCCGTCATTCCGTCATTCCGTCCTTCTGTCATCATCAGTTTCCGTTCATTATCTTAATAACCGTTGCACATATTGAACTCAAATTTGACATATAGATATGTCATGAGAAAATACAGGTCAAGTTCGAAATTGGTCATGGTTCGATGATTTTTGGCAGAGTTATGCCCCTTTTACTTTGAAAATAATATGAAATTTTCAGTTTCCGTTCATTATCTCCCCAACGGTACAACACATTCAACTCAAACTTGACATATTGATATGTCATGAGAAAATACAGGTCAAGTTCAAATTTGGTCATGGTTCGATGATTTTTGGCAGAGTTATGCCCCTTTTACTTTGAAAATAATATGAAATTTTCAGTTTCCATTCATTAACTCCCCAATGGTACAACACATTCAACTCAAACTTGACATATGGATACGTCAAAAGAATGCGCAGGTCAAGTTGGAATTTGGTCATGGTTCGATGATTTTTTGGCAGTTATGTCCCTTTCACTTTCAAAATAATATAGATACATCTTAGTAATAAGCAGTTTAAGTTTTAATTTGGTCGTTGTTCAATGATTTTGGACAAACTTATCTTTCCCGAATGTTGGAAAAATTTTGAACTTTCAGTTTCAGCACTCATACTTTTGTGGAAATGTATATAGCCATTATTTTGGCTACAAATATGCAATATGCTTTTTTCAAAAGGTTAAGACTGAATAATTTCAGTGCCTTGAACATTGTATGAAAATGGTTTGTGTTAACATTGAAAAGTTTTAAGGGCTTTGAACTTAAAATGAAAAAAATAATTTGTGCAAACAAATTTGGAACTAAATATTATAACATTTGAAATTTTGGCTGCATGCGGGGGCATCGGTGGCATGATGACACATTTCTAGTTTTCTATATAAAATCAATTGAAATAATACTAAATTCAGGGTTTTCAGATTTTGTGATATTTTTAACTTGTACACATTCGAAATATGCCAGGAAAGCAAACACAAGGTTTAGAAAGTTGCTAGTTTTATAATATCTAGATTCTTAAGTATTCAATTCCTTTCTCCAAAATTCAGCTTACTTTATGAATCATAATTAAGTATTAATACCTAATACATCCATGTTTTTATATTTCAGTTCGTCTGGTTGTTCAGTATAATAACTCTTGGTCCAGTTACGTACGGAGGTAAGGCTTATCCTGAATGGGCGGTGACATTTGGCTGGTGTCTTGGCAGTGTATCTATTATACCAATCCCAGCTTGCGCTATTTATCAACTGCTCAAAGCAGACGGCACATTTATGGAGGTAAATATTTAGAGGCATTATAATTAACTGTGTAATTTCTGATGATAGTATCAGTTCAGATTTGGTCTTGGATTTGTTTTTGTCCTATAAGGCATATTGAACGTTGACCGCAAAACTGCAGTAACATATTGCAATCAACCCTTGTTATGCTAGGCGATTTAGTGGCGTTGATCTTTGTCTGTAATAAACTGTGTTTAGTTTGATTGTGATGGAAGCTATAAGCTTATTGAAACTGTCGAATCTGTTCCTGGAACAAACCAGTGCTATGTACTGAATGTCAAGTTTCTTGCTCAAGGAAGCAATGGCTAGCTTGCCCCTGACAGGGTTTGAATCCACGCAGTCAGCAATCCTTACTAGTCCGAGGTGTAAACCACTTGGCCATGCTGTTGTTAATGGATGCCACCAATATAACACTGTTTATCATGTCAAAGTTGCTTGTCCCATTATGTCACAGATTTTAATTCTTAAAAAACCAAAGTTCAATTCAAAACTTGGGGTTTATTTCTTAGACTTTAAATGACGATATAAAACACGAGAAATTTATGATTTGACGGGTCTGAGGGTCCAAAGGAACACATTAACTTGGGCTTGATGTGTTATCATCAATGTTAACATTTTGTTTGCATATTTTGTAGTTCGATGATAATAGATAATCTTTAAGAATTGTGAATGAAAATTCCTATCAGATTAAATTAAGCTTGATATCAATGATACTCAGTTATATAAATCATTAAATGTTCATTAGTGTCAAATATTTTTTAGCATCAAAATACCAGCTCCAATATCTAATTATACATTTACTTTTTTTTAAAAAAAAACAGCGTTTACGTAAAATAACAACACCGTCAAAGAAATGGGGTCCAAGGAAGGATGAGCATCGTCAGGAATATTTGGAATCGTTAGAGGCCGACAAAGTACTACAAACATTACCTATGTATCAGACAAGAACTGTCAAACGAAATGTTGCTGAACCAGAGGCAAAATCATTTTTGTCCTGAAATGGAAAGGTGTAAATCAGATATTTAAAAAAGACAGTGTATTTTGTTATTCCATCGTGCAACATAAAGCCAAGCTTGGCCAGTTTTCAGTTTCCGGCCGTTGTTCATAATTGCGGCCCATTTCGGCTTTGTCTCCAGTTTAAGATCATTAACACAAAGTTGAAAGGAAATCAGGTGATGCAGATTTTATCTAAAGATCATGATATTATATGTGATAATTAAAAGACAGAGTGAAGAATTACCATTAGTAGGTCAAGGACAATGTAGAAGAGGTGCAAAAAATATCTAAAAGATTACCGATAGTAAAGTTTGGATTATAATCATAAGTTTTTCTGTAGAAAAAGGGCAAGATCTTGACTATTTTTGGCTGTCATTTTTATTAGCCATTAATATAAGTTCAAAAACGCTCGAGAAAGTAAAGCTTGAAGAACCAAACAAACTAACAAATGAAAAACACTGGGAAATTTGGAACAATGCAAAAAGGGTATAACGATTTTTATGTCAGATTTCGTCTGATATTTTGTTGAGATTCTGTGATCTAGTGATTTATTATATGTGAAATCAATTTCTTTTAATTTATGTATATATTTGATTTGATTTGATGTATTCAATTTATTTAAATGTTAGAAATCAACTGATTTAGTCTGAAAAATGAATAACTGAAAATGGGATTTGGGATCATACAATAAAAGTTTAAGTACTGAAATACTAGTACAATTACACTTCCAGGTCAGACCAGTGATGGCAGTTTTGTAACAGTTTTTGTTTCATTGCTGTACGAAATATAATTATATATGATCACCATAGTATGATAGTTCTTGTATTTATGAGTCATCATTTCATATACATTCAAGCTTCCTTTGTCTTGCAAAATAATAAACATTTTCCTAGAATACAGATAAGATTTAAGTTTTATATCATGCAACTGAGTTAAAAAGAAAATTAAAACACGGGTCTAGTACCTTATTGTATTTCACAAATTGAAAATAATTTATATAATTTTAATGAAAAAGGAACATTTATGGCATAGCTTTGTGTCAAGTCGGCAAGTTGTATGAGGCTTATCGTTTTTAATGAATCAACATTTAAGCCTCACTTTTACATGACATAATTATACATATTTTTAATTAACTAGAACATTTGTTTATATTAAAGGGACTCCACTAAGATTCTTTGACCAGGATAGGAATGGAAATAAAATTTTGTGATTTGTATTCCATTTGATGTAGGTCTAGACCATTAACTTGTGTACAAAATTTCATGTCATCCGCTCACTCCATTATTCCAGAATGATTATTCAAACTGTGAAAAATGGCCCCAAAATTGGAAAGCATTGCAATGCTCAAATTAAGAGATAGCACAAAAACACAATTTCCAATTTTTTTCTTTGATATTTTTAATTTTGTTTTGCATATATTTCTGTTTTAAGTGCCTAAGCTGATCTATGTAAGAAATTCAAATTTTATGTTTTAGGCTTTTGGACCTCAGTGGAGTTCCTTTAACACTTGTTTAATATTATCATACTCTAGATTTTTGCCATCCTGGTTGTTCTGGTTAAGCTAAATACAATCATATGTAACAAAATATTTGCTGACCACATTACAATCATAGATCTCAAATTAACAATCTTTTTATATGGATATTATAATGTCTATAAGAGGGACATCATGTTGTTGTTTTTTTTCTTTTGTTCAGTAAAGTTCAAAGAAAAGTTGTTAGCACAAATTATTTACTGAAATGATTGGTGTTCTTTCAATAAAACATCATTTTTCTGCGCTTATGTATTTGTGTTTTCGTGAATTAAGATATTTTTATGTACAGTCTTATCCATTGAAACTGTATGAACAAAATAGATATATTTTTATTACTTTCTCTTTAATTGTTTTAGATAAATTGCAATTCTGTTTTTTGTATTATTCTCATAGATTGTAAACTGCATATTAAACTTACATGTGACTCTTTATTTATGTTAAGGAAACACAATTTTCATTTTCATTACTGTAATTTTTTTTGTTTTACTTGTAATTTTTATTTGGAAATTACAACTCCATTCTGGGCCCAAATGTTTTGTTTCTGTCTATATTCTGACTTTTAATCAAAATGTAGGACATGTTTTTGAATAATGGTATTAAAATTTCTTTGATTTTAGTTTCTTTCTTTTCCTTAAACCCTTTTACCCTTCACCTGCTGACTTTCTCAGGTTAATATATACATGTACATTGTATATTTTATTTCTTATTAAACATACTTGCCCAACTTCCATTTTTGGGACTATCCATTATTAATTTTGGAAATATCAAGATGAAAATTTAAAGTTATTCAGCCAACAATGAAGAGCCTCAGGTCAGACAGCATGGATGTCCAGACTGGCATGGATCTACACTAATGGCAGAGATTACCATAATCCGGTTCTCATCCAGTCGTGGAAGGATATAGCAGTTTATTATAGGAGTATAGAAACAAAAACTTATATTCTAGATTAAGTATACAAAAAATTGAGCATCTATTTGTTGTTCTAACACCTTTCTTATCAGGTTGATGAAGGCTTCTTTTAAATTTTATAAATGACCTGTTTCTACCCACTGATAGAAATGCTAAAATGTATACAATTGTAACTGCATTACAGTCATTACAAGTATTACATCAAGTCATAAAGTATTACAACATATTTTTGACATTAAAATTCTCATATTAATTCTGTCTTATTATTAAGAAAACCTGATGCAATAGTGGGTTTTGCTTGATTTATTGAAAGTGTTCACAGTATTTTAAAGGCATTCATTCAAGTAATAAGTGTTACACAATGGTTTTTATCAACAAAATATTGGGCATCTAAATATTTAAATAGATTAACAATCAAATGTATTTATCCTCTTGTCTTTGCTTAAAGCAGCATTCCTCCAAATGCATGCTAAATTTCGTGAAAATTTCAAAAGTGTATTTAAATGTAAAACATTGTGTAGTGAACAAAGAAAGTAATTACAAAGTGCAAACGGTACATACAGTAAACATAAAATCACCAAAAAGAGGTTAAAATATGCAAATTTACCCCTTACTGCGTTAGTTACGCAATAGCAGTGACGCAGCAGAAATACGATGATAGATACTGCAAAATCAGATATTAATCATATATGAAATGTAAATTATTACTTGAATCTTTTTACTTTTCTTTAAATTTAAGTTTGATTTTCTTGAAATATTTTGGCTCATTTGGAGGTATGCAGCTTTAATATTTTTATATACTTCATAATTTTTATTATTATTATAAGGTTGTCCTTTAAAAAAGCACATTTTTGTTTTGTTTTTGTTTGTGTTATTTTTTTTTCACTGAAAGTTACTGATGTTTTGACAACTTCAACAATTTTCAGTGAAAAAAATGTATATTGTTAAAATCAACTGTTGTTAAGGACAAACCTTAAAGCAATGCAAATCTAATGTCTGAATCATTTTTTTCTGCCACAGGTGTTTTTATTTCTATTGAAACAGAAGTCAGTTTCAGGGGAATTTACGGTATGGAAAGTTTTGCTTTGCCAGTTCAAACTTTTGAAATGTTTCAGGAAAAATACCATGATTTTGATAACAATGTATTTGCTTTTCAAAATTTTAAGCCAAAAAGAAAAAAATGTTTTCTGAATGAAAATGTTTCATAGTCCGTGGTCAAGTGTTTAAGGTTGGTGACTTCAAACCACTTGCCCCTCAAGTTATGGGTTAAAATCCTTACAGGAACTTTGACAGCTAGCTTACGGAATCTTGGTGGTTCTACACAGGTGCCTGTTTGTGCCTGAAATAATGCACGGAAGGGCACCACCAGTAAAGCTGGAAAGTTGCCATATAAATTATACTGTGTTGAAAAAGTATGAAAAATGTTGGATATTATTATCAAATGTTTTAAGAAATTGGGGAAATAGCTGTTCCTATAACGGGAAAAATGTATCAGACATTAGTCTCTAATGGACCATCGATTCTGAGGTACAGAAAAATTATATAAATTCCTGTTTATTTACAATATTGCAATATTTGTGATTTTTTTCCCATTGAAAATTTTGCACTCATTGTTTGCCATATTTCTTTTTTTATTAGGTTATTAAACTTATTTAATAAGATCATTTAATTAGTCGTTTATCTATCTAGGACAAGAAGGAACTCTTGTTATGTTAATTTGATTATTGGATATGACTTTTTTTTCATCGTTGTAACAAGTGTCATAAAACAAACATTGTTCAAGACGCGCTAGATTTTCTTTAACAAAAAAAAAAGATTTGTTGCCTTGCATTTTTGTCACCAATTTATTTGGTTTGACATTTAACTATTTTGATTTAATAATTCAATTAATACTCGTTATCTTCAAGGTGCTTTCTTATAACATAATCATATCATTTTCAAAGAACGATTGCATTCAAAACATTTTGCTTGCATAGTTGTTTGTATAGTTACAAGTACTTGTGAATATTAGCCTTTAAACCGCAGAATTTCTTAAATGGACTTGTCTGACATACATTTTTGGTACTGCCCATTATCATTTTTAGGGATATCAAGATGAAAATCTGAAGTTTCATCAGACAACAGTGTAGAGCCTGGTCAGACTGCGCAGATGTGTAGGTTGGCCTGGCTCTAACACTAAACACTAAACATTAATATAAAATTTCATATTGTGCCTTGTGTGAACGAGAAAAAATATCTGAAAAATTCAGATTTTTTTTTTTCTTCAATATTCTCTTGTTAAACCAGCGTTTATAGAATTATTGAATATCATTATTTGTCAATCTTAATTTAATAGATATTTGGCTGGAAGGGTTATACAAATGAAAACCTGTAATTTTATCAACATTTTAGTTAAGGCATTCAATATTAAGGCATTATCATGTCATTTAAATCTGCTGTGTATAGTTATCATTAATTATATTTCACATTATAAGTCTTGTTTTGTGTAGCTCTTCTTTGACCCGTCATCAGCTAACATTTGTATAATAAAATTATTCTACATGACTTTTTTTTGTGTATCAATAAACACAAAGAAATGCTTTGTATTAAATTCCAACATTGATTTAAAAGTTTTAGGTTGAGAATTTATCTGTGTGGGTATAAATATACATTTTGTATAATTATGTTCTTAATTTATTTATGTTCACTTCATTTACACAAACATATAGTACACCGCAACATTTTCTTTTTACATGTATAAAAAAGCTAAGGTATGAACAATTGATAACCTGTATGACCCACAGAAATTTCTATAAATACAACATATCCTTTTAAATTTGATATTGGTAACGTTTAATGAATAAAAAGAGTGTGACAATCTTTTTATATTTCAGGCAGTTTTTATCCAAAACATTGGATGGTCAATTAATTATGATAGATATTGAAATTTATAGCTAATTCAGCTGATGTCGTCATAAAATGTTGAGCATAATATCACATTAAATAAGAAAGTCTCATCAATGTCATTGCTTTTAATTTTCTTGATTCAGCATATGACGCAAAAATCCTAATCTTGACCTGAAACTAATATTCATTTATTCTTTACTTTAATCGAGAAACAATATTATTAATTAGTGTTTTGGCATCAAGCCCTCAAAATTCAGTCTTTATAAAGATGATGGATAGACAGTCTAATAGTAACAAAGTTTTGCAATAGGTCCAAAGAATTTTAATAGGTCATTGTTAAAGAATTCATTTATATATGCATGTACATGTATGAAATTGCAGCTCGTCTCAAATCGTGTTCTATTATTAATGACCTAAGTCAGAATAAATGCCAGTTTTAATACGTTTATTATGATAATTCTTTATTATCAGTCTTGATCTTTATATAAAGAAAACATTGGTTGCATTTTTTTTTTGTGATTGTATTTTTAGTGATGATTAAAATACAATTTAAGATATGTTTTGTAATTAAAACGATTGAAAATCTTTTGTTTGTTATTGTTTTATACTGCTACATATGATCTATAAAGATACTATAGTGGGACTAGTTCTCAATCCGTCAGAATGAAAATTATATGATGTCACCATCCTCTTGTGTATTTTCTTTTCATCTTCCAATTTCTCACTATGGAATCTTACTAAAGTTATACAATTGCACTTGGAGCAATAATCACAAAAGCTGATGTTTTTTGTCTCGTGCTTTGTGCGACACAAAAAGAGAAGGGACAGATGGACAGACAAGGGTAAATCTAAATGCCCACCCCCCTACAGTGGGGGCACAAGGTTTTCATTATTCAATAATAAACCTTCTATAAGTACCACTTGAAATTTGCTGCTCTGATACTAGTACTTGACCAACACTTTTTGAGAATTTCATTTTTAAGTGTTGCAAAATGGTCACTTTATGTTATGGTTGTAAAATTTATGACTGTTATGCTTTACCCATTACCATACTAAATATTTTACATTGACTTGTCCATCTTTATGAAAAATTTTCAAAATACCGTTACCAACTGCACAGTGTAGACCATGATCAGACTGCAAAGATGTACTGGCTGTTCTTGATCTGCACTAGTCACACTGATAAAATATGTTGCTGCCAATAGGCAAAGGTTATTGTTCAGTAACAGTACACCTTGTATGACATATAGCAGGACTATGATCTATCCTATAAAAGATTGCAAAAATACTGATCAACTATCTCTTAAACATAAACAAAATCATGTACTGTTTTGAAAATATTTATTGTTTACTATCATCACCAAATATAACAAGATATGTTTGTAAAACATGTATGCCCCCTATCAGCAGCCAATTAGTCATGTGATAAGGTTATTATGCATGACTTCTGACCAGGTCATCAAACAATTAATAAGGGTTATCAAGTATCTACTGGTCATGATCTTAACCTTTGACCCCTTGACCCAAAACTCAATAGGGGTCATCTGCTGGTCACAACCAATCATCATACAAAGTTTGAAGTTCCTAGGCCTAAGTGTTTTTAGTTAATTGATAGGAAACCGTTTTAACATACAAGGTCAATGTGACCTTGACCTTTGACCCCTTGACCCCAAAATCAATAGGTTATCTGCTGGTCATGACCAATCACCATACCATGTTTGAAGTTCCTAGGCCAAAGGGTTCTTAAGTTATTGATTTGAAACAATTTTTACCTACAAGATCAATGTGACCTTGCCCTTTGACCCCTTAACCCCAATATCAATAGGGGTCATCTACTGGTCATGACAAATCACCATACCAAGTTTGAAGTTCCTAGGCCTAAGGGTTCTTTAGTTATTGATCGGAAACCGTTTTTACCTAAGAGGTCAATGTGACCTTGACCTTTGACCCCTTGACCCCAAAATCAATAGGGGTCATCTACTGACCATGACCAATCACCATACCAAGTTTGAAGTTCCTAGGCCTAAGGGTTCTTTTGTTATTGATCAGAAACCGTTTTTACCCAAGAGGTCAATGTGACCTTGACCTTTGACCCCTTGACCCCAAAATCAATAGGGGTCATCTACTGATCATGACCAATCACCATACCAAGTTTGAAGTTCCTAGGCCTTAAACTTCTTTAGTTATTGATCGGAAACCGTTATTGCTTACAAGGTCAATGTGACCTTGACCTTTGACCCCTTGACCCCAATATCAATAGGGATCATCTACTGATCATAACCAATCACCATACCAAGTTTGAAGTTCCTAGGCCTTAAGGTTCTTTAGTTATTGATCGGAAACCGTTTTTGCTTACAACGTCAATGTGACCTTGACCTTTGACCCCTTGACCCCAAAATCAATAGGGGTCATCTACTGATCATGAACAATCACCATACCAAGTTTGAAGTTCCTAGGCCTTAAGGTTCTTTAGTTATTGATCGGAAACCGTTTTTGCTTACAAGGTCAATGTGACCTTGACCTTTGACCCCTTGACCCCAAAATCAATAGGGGTCATCTACTGATCATGACCAATCACCATACCAAGTTTGAAGTTCCTAGGCCTTAAGGTTCTTTAGTTATTGATCGGAAACCGTTTTTGCTTACAAGGTCAATGTGACCTTTGACCCCTTGACCCCAAAATCAATAGGGGTCATCTACTGGTCATGACCAATCACCATACCAAGTTTGAAGTTCCTAGGCCTAAGGGTTCTTTAGTTATCACTCGGAAATCATTTGGTCTACGGACCGACGGACCGACAAGTGCAAAGCAATATACCCCCTTTTCTTCGAAATGGGGGCATAATAAATATATACCATTTCAATAAATTTCATCAATAACAAAATATTTTATTCCTGGTAAACAAAATGTTTTACTAAATGGCCAGAAAACTTCATTGAAATGTTCACTTAACATTGTATATAGTTAAAAAATTTACATGATTTATGTGCAATTTAAAGCATGATCATAATGAAAATATCCCCGGCAACATTACACCCGCACAGATAAATAGAATAAAACTAAGTATGATAACTGTATTTTAATATTTTAAGACATTACTACATCACTACCCAATCATACAACGACATAATGTCAATAAAAATTCATTCAACAGTGGTTCAAATACATGTTTTTCAACCAAGTTATTGTCACTTGTGTGGTTGGCTCCTGCTCTAGACACCGCATTTTTTTTCTTGTATGAAAAAACTTGTCACTGCTAGAAAGCAGTCATAACTTGCAAAAATCTTTCATAAACTAAAATAAATATGCTTTCACTTACGTCATCCAAGGTCAGTACTTAACTTTAAGATCCCAGTAAAATTACCAAATAAAAAAATAATAAAACATGAATTTTGCTCACTGAAAGATATACAAGATATACCTGGTAAAAGGCAGTATAAATATGGTCATCCATGATTAACAAATTTGGTAAGAAAACCCTCTGTAAAAATTCTAACACGGGCTAAAAATAACTAGTCTCCTTACATCTACAAAAATAATGAGTGACCTTTGAAGTTACACAGTTTACAATAATTATACCACAATTTAATCAAATGTAATGATATAAAAGTATTAAATGATCATAAACATGAAAATTTAAGCTTTTTACCTTGTTTGATGTACCACATCTAGAAGAAAAATTCATCCAGTAAATGAAATAGTTTTAATAATGATACAGTTAACACTAATCTGGTAAATTATTGATGACTGAAATGAGTCAAAGTGAGTAAGTTTTAATAAAAATTGAACAACACACAATTCATACAAGAATTTGGAACAGAATTACCAATGTCACTCTCCTAGGGGAAGTTTTACATGAAGCACAAGATTGTACTATTTCAAAGACTGAGGAATAGTATCTGGACGTTAAGTACAAAAAATCTTGATCAATGCTGCCTATGCAACAATAAATTAGTTAAAGAAAAAGAATAAAAATAAACTTCTGTGTATCAACACAAAAAAATTGTATAGTTTTTTTCCCTTTTTAAAGCCACAAAATGTGACAAATACATAATAAATGCCCATGGTATGGTCCGTCACAGGGAAAATGTCACATCAGGTCCCTAACTTTTTCATCAATCAAGGTATGTGGGCTATTCGTCAATGGCATTTTTATTTGGTTGAGCCTAATTTAGCATCATACCCTGTTACAGACCATGTTAGGCTTTGACCTCCCAAGTGTGACCTTGGCGTATGAGGAAAATGTTCAGGTATTGCAAATAAAAGGACACAACATCTTCTTATAACAAATATTTGTGCCAAGTTATTTCAAATTCCTTTGATGAATGGCTTACTTATGGACCAATCACAAAAGTTTAACAAACGGAGTCCTTTTCTATACTCACCCTATCTCTTTGAAAAGGCAAAGGGGGCAAAGGGGGCAAAGGGGGCAAAGGGGGGGGGGGTGGAGGTTAAAAAAACCATACCATGAATATTGTGTAAAAACATGCACCTACCAAGGCAACTTGTAGAAGCCAGATTACAAGCATATACAAATCTTGGTTTAAGTTTCTAAAAGGTAAAATTTTATAAAGATTTTTTTACTGAGAATTGTTACCAAAAGCTTTCCATACAAATTAAAACAATATAAAAATATATATTAACAGAAGTATATTATGCTACATGAAAAGTTGAAATGTTAAAAAAAAATTTTTAACAAAAGTGCCACAATGTCTCCAGACAGCTCACCTGAGATCCGTTGCTAGAAAGGTCATTATTTATCAAAGAAGGTACTTGGCCGGCAGGGTAACATTGTTTCCTGTCATTTTTTGACCTAGTTACATGATGTATATGACTTTTGCAGAGGTCAACAAGGACATGCAACTTGCTAAATATTACATGCTAAAGTTATTGGCACTTTGTAGTTTCCTCTGCATTGCTGTTTTGGACAAGATTTTTATACATTTTATTTTCAAAGTATATTTTAGGCCAGTCAATAAACTCTTAAAGCCTCAGGGATACTGAGTAGATTAGTTTAATACAGTACATGTATACAGAAATTGGCTGACAAGTTATCAGTAGGAAAAAGTGGATGATAGTGTTCAGGGCTGAATGAGTTACAATGAGGTCCAACAGACTACAGGCATCATGCAACCAGAAAAGCTTCACCTCTCAGCTCTTTCTGCTCAGGTGAGCTCATCAAATTCATAAGCAGGATAAAATATCTAATTCTGATTTGAAAATATCCAAATCAAGAAAATAACTATCACAAAATGTTAATGTCTTTCAATCTTAACTCACAATTCCAGGTGGGAATTGCACTTAATCACTGTGGTACATAAATTTCTTTGTTCTGTTGTGGAATTTCTTAAAACCTGAAAACTTCCGTCTTTTATGAAGATTTTTTCTTCCTCTTTTTAGATTTCTTTTTAGATCGCGATTTTCTTTTCTCATCTTCTGAATCTGATGATGATGATGAAGAATCACTGGAATCACTAGATGATGATGATGATGAGCTGGATGATGATGACTTTGATGAAGATGATGAAGAAGACGATGATGATGATGATGACGAGGTATCACTATCAGAGTCACTGCTTGAGCTGCTAGAACTGCTTGATGAAGATTCACCATCACTTTTGCGTCTGAAATGAGAGGGAAAGCATCAGTTTACTTATCTGTTATCCTACTCAATATCATTTTGAGTCCATTGCCCTTACTTCGTAATTTGGGACTGTACACAGTGTAAACTCTTAAAAGCAGACTGCTGTAGAACAATAACCTCAAAATAACCTGGTATCAATTTATCACAAAGTAAAATTTCCCCAGAAAATTCAACTTCTCTATAGCAAGGAATAAACATCTAAATACTCCAATAAAATATTTTTCTCTAATTGGTATCAATTAATATTTTAATTTAATAATAAACTTACCCATTTATTAAACATCTAAATACTTCAATAATAATGTATTAATAAAAATAAAGATGGGGAGGAACTGCCTGCTTCTTTGCAAATATGCAGACGGTTCTCCCTCAAAATAGGGAGAGAACCGTCAGGGAGGAAACGTCAGGGGAGGAACTGGTAAGGGAGAGAATAGTCTGACTACCATAGCGAGAGACTAAAATCTTTGGCCCAAAGGGTGGTTCTTTGCATTAATAAGGTAGAACTGTATTTTTAACCTAAAGGAATTCAAGATAAATTTGAGCAGCCAGAAGCAGAGGAAGTTTTTTTTTTTTAACTACTTGTCTGTTAGGCTAAATTTCAGCTTCAAAACAGTTATTAACATAGTAAGTATTCTTGAGTTAATTTTACACCAGTATTTTCAGGCAAGTACATGAACATGATGAAACTGTAAAATTCTACATTTACAGTACAAATGACTAAAAGGGGTATAAAGCTATATAATATCTGCTAAAATATTTTTATAAAATCTAAAAGCAGTAAAAATATGCTTTTCTTCCATAATCTTATGACCGGCTCTTGACTTTTTTTTAATGTTTCTGTTATTTGACACATAAAAATCTGTACTTTAATCGAAGAAAATGTTTCAAATCAAAATTTTATGCTGCTGATTTTGTGTGTGCAACATACTCAAAAGAAAATATACCAACATATCGCATTCATAAAGGCATCTTGAAAACATTCTTTTTCAAAATTCAGACAAAAATTTTGTAAACTCCAAGCAGTCGAAATATAGTTTTATACACTTTAATTAAAATGTCATGTAGCAAAATTTATAACAGTTGGTATAACCTCTTTTTTCGTCTTTTCTTCTTCTCTTTCTTCTTCTCTTTCTTCTCTTTCTTTTCATTTCTGATACTTTCCAGCACAGCTCTAGATTTGGCCCTGTAATATTTCAAGTTGAAAAAGTTTAATAAATACTTCCAAATAAACCATTTTCACTGTTTGGAGGAAGGCTTAACCTGACATCTGAGCATAATATACTTTCATAAAAGATTTTGAAACAGGAAATGTTACATATTTCTTTAAATAGTAGTTTTTGTTTCCAATATCAGAAACATAAGAAAATACGTAATAAAAAACATAATAAAAATCGTATGCCAAATTGCCAATGAAACATAATATTTAAATTTCTTGAACTAGTTTTGAAGCCTTTGCCTTTTGATGCTTCACAAACAATTCAAATGAGAAATGTTTAATTAAAGACTGCATAGGTGGAAGAATACAAAACACTATAGTTTAATGTATTACAAACATGTACATTATGATGAAAAACTATTCTTCAATGGTTACCAATGGTTACCGTACAGATTATTGCAATTTTCATAGGAAAACCTTTAGCTTGCAAGCTGCAATAGCCTCTACCTGTGAGGCCAGTATGGGGTGTCTGTGGACTAGTGGTTAAGGTCGTTGACTTCAAACCACATGCCCCTCACGGCTGTGGGTTTGAATCCCGACAGGGACTTTGGATTCTTTCATGTAAAGAAGTTATCCAGCTAGCTTACGGAATGTCGGTGGTACTCAGGTGCCCGTTCGTGCCTGAAATAATGCATGGAAGGGCACCTGAGGTCTTCCTCCACCAGTAAAGCTGGAACATCGCCAAATGACGTAAAACCCAAACAAACATGAGGCCAGTACAGATTAAAATCAGTGGGCACATCCATGCCATAAGGTCATAGCTTGCTCTGTTTAATACTCAGTATGTTCAATGTATTTTCAATTTTTCCCCTATAACTCATTTCTGATGATTGATAAGTCTATTTAATACATCATGGGTGATAAGAGTTTAAATGCAGAAAAGCCTGAAATAGCTTCAACTTCAGCACATGAAAAAAGCTCAAAGTACTTATCCAAAGTTGTAGCTAAGGACTGAAGCAACACATGGTAGGCCAAAAACCTGTTTTGCCTCATCGTCGGTTACCCATGGTATATATTCCATACATAGATATATTAATGTAGTATGGACGAAAGATATACCGTGGGTAACTGACGATGGTCTTGCCTATGAATATGTCAAAACCTACAAACATAAATATAATGTTAATACATAAGATATAGTATGATGGATTTCTTACAGAACTTCCAGTTTTTCCTTCTCTTCTTCTTTCTTTAATCTCTTTGTCATCTCTCTTGTACGAGACTCTCTGTAAACATATTTCCGCTTTCCCGTGCACTCAAATGTCCAGTGTCCTTTCTCCAAGCATTTCTGACAAGTGAAATTTTCTGCACTTGGCTTACTGAAGTAATTGAACAAAATTCATTATTATTTTTTGTAATGGTATATAGTAGAACAAAGAATTTGCAAGGAACATTGTAAACAAGCAATTTTCAAAGTATTGAAAGCAAAACTGTTTAGAATCACCACACAAGAAGTATGTCAGCAACATTCTGAAAAGCCATGGCCTTTCAATTATGCCATTATCCAAAACATGAATGAACCTTTGATTTATCAAGATTTGTCTGTATCATCATTATGACATAGTGTGTTAGTTTCCCTGCCTAATAAGGGAATTACATGTATCATGTTTATACAACAGATAATCAAAAGATCAAATTTTCTAAGGAATAGGATCATTATATTATGTATAACTACTGTTTCAACTTTGATATATTTTAAGTAATAGTGGTTGGCGATCACCAAAACCGGACAACCACCAAACCCTGACAGCCCTGAAAATGCAGTCACTTTTTTATCAACAATAAATGCATGTTTCTTCTATAATTTAGTAAATAAATTTATTTCAACCTCTGTAAATGGTAATATTTTAATGTCTATTTCAAGAATGTTGACGTTGAAATTTTGGCGTCAAGAAAGTAATGCCTGATCTCATATACCAGCTATAATCATTTGCAGAGTAAACAATAGAATTCCAAAACTTATAATAATGTATATCATGTTAAAAATCAAAAATCAAAACACCTAAGCTTTTATCTTAATTAAATCACACCATGTACATACATGTATCTGTCCGGACACATGGTACTGTAGAGTAGACAATTTAGGTGATTCTGATACCCTCCTTGACGAGCCTCAGATATAAGTGTCAATACAATCAGAAATAAACAAACTAGTTTGATACTTAGGATAAGAACCTAGCTGTACTATGTCAAATTTTTAGGTCTCTGGGTTGGAAATTATGAAATCTTTATGGAAAAATGTTCAAAAAGTGTCCAGCTGATGGTTCCCGACCAGTAAATTTGTTCCAAGCACTTTAAAAGTGATCCAAACATGCCATAATGTCGCGGATGTTCAGGATTGTCCCAGAAATAAGGTATCTGTCCCCGAGGTGTCCCACAGATGATTTATGTCCCGGGAAAAATAAAAATCTAAAATAATCTACTTTGAAAAATTAGGAAATTAGCATGTATGAGTGATCTTATGTTACAGTTTTTATGTATAGACTGGCAGATGGAGGGCATACCTTTAAATCCCCTGATAGTTACCAGTAAAGGACTATAATGACAACTTATGAACATCATCTCCATATTGCTACATGTATTTATCCGTATTTTTAGTTTCATGGACAAAATATCTGATAAATTCAAAGTAATAACTGTTACAGAATTAAAATATTGCCATTGGGAAAGAAAATGTGGTTATAAAGTTACAGGATGATTGATCCAATTATATTGCTATTTTTAAAATAGCAACCAGATTTTTGTTTAGAAGGTCCACTTAGCTGTAATAAGCAATGTTAATTGTATGGCAAATATTTAACTATATGGCTTGGCTTTGTAATTTCAACTTGCACACAGGAAGTCTTTTAAAGTGTATTATCCTATACTCATTTTTGTACTTGGGGACCATATGCAGGGCAGTATTCATGGAATGGTACTAACATGGCACATTGTAGGTTCCATAACTGCCATATGAAAACATCTGCGGATGTTCCTAAAATAAAAATTTACTAGGCCACCTCATGTAAAATGTTGTATTGTTAAGCCAGTACTAGGAGGCATGGACGGTATATTGCAGTTATCAATACCGTCTATGAACAGGCTCAATTAAACCACAGATTTTAATTGACAATTAAAATCCATGATCAAACAAAGCCTACAACAGTTTCATTCTTTATTTACCATACATTCATTGTTTTCCTTTTTGTTTCAAAGTGTTAAGTACTACAAACTAAGACAAATACAGTATAAATGGTTGTATATCAGTCTATCTACACTAACTGACCTGTATTAATTAGCAGGCTATTTTGACAAAATCTAAACTGCTAAACGGACATGATTTTACAAATAACGTTTTGGCTAGTTCTGGCTTCAATTACTTTATGTCACTTTTATTTTGAAGTTGTGCTATAAATAGCTATAACTATGTGAGTGGCTGTAATTGGTTTGGTTGCCTTTCTGGCAGTACTATAAAACATGTTCGCTGATTTTAGGTACGTTTTGACTTGAGGACGTATTGGATAACAGAGATACATTTTGAAAAGTCAAAAACATAGTATATGAAGAACAATAGTCCAAAGAATTGTTCTTCATAATAATTATAGTAAAGATGACTATAATGTAATGTTAGTGACGGACAAACCTTTTTCCAAGAAAAGAATTCATTGTCTCACCATACGTTTGGGAACGTTTTATAGTAAGCACAATATATTTGACAGATTGGCTAAAATCATTTCTATCAAGTGTTCCGTACAATTCGATATCAACCGGTATCCGGCCCATTGTTTTGTTGTTTTTTTTCTTTATTGAAATTCAATAGTTGAAAGTTTCTTATGGAAGATTTTAAGGATTCCGTATTTATCGGATTAAACCCTTTTTACCAAACAGTTTTCCCCTTTTTTAATGTTTTGAATCTTTTTTTAGGGTTTTTCATCTTGGGGGTTTTTTTGTTTAAGGGAATATGGGGTCGCTGCAAAAAATGTTTTCTAAAAATTTTCCCTGACACGTCAGGGGGGTCTCAATAAAAATAATTTGATCCCCTGGCGAAAACGCGCCCTTTAAGGGACACCCAAAAAAGATGCCCACGAGTTAACGGAATTTGACCATCAACAAAGACCAGTTGGGTGCGACCATATAAAAATGGTCAGGTCCAAGGGGCTAACAATTTCTAAATACAATTATATTTTACTCTGGTAGGAAGGTTTCAGAAAGTACTTGTATATAGTTTAATATCTAACTGAATTCAATGAAAGGAATGGTTAAACACAAAATCCGAAAAAAAAAATTCATTCTTTTTAATATCTACGTAAACCCAAAATAAACAACAATGTGTACATAATCTTTATCATCAATGTAACAATATATACATTGTACTGACTGGGATCCCATGACTAACTATCTTCCATTTCATGTCAAACCCCTGCGAGACGGAGACATGACTCTACCATGACTACAGGAATCCAGAACAGTCCTAGCTCTTAGATAACCCCTGATATCTCATCTCAACACACCTCTAGTTCGGTGGAAGCACGGAAATTCTCTGGCAAGTCAGCCAGAAGGTCTATCCAACTGGAGATATCGACGCCACTGCAGTAGGCGCTTGACTAAGATATTTTTTCTTATAACCTGCTTACTTTATAAAGTGCAATTGGTTAAATACTATATTTATTGAATTGTGTAGATGGTTATAGCTAATGATAATAACACAATCTTCTTCTTATAAATCTCACTCAAATCAAAACAATCTACATCTAAAAAGTGCATACTCATAATTTTAAACGCAAGATCTTGATATGAGACGTAAATTCGACTAATCTCCGGTTATTTTTTTATGCAGTGGGTTTTAAAAATAATACATATATATGCATGCGATTGTTCTTGTTCTATTTTTTTTATTTACATAGCATTTATGCCTTTATAAATTAAACGTGATTAACCAAGTAGATGTTTGATAGACATGTTAAAATAAAATTTATTTATTCATATCTCTAGAGCCATCTGTCAATACCTGTTATCCGGGACATTTAATCACCTGACAAAGACCTTAATTCGCATCAACTGAAATTGTTATTTTTGTGGTATTTTTAGGTTAACAGTGACATCATATAAATATTATTCCATTCACGGACTTAATCAACATTTAAAATATAAAAGAGTGACGGACAGACTGTAAAAGAAAAGATAGCAATCACATTGTGCCACATCAATATTCCTTCGGGGAATATTTAAACAACACTACCAGCAAATGTTCATACCTGTAAATTGTCCATCTGTGAAGCCATCATCGCTTGCTCTCCTCAGAGGTTCGCAGTGCTGTATCATCTGATTGCCTATCACAATAATACAAACTTTACACTACTTGTTATTTTTACTCGAACTCTAACTCATACAATAAGAATGTATAAAAGATCTATAGTTGCTTGTGCCTAAACATTAACTGTAACATGTATCGATGTTATAAACCTCTATGTTATTATTAGTCACATACGTTGTTTTTTTCAAAGTTATTATACCTAATTCTTAACACAATGTCCAAAAAGAACACAGTTTTCTTACAACCTAACACATTTTTCTTCCGCTCACTAATAATTAAAAAAGGACACGTGAATAAAAATGCATTATGTTCTAAAAACAGAGTAAAATTCAAATGACCTTGAAAATATCGATGGATGATAAAAATAGAATCTTATACTATTCTTATCACAAACAATATATGTTATTCATCAAAACCCATCTATGTTTTACGAGTTGTATTTTATTTAGTAATTGTTGGTCATTAGTTAATCTTAAATTGAATGGCACTGAACTTGTGGCAAAATATACTATGTTACACTTATTCATTATCTCTCATGTACAGATTCAATCACCGAGTCTGCAATTTTCACGTAATTTTGTTGTGATTAATGCTTCTGAGGGATCACTTTCTTTTCAGATTTTTATACTTCACAACAGCAGGGTCAAGTGCGATGTGGCATCTGTATAAAGCTAGCCCCGCTTTATTCACTTGCATAGTGTTATATTGTTTCTGTCCTTCGGTTCATTGATGCACAGCATATTAAGTGTTGAGATTGAGTATCGCTAAGCCGAGTCGGGCTTATATGAGGCATGTTTGCCACTTATATTCATCACTATCCATTACAGATTCTAATCAACCAAGTCCTGCAATTACGTATTTGTGTGATTAATGCCCCGAGGATTTTTTGTTTCCAGATCGAACTTGGTAATAATAGTTTATACTGGTTATGTTTTGAATACAAAGAAAAGAAACATTATTTACTCTAGAAGATTTAGTACTTTATATCCTAGTATCATTTTCTTTAATTGAATGATCATAGTGTTAATTTACATTTGGGTTACATTTATTTCCGTTGGGTTATATACATTCGTACTCAATATATAACATACTAAAGACTTCTAAAATTGCACTCCTAAAATAGAACTTGTATTTCTGCATAACCTTTACTCTTCAAATCAATACTTTTAATTAACAAGTTCATATAACTTGATTGTGAGAGACAGTTACATTAATATAATCGACAGCACATTTACTAAAAAAAATATTTTATGAAACCAAAATTAACGTCTCTTTGGGTACGAACAATTTGGTAACAAATATTGTAATACCGGCGACTTTCTTTTTGCAAAGTATAGAAAAAAATACTGTTATTATTATGTCAATGGAACAATTTGGTTTCGTTTAACATGTTAAATCAATTGTTCATGTTTATTTTATTTTGAATGTGTAACGACCTGTTATTTGTAATTTTAGTGCATGGAAATTTCTCGGTCGCAAATTTTGTGACCTTTTGACCCAAAACAATAAGTACAAATGAATCTTACGGTATCAAAGTGTTTTCACTGTGTGAAATGTTTGTTAAGGAAATCAGAATGTTTCAGAACAAGAAGAAACATTACTAATTTATACAGTGTTAGTCATTTTGGAACTTTGAAAAGTAAAAGTGAGTGGATTGAGCCAGTTGGTAAAAGAACTGGCATTCTTGTTTATAATTCATTAACAAAGGAAATGATATCTCCAAAGGCAATGTCTTATACATGTGTAGAGTGCAGCGCATGTAATGTTGGAGGTCATTAAATGCATTCTCCCCAGTCCATTCCTCCCTGACATTTCCTCTCTGACTGTTATCCCCCTATTTTAGGGGAGAACTGTCAGCATGTGCAGATTGTTCCTCCCCATTTTTATGCTAACTTAAGGGTGAGCAAAAAGTTGCCGCTTTGTCTGTTCATCCATCTGTGTGTCCCTCCGTCGCTGTTCTTGTTCAAGACATAACTCTGAAACAACGAGTTATCAACATGAAACTTTGTAGGTACATGTAGATAGATCTTATTGGGTAGATGTGCAGTGCACAAGAACTGTAACTCTGTCTTGCCTAATTTTAGAGTTGTTGCCCTTTGTTGATTTTATGCCATTTATCATTTATCATTTTTAATGTAAAATTTCAAAGTTACTTCTAATTGAAAAGTGGCAGTAATTTTCTGAATACATTATACTTACTTGATTACTTGATTTTTACCATACAGTACAGTACAATATTCAAGGGCTTAAATTGAAATTGGTCCATCTCTATATAGAAATAGAAGCAGATAGACCAGTTTCACTCTTAACCTTGTAATAACTGAAAGTCGCTGACAAAATATAGAAGTTACAACAAAAGTCTACATATTTTCTGATCTGTTGTGAAATTATTAAACTCATGAATTAAAATGTATTGTTTTAAATAATTTCAGGTACATTTGTGGACCGACAGTTTATGATGCCTCTCATATTGGGCATGCCAGCAACTATGTACGCTATGATATCATAAGAAGAATTCTGACAAATTTCTGTGATATAAATGTGATCTATCTAATGGGAATCACTGATATTGATGATAAGATTATCAACAAAGCAAACTTTGAGTTATCATATGCATGCTGTTTAAATATGATTATTAATCATGCATCACCATGAGAACTAGGGTTGTTAAATAAACATATTTTATTTCAGCTTGATGCAAACCAAAATTCTTCAAATCATAATATTCACTTTCGAGTCGGTTTCCTGAACCAAACCATACTGTCATTTGAAGAAAATGTCGTAGACCTCAATTGGGCGTGAACCATATCCCTGGGTGAGAGGCAGACCTCCCTCTTAAACTACGGTGTTTTTAACAAATTCTAGAACAGCTTATATGATTTAAGCTGATAGAAGAGTGTTCAAGGACTTTCGATACCATTGTGCTCTCTACTTATGTCGTCTGTGTTCTTTGTCTATTACATTTTGCTTGGTATCTCTCCCTAAAACCAATGCACCAATAGGGTGAACCTATATAAGGATGATCCTTAAAATACCTTTTTAAAAATTGCTTATTTGTTCCCATGATCACTGAACAAGAGGACTAACAGCTAAAATAGAAAACACCTTAAGACATATATCCCCTCCTTAACTTTAGGTGGTTATTTGATGAACTATACAGGAATTATCGATAGTATCCTTTACAAAAAATTGTTTAATAGTTTTGGGCCATTTGCCTATTTATACCAATGATTTCATAATGATACCATATACTGAGAAGAGCGATTAAAGACCATGGTCCTCTTGTTAAATACATAATAAAGGTAAATTGTTTACATGTATACCAAAATTAAGTGGGGCTACTTTATATTGCTTAATTCCAATGTCTTTATGAGCATTGTTGACTGTTCTTTCTTGTGGTACCGTATATTACACTTAAACCCTTTCAAGCTTTTGCAATGACAATTAAGGCCCTAGTATACCACCATTATAATGCCAGACCATCGTGCTTATCTGTGAAATTAAAACCATGTTACTGGAAGATGATCATTTACAGAATTATTGAATTATGTAAAATATTTCAGTTGGATCAAGAGTTTACAGCTATTACGTCCCACTCATGAGCCTGTCATTTCTTCCAAGAATGTCTAAGCACTGATGATAATGCAAGCCTACGCCACATCTAGAGGACAGATTATTAAGAGCGATATAGCATTTTAGATTCTTATAAAGAAAGGAATGCTTACAAAGCTGACTGCATGCTTAGGATATAGGTCTGTAAAGTAAAGATAATTAAAATAACCCGTTAATTAAAGCAATTATAAATGATGTTTGTCGCCCATAAGTTTATCTCTAGTGGCAAGGGGTAAATAAACCAAACACATTAAAACGCACACCTGACATATATTATCATTGGTCTTTAACATATCTTTTTACAAATATTATATGGTTCAGTATATTCGTTGTAATGTTTCATACATATAATCTGATCTAAGCATGAGATATTAAACAACAGTGCACGGCTTCTTTATGACCCCGACAACATTTTAAAATCAAGATCACACCTAGAGAAAAGTGTTCTTTAAACCAAAGCTATGGCTTTTGGACTAAAAATGGCTATCAACAAAACGTTTATGCGCTGAATTAAAATTATATGTAAAGTAATTGGCAATGCATGAAATAATTTCTAACTAGTATGTATATGATAAATATACTTTTAACCTATAAATTATGTATTTCATCTATTTGTTATCTGGATCATAACCAAAAGCTGATTGCTATTTAGTGCTGTCTTTTCATCTTAATTACTCATTAAACATTTATGTGCATTATATGATTAAAATTCCTTCAAGTTATTATAATTTTTCATTTATCTATAATTTACTCATATTAATATTTATCTATAATTTACTCATATCAATATTTTACCTTTTGCCTGCTAGCCCAATGGATTCTTCCCATGCTACAAGTGCAGACCAAGATTAGCCGGCACATTCAAGCTGTCTTATCATGGTCTGCACTGTTCAATTTTCAGTCATTTAATATTTTGAAATGTTCCCTAAAAATTAGAAATGGTTATGTCCTGATTAAAAGATGGACAAGTCAATTTAAGATACTTAGTTTGGTACACAAAAAAACGTAAGTGTTAAAACTCTTCAAATTTTCTTTAAAAAAATAAGAATAAAGTATATTACTTGTGCGAAAACTTTCTGTCTTCATGTTTATATCACTTACAGATAGTGTATATTTGACTGTAGAGACTTTGGCAACCTACAACAATTTGTCCCGCCTCTTCTGAGAAAAAGGGGACCAGGATCTGTCACGTTATTCAAAGTTAATTTCTTTCTCAGTTTATAAAATGTTTAAAATTTACAAATATTTGTTCTTGTCAGTTGTTGTTAATCAATCTGCATATTCATTTTGAATAATTTAAAACAAATATCACACATTTGAAAAAAGCCCAAGCAATTGTATTGTTCGCCTTCCAGCGATCTTCTTATGCTTGTTTAGCTAGCTAAGGTAGGTAGTATATATATCTTTTTATTTCAAATTTTTTGGTGCCCCCACTTCAGCTGGCGCGCCATTTAGATTTACCCTTGTCCGTCCAGTCGTCCGATCCGTTCATATCGTCAGCACCCTATACTCAAAATATTTTACACCTACGAAGTCACATTTATTGAAAACTTTACAGGAATGCTGATCAGCCATCGTATAAGTTGTGCACCTTGTGCTTTTCGTCTGGATATTTTACGTAATCGATGTTATTGCTCCTTCATTTAGTACAAATTTTTGCACATTTCAACTATGTGTCGATGTAACTCAAAAACGTACTTCTGACTCTAGATTCATGAAACTCTTACAGAATGTTGTCAGCATGTTTGCTTGGCACTGGTATTTCCTCGATCTTTTTAGTATTTCAGAGTTATTGCCCATTGACCTACGTAAATTTTGCAATTCGCCAATTACTCCAAAAGGTATTTGACCTATCATTAAACGCTCAGCATATTTAGATTTGCACCTGGGGTTTCGCTTGTGATTTATCAGTATTTGTAGCAGTTTTATTCCCTACTTTAGTTAAAAAATTGACGACAGTGCGCAGGGTGGGCACCCGTGTCCTATGGAACATTTAAGTTTCTATCAATAATAATATAAAATTCAAAAGCTATTGTCCATGGCTTGGCATTGGTTTTTTAAAGTCTTGAAACCAAAGTTTTAGTTTATCTTCACATAAAACATCATGTGTTTTCATTGACAGAACATGCTTACACGTTTATGTAAAATAAAAGTAATTTTTTGTTTTGTAATAAAATTGTTTGGGTAGTTGTGCTCTTTGTGGGTAGGTAGCTGGAGTGGAAAGAAACAATACGTGTATTTTATTTAAGGCCTAAAGGTTGATACAAGATGTTACAATCTCTCTTTTAAGACGTTTTAATCTTGTTTATTATGCTATCGTTTTATATATTTGTAAGTCAACACAATGAATAGATAGATATTGTAGTTACATGCATATTTTTCCTTTAGTCAAAAGAAGTGCGCTTGATTTTGCATTGTGGAAAAGTTCAAAACCTGGAGAGCCATTTTGGTCATCACCCTGGGGTCCCGGCAGACCTGGTTGGCATATAGAGTGTTCTGCCATGGCAAGGTAAAATGTATATGTTATACATATAAAATGCAGTTAGGTTTTTACTAGTATCAAGCAAGGGAGATGATTCATGTATTTAACTCCAAACACAAGAGTTACTGTTACTCATTGTCATTAGTCATGTCCTTGCAATAATGTTTATTTGTAGACAGAACCAGATTGTCATGTACGTTTGTAAATATATTTCATTTAAAACCAGAAGACAACTGCTAGGTTTTACATTATTACCTTATTTCACAGAATAGGGAGAGCTATTGTACTCTCCCAAGCATTGGTCTGGTGCCATTTAATTTTAATTTAGTGCAAGATCTCAAAAAACAGAAGGAAAAGGTCGAAACTTTACTAACTTTTTGAGGCAAAAAGGGGTCATTTACGGGGCCCAAAAGTAAAGGATTTTTACAAATTTTAACCCCTTTTTAAACTTAAAAATTCTACTTATCCCGCTTTTTGTTTTTTCCTTTTAAATTTAAAAAAAACCCAGCAAGAACTGACCCCAGTTGTTACTTCATGTTGCATGCCCCTATACACAAACCCCCTTGGTCAGTTAGTCTGCCATGTCTTTTTTCCCCCGGGTCAAAAGGGCTAAATAAAGGGCTAGGGGTTTATTTTCTAGATTGGGGGATCAGGTGTACACAAAAATTGTGCCAAACAGCCCGCAAAAAAAATTGCCATTTTCCCCCCCAGTCTACCAAAAACAGTAACTAGACCAACTTGTTTTTCCATTTCCTTGCTTTTAAACAAATTCAGGTATCGAACATGCTGTCCTATTAACAGCTTTTGTCACAGTTATTATGCTAGTTTGTTCTTTTGGTATTACTGGTTATTGATTTCTTGGTGTATGATTGTGTTACGTCGTTCGATTTGGCAGCGTGTTAGAAAACATTCTGGAGGATCAGATCTGATGTTCCCTCATCATGAAAATGAACTGGCCCAGTCATGTTCATTCCATGATGTAGGACAGTGGGCCAACTACTGGATGCATACAGGTAATGTTTAATAACTTAGATAACCATAGTCACAGATTTTTTTGTATTGACATTAAATTCCTTATCGTAACTGAAATAAGTTCATCAAAATTATTTATTGTAACAGGTATAAGTTCATTTGTTTATTTGTTCATTTATTCATTAAATCTTCTGGCAGCAACATATTCTAACCATGGGACCAATACAGACCAAGACCTTCTGGCACATCAATGCCCTCTTATCATGGTCTGCACTTTTCACAGTTCAGTCAGCAAATATTTTGAAACTTTCCCTAAAAGTGATTAATTGTTCCATCCAGTGGAAAAGATATTTAGCGTGATAAGGCTTTAAGAAATTTATATTTATATTGAAAATTTAAGTAATGCAAAAAAAGTCATATTCATCATCGGCTGTAGATGAGATACAAATGACATTCTTTCAGCTGAGATATTGGTGTCATAATGTTTTACTTCACTTTTGTTCCAGCATTGTTCGTTTCTTTTTACAGGACATCTTCATCTGCAATATGACCCAGAAAAAATGTCCAAGTCTCTGAAGAATGTTATACCAACCTCTGATCTTCTGGAGAAATATTCTGCCAACCAGTTTAGAATGTTCTGTATGCTGACACATTATAGAAATAGTAAGTTTATTAAAGTTAGATGCTCAGTTTCTAACTCAGGTTACTAATTTAGAACAACTTGTGCTGTTAACTGGATTCTTAAAAAGTTGATTTAAAAAGTTGTCTTCTCAGCTCTGTAAAATAAATTTAAGGGCACTTTAGGTGGGTGTCTTCAATTCAATCAGTGCTGGGATGTCGGGTTTTTTAATTTTTTAACCCTTTAATTTCTCCCTTTTAAGGAAAAACTTTTTTTAAAATTAGAGTTTTTGGGGTTTCTGTAACTTTAATTTTGGAAAATTGGGAATTGGTTATTTTTGCAGCTTTATACTTGTGTTAATTGCATAGAGTTCTATTACTCTGATAAGATTTTGATATTAAGTGACTATTATGCCCATCCAAGTGTAATTGGTTAGTGTACAAGTAAAAGTCAAAATACATTTACGTTTTTGTTAGCTCGACTATTCGAAGAATATGAGAGCTATTGTAGTCGCCCCGGCGTCGGCATCAGCGTCCGCGTCGGCGTCTGCGTTGGTTAAAGTTTTTTGTAAAGTCAAATCTCTCAATTATTGCTTTGAGATATTCAATTGAAACTTACAATACTTATTTATAGTAACAAGGTACATCAGATTGACAAGTTGGATAACTCTGCCTACAATATTGACAGAATTATGCCCTTTTTAACTTAGAAATTTTGGTTAAAGTTTTTTGTAAAGTCAATATCTCAATTATTTCTTGAGATATTCAAATTGAAACTATACAATACTTATTTATAGTAACAAGGTACATCAGATTGACAAGTTGGATAACTCTGCCTACAATATTGACAGAATTATGCCCCTTTTTAACTTAGAAATTTTGGTTAAAGTTTTTTTTGTAAAGTCAAATATCTCAATTATTGCTTGAGATATTCAATTGAAATTTAAAATACTTTTTTATAGTAACAATGTACATCAGTTTGCAAAATTGCATAATTCTGCTGCAATATTTGCAGAACTATTTGCCCTTAAATTTGAAAACTTAGAAAATTTTGGTTAAAGGTTAAAGGTCTTCAAAGATATTTACTTGAAACTTTACACATGTACTTAGGGTCATAATTTTGAGGGTCATAATTGTATTGTCACTGACCAAGTTCCATAACTATCCTGCATTAAGGCTGATTCATATCCCCTTTTCTACTTAGTCTCTTGGTTAATGTTTACATGCAAGTTTTACATATCTCAATAACTATTAAAAGATATTTATTTAAAACTTCACATATGCATTTAGGGTCATAATTGTAGGTCACTGACAAAGATCCATAATTCTATCTTGCATTTAGGCTGATTTTCCTCCCCTTTTTCAACTTAGAAATTCATGGTAAAGTTCTGCTTGTAAGCTGTTATCTCTATAATTACTGAGGGTTTGTGCCTTTTTTGGGACAATTATATGCATTCATAATAATAAGCAGTGATTTACTTGATAAAACATCTTAATTACAAGCCTTTGTACCTTTTCTGTCAATTTTATGTATTCATAGGTAATTAGTATTATTATACTCAATAAAACACCCTTGTGACATTACCTTCCGAAATAGTCAAGCCAATACTGTATAATTTAGACTGTCTCTAAGGCCTATAACATGAATTTATAAAACAAAATTAGCCCTTTTGTGAACTTAGAAAATTTAACATTATCAAAGCTCTAAATTTTACGTTATCAAGGCTCTTTTACTATCAAGCACTTAGAATAGTCGAGCGTGCTGTCCTACTGACAGCTCTTGTTACATTATTGTATTCAATCTTATATTCTGCTTTGAATAAAACATCAGTAACCCTCATGACCCAGGAATTATTTTATAAATATTGGTACATGTGTAATATTCAATTGTTAAAAAGAGAGAAAAAATCTTTTTATATTTAAGGCTCATTTTTGTATTTTATCCAAACATTTGTAATAATCTTTTATTAATTTTTTTTATTAAACATTAAAATAGTCAACTTTCGAAATATATTGCTAAAAAGGAAAGTAAAATGTTAACATATTACATAACTTGTAATAGTATCCTATAGCAAAATGTTGAGACTGTTGCAACAAGTTTGAGAAATTATTAACAGTTGTTTTACAAAAGGTTTTTCATTCTCCTAGATTGATTAAGTTTAGTGACTTACTAATGAGATATTCCTTTATTTTAATTTTTATACAGCTATAGAATTTACTGACTTAAAGATGGAGAAGGCTATCAAACTGGACAACAAGATAGGTAATTTTCTACAGCTGAGTGATGCCTATGTGAAAGGACAATTAACAGGTGGCTTTATACCAGAGGCTGAAACTATGCAAAAGTAAGGATGTAGAATTTGTGTGGATGTTTAAAAATCAATGTTTCAATCAAGTTGTTTTCTAAATTTTTATGATATGAATGTTTGTTAACACCTGTTTTGGTCTAGTTAAAGTAATATTTACTCTTTGAACTTGAGTTAAAGGTTCAAATCCTTACACTGCCGGAAATGAAAATGGCTCACCTATGCCTGCAATACAGAGCCAGGCCAGCCTGTACATCCATGCAGTCTGACCATGCTCTATACTGGTAGTAGCTCAATTTTTCAAGGTTCACATTCTCTACAATCCTTACAAAACCTTATCGATCGCATTTGTCATTTGTGTGACAGCTCTTGTTTACTATCTGTATACTAAGTCATAGTAAAACATAACTTTCAAATTTTAGTACAAATATTGATGATGGCATGAATCTCTTGATAATATCTTAAAATCACATCATATTAAAGAAAGCTACTTGTTTCCAGATTGGAAGAGACGGATGCTAAAATTCAGGCATTTCTAAAAGATGATTTCAACACTCATGCAGCAATGTCAGCACTTTTTGATCTCATATCAAATATAACAATAGGTTTAAGTCAGGTAAGATTATTTCATAATTCAGAGTTCCAGCAACATGGATATTTTATGTATGGATGGCAACAAGTTTGCTTATTGAAGGTTTGTGATTAATCATAGAGATCTGTAAATCAATATTGCAGTCTGTTTTCATACTAAGTATGTTATCTCTTATTTTTTAAATTAATTGAGAAAGTAATGAACTTATGAACATCACTGCAACTGGTAGGCAAAATAATATGTACTAATATAACTGTCATGAATTTTGACAAAAATATGCCCTTTTTTCAACTTTTCATTTAAATGTTTTCATACCAACTGATATTTGCTCATCACCATTTAAAGGTATTACTTTGAAGTCTCAAAATCTAGTTCATTTTTGTTCATTCCATACCTGCCAGTAGTTAAGAGCAATGAATTTGTGTCATTTGCCCTGATCACTGTTGGTTGGAAACCCATCAGTGACCTTGGAATCTTTCATGAGGAATGGAGCTATCCAGATGATTAACAGAAGGCCAGTGGTGCTGCTCAGTTAAGAAGAAATGCAGAAAGGAGTGATATCAGATGACAGCCAATAAAATGTACTCTAAGGAAAAATGAGGCTGTGTGACCCTTTTTCAACCTTTTGAAGACTACTTTTAACTGGACTGACTTTTCCTATCAGTTTTCTGCCCCGCTCAGATCACAAAATGCCACATGGTATAGGCACAGTGTTATATATATTACAGAAAGATGTTGAGTGTAGAAGTCCAGGGACAGTAGCGGCTGTACAAGTCTATGTAAAAAGGGTGTGTAAAAAACTAGGCTTCCATAAGAAAGGCTGGAAGGTAAGATAGTTTTACCTTTTTTAATGCTATATTTAAAACTTAAAAATCTAATTTTGGTATTTAAACTTCAGAGAAAAATAATGTATTAGTTAAATGATATTATTTGGTCTAATTGATGATCATTTATCATACAACAGGCCCAGATTGTAAAGTCTGGAGAATGTAAGATAAACAGACAAAAGTTAAAAAGTAAAAAGACCTTACTTCTAGTGGCATTTGACCTTTCATGTTGAGAGATAGGCAATTATTTGTATAAACATAGGTCTACAATGATACATTATCCATAAGGATCCATTAAGTTTTTGCTATATGACAGAAGTATAGAGAGTTGTTTAATTTAATATTTTAACAGTCTGGTAAGGGGCATTGGTGGCTTGAGTGGTTAAAGTAGTTTACTTCTAATCACTTCAGACTTGCCTCTCAACATTGTAGGTTCGAGCCATGCAAGCTTAGATTGTACATGTTAGAAGCTATCAAGCTAGCTGATGGTAAAAAGTCTGGTATAATATTTCATGTTTTACAGATGTCACAAGATCCTGACAATATGAAGTTAAAGGAAGTGCTAGACAATACAGTAAAATTCAGGTGGAATGTGAGACAATTTGCTCTACAAAATTCTATACCAGGAACAGGTACTTGTTTATATAATTAATAAAATTATATACTCGGATTATCCAATAATTACACTCTAAGTACCGGTACTGTTTGTTTTGGGACTGCTAAAAGCTCTACAAACTATTTTTAATATAATGTTAATAATTAAGTGTTTTCATAATGGCTTTGTTATTGGGCTGATGACTATCATATTAGCTTGAGGCTAATATGACAGTCTTAAGCCCAATAACAAGGCCATTATGAAAACACTTAATAATTGACAAATTTATTAATTAACTACACATAGTCTAAAAAAGTTAAATACTTAATGAACAAAAATAACTTGTCTGAAATTCTGTTGTTTTGAGGTATTGCAAGTTTTTAGAATGTCTCGGAAACCTACCTTGCATCAATTGAACAGAGTGACTCTTTTTCAATGAAATCAAGGTTAGATTGTAATAATTTCATATTATTTATTTCAGAATCTCTCTCAAAGAAAGAAAGGAAGAAGTTACATAGTGAATTTTTCTCTCCTCTTGTGACAAACTGTGATGAATTACGCTCAGAATTATCTCATTGTAAAATATTGGTAAAAGTAAGTATTCCGTTAATATTACAACACTAATTAACACTTACAAATGTAGTACACATCATATGGTGACTTTGCGGTCAGAAGAGAACCTCAGATGCCAATCTGAGGTCTATTATTTCAGACCCTAGTGGACATTAAAGTAGAACCAGTCACCTTTCATATACAGTGAGAGAAAAACTGATAAAAAAGGTTAAGTGCAAAATTATGACATGTATGCTACCAATTCTTGTTTCATTTTAGCTAGACTATTAAAAGAGTTATCAAGCTATCCTACTCATGTCTGGGTCTTGTGTTTTGGTAAAAGTTTTACATGCAACTTCTTGTACAACATTTATTACATCAAACACTGACGATATTTGCGTGTTACTTCACACACTTTCTTGAGATCATAATAGAAGATCACTGTGTTGGTGCGACATAAAACCCAACCAAACAATACAAAAAATTTGTATAATGATGATTATTATTATAATATTTCAGGACCACAAGACCTACTCATCCTGGGAATTTGTGAACGCAGGAACAATGTCAGATGAGTCACAATGGGAAGAACCTGAAGAACATCTAGAAACGTCCCAGCAAGATGATCAAAATGATAAACAATCTGATGATACTAGTGCTTCTCAAAACACTGACACAAGTCCTAGTGAACCGTCAGAAAAATCTCCTAGTTCTGATGAAAGAACTTGAACCAGTTAATTCTTTATAGTGATAATGAATCAGCATTCTCTACGTCTGCATTAAAAGTTGAATTTGATTCAACTGCTAACCTAATCAAGCTTGGATTTCTCCCTACAGTGAAAACAGGATGCCATTAATATTATTTTATTAAAAATGGTTTTAAATTTTTTTGGCTGAAATTTTTTATTTTTTTGTTTTAACCCAAATTAAAAATCTTTTTTTGCTCGGGCCCTATGAACTTTATTTTTGGTTTTTGAGGTTTTCTCCTTTTATAAAATTTTTTTTTTTCCTGCTTTTTTCATTTTAATTATACTTAAATTTAGAAAAAAGGTTTTATTGGAATTTTTTATTTGATTATAATTTTTGATTTTGATAAATACCCCTGTTTTAAAACAGAAATATGATTTTAATCATTTTTTCTAAAAATTTTTTTATATATCATGGGTGTTTTGTTTTTTGCTTTTTTTTTTAAGCTTGAAAATTTTTCTAAAGGGTTTTTAAAAGACTATTACAGAATTACTTTATGAATTTTTTCCTTTCAGGCGCTGGGTTGAAAAAACCTTACACTATTTGAAAACCAAAGGGTACTATCATAAGGGGTGTTAGCCGCAGCCCATGCAATAACTGAAATTTTAAAATTTTTAATTGGATCCCCCCAAAAATTGATAATTTAACAGTTTTTTAAAAAGGAAGGGGGCAAGCCCTTAAGAAAAACAGCAGGTTTAAACTCAAGGTTTTGAATATTTTTTATTTAAGTAGATTTAAAAAACCTATGATTTTTAATTTTTTCTAGATGTCAACAATAGGACATTAGGGAATTGGAGAAATTCTCTAAAAAACCCGCAACCTTATTGGCGTTAATACAGCTTTAACCAAAACATAAATTTATTATTTCTCAATAATATGAAAAACCCTCTCAAATAATTTTGTTTTTTAACTAACCTTTTAGCGACTATTTTTAAGATATTGTACACACCCAGGGGTCAAAAAACTGGTTTTAAGTTTTTTGAACAATTTGTATCTCCAAAAAGGGCTTTTTTTGAAACTTCACAACGTTTTTTTGAGTAGAATAAATCACGACTAAGGCCTATAACTCTTACATGGATTTTGTCAGAATTTTGACCCTCTTTGAACTTTTGAAATTTTACATTATCCAGGCTTTTGTTTTATTTTCAAGCACTAAGAATAATCTAGCACACTGTCCTGTCAACAGCTCTAGTTTTTTGGGTTTTTTATTAAATTTATATCTACATGTATAATAATTGATTGCAAACTAAAATTCATGACTTGAAGTAAAACACTAATATTACTAAAAATTATGTGGTGAAATTACAAGTAGCATTAATCTATAGATATTAAAGGAATGTGTTCTAATTATTGAATTTTTTTTACTTGTTTATTTTCTAACATTCTTGTTTATTGAGATTAAACATTAAACAAAGCAATGTATTCACTTTCTAAATTTAATTCTTAATGACTGTGCCTATTATGTAAGTAATACTAGTTATTTTTTAATTAGTTTATGAATATTCATTATAAAGATAGTGGTTATACATGTAGGTAAAAAAGTAAGTACAAAGTAGAAATAATATATATATCATACATGCCATAACGTCCCGGATGCCCGGGATTGTCCCGGAAATCGGATGTCTGTCCCGGAGATGTCCCGGGCATCGATTTGATCCCGGAAAAAAAATCATGATATTTTGCAAAATTTTCATAAATTTTCTTAAATCAAATCTCGCACATTTCACCTCTAGATCGTAAAACATAATCTGACCTGGTACACATAATACACAGGAACGTTGACACTTACAAGTTTACAATATACAGCCCCCCAATTATCGACTGTCGATTCCCCTCGGCAATAGAGTCTTCATGCATCGGCAATTAACATTCTCTGTTGAATTCGGCAGCGTTTAATGGTCGGGTTAATTAATTGTTACGGCCCTAACAATTATCGTTAATCCCGATAATCATTAATTTTTAGATCAATCGCTAACTTGCCGAAAGTCTAATTATTACAAACAATGTAAATATATCTATCAATAAAAAAATCAAAGGTGTCAAATAAATCACCTTGCTGTGTTTGTTTTTTATGAACTGGAAGAATTGCATTACGTGACATGTAGTAATTATCATGACTTTAAGATATAACGGGTGAACAACATGGCTGCGCCCATTCACCGGGTTTATAACTTACAACTTACTTGCTTTTGGGAATAATCAATTAAAAAAGAAATACTTTTAAAATGATAAATATGTCGACCTAAAAGACAACTTATAAAACTAGTAAGTTAACTGTTTATCATTAAAATTCAGGAGAAAGTCGTCCTAATTTAATAACGTTATACGATTGACACCCCCCCCCCCTTTTCCACAACTGCCTACACATCCATTATTGCCGCGATGAAAAGTGTCCCGGAAAGCTGTCCAAAAATTATGGCATGTATGTATATATATATATATAACTTAGTTTATATGTTGCATAGTTTGTTTCCATTTATATATAATTTGTGAAATATTGATTACCTAGTGTTTTTGAAAAAACCTACCTTCTCAATCTGTAAAATTTATTTTTGTGTTATTTATTATGTAAAAAATCAGTAAATGAAAATTTAATAAATGAAATATTGTTTAAAGTAAATAAAGAACATGTGACAAAGATACATGTTTTTATTTGAAATATTTATGGAAGAAATATCACTTAACTTTCACATAAATAATAATTCGTAACCTGGTTCATTGTATTCCAATTAATAATATGCTTATATGTAATTCTAAAAGGTTTTACTCATAGCTTTTGTTTTGAAGGTGAAATTAATCATTTTGAATCTGTTATCATTTTTAGCTCAACTATCCCAAGAATAGGAGAGAGCTATTGTACTCACCCAATGTTTAAGCTCATTTTTTTGTAAATTGAATAGGTTTTGTTTTTTACAAGCCTGTTATAATAAAATGGTTTGTATAATGGGATGGTTGCTGGTGGGCAGGTGTCAACCAGGTAGCTTTCGGCATATCTTCATGCATGGAGGGATTTAAGGATAACTTGACACAAATGATCTGAAGGATGAGACCGTTTGTGCACAGATGAATCCGGCCTGTAGGTCAAAGGTCAAACTTAGAAATCAGAAGAGCATATATGCTTATGCTAAGAAAAACCTGTACATGCATCACAAAAATTAATATGACAGATGTTCACCATTGTAAGGTTGTGTGTTGAGCGCAAAATTCTTGTCCATGCAGCCAAGGTCAAGGTTATACTGAGAGGTGAAAGGTCAAATTGAAATAAGATGTGTGTTTGAAGGATTATATTAATTAAGGTTCACAATCATGAGACTGAGCCTTGGACGCATAATATAGGGTTATTTTAATGTAAGTTCAAGGTTACCAGAGATGATGAAATGTTCAGTTCTGTTCGCAGGGAAAATTCAGTTTCATGAGTTCAAGGTCACTTGAGAGGTCAAAGATTAGAAAACAATATGGACAATTGGGTAGTTTGACTTGTGGAAGTGTATCAGAAATGTTCACACTCCTGAAACTGGGGGTTACCAGTATAATCTAGGTCAGGTCAATATATGCAAATGTCAAGGTCGTCATGATTTGTGGGGTTTTAAATGTAAATGTTCACTTTTATGAGATTGAGCATTTGAGACGGGCGTATATATGTGACAGATTGACAATCTTGTTAATATAACTTGAACAAAAGTGTTATAAATACGATTGCTATATCCTTTTTCAACTTTATGTAACAATGTCATTTTCTGTATATAACATATATAAATAGTAACTATGTTAACAGTATTTGCCCTCGTTTGTTTGATAGTAAAATAAATGGGGGATTATGTCTCTCACGATATTGCCACTTGGTGCATGCAACAAGTTTAAGTCTTAAAAGTTCTACAAAATGTAGAAAATTGGTTGTTATTTGTTGAAGTCGTTTGTTTTTCTGACTTAAAATCCATATTTTTATGCATTGAAGGTGCTGCAAATAAATGAAACTAAACAGATAGTATGACTTTTGTTTTTACACAACATATAACCATACCCTTGGGCCTTGGTTCTTTTTCAACTTGTATGTGAGTATATTACAAGTAGGCAACGTATAACAACTGTTGCACTACGTTTCAAGTATGTGCATGTACACATAATTACATTTATAAAAATGGTTTTATATGACACAAAGAGTAAAAGTGGCCCTGTCTAGCTTGTCCGATTTTGGAAAGTGATTTTGAACAGAGGCCCTTTCGAAGGTCCCATTTTGAAAAATGGCCCGGCGTAGGTTCCATTTTGGTACATAGATTTAAATCTTTCAAGATTTTTTTCTGAAAATGGAAGATCTAGCCCTTTGTGGTGTCAAACATTTTTTTTGTGTCCTTTCAAAATATATGTACATGACATCGTCTTGTAGTCAAACATGGTCCTGTACTTGGGGTTACTCTCTTTGTATATTCTTGCATAGGCACACAACTGTGTACATGTATTTTTTTTAAAGCGAAAGCTGAAATTTCTGTTTTGAAACACTGATTAGCAGACCGCTATATACAAATGGTCATGGGTAAAATATACCATGCATTTTGAAACGTTTACCTACATTTATTTACTCAAGAGAGCGATATAGGCCTACCCGAATCTCTTGTCATTTTGTCTTATCAACGCTTGCATTCCTTCAGTTTTTAATTTGATAAAATAATGTCTAAAAACAAAAATCGAGTTAACAAGTCATCACTTGTAAAGGTTTATTGGCTGTAAAAGCTATTTTAGTCTGCTTGCCAACATTTACCTGTAAGTCAGAAATTCTCCTACCGCCTGGAAAATGATGAAAGGAACACCTGTTAAGAAAGTTTATAAAAACAGTCTGTTGAAATTTATACAAATTATGATAAATTGGAAATTTTCAAACAACAATGGTATAGTAAGAAGTTTAACAGTAATATCACGTCGTGTTATAACTCTTCTATCAAAATGATAAAAAGGTTTTGTCGGAAGTTGGCAGAGGTGATACCAGCGTGGTAATGATTACTGCAGACTGTACGAAATCTATAAGAGATTTTTCTTGCTGGTATTGAAGAGATGTATTCTGTTGTTTTCTTCCGGTGGAAAAGCTTTATATATTTATTTTTTAAAATTAAAATGAGTTAAAGGGACTCCACTGATAATTTTTGACATGACCGGACTGGAAATATATTTTTTGAGATTAATGTTTCATATGATGTTAATGGTTCATTTGATGTAGATCTATATCTATCACATGTGTGCAGTACAAAATTTCAGATCATTTGCTCACTCTGTTTTTCCACAATAATTGTTCAGATTGTGAAAAATGATCCAAAATTGAAAAGCGTTGCCACGCTTCACTCGAATCAGATCAAGAATACGATTTTCAATTTATTTCTGATTTTATTCTTAATTATCCTTTGCACATTTGTCTGTTCTAGTGCCACAGTTGATTTAGGTAAGAAATTCAACTTTTATCTATTTTGGCGTTTGGCCTTTAGTGGAGTTCCCTTAATATTGACAAGATAACTTTTTGCAAATACATGTAATACATGTATTACATACTGAAATAGTATATGAATGGGAACAAAGGATTGCAATGTAAATTTCGTTGTTTTTTCTTTTCTTCTTCGTTAAATTTGTGTTGACAGCAACACAATTTATATTGTGTAGATCACAAAAACAAAAAGCACCCAACTTTTAAAAATACAACTAACATTGAAAAAAAATCATTCTTAGATTTGTTCCATCTGTTTTCAATTATCGCTGAAAATCAAGTTTGTGTTTACCCATCAACACATCTAAAAGGTTTACGAATGCAAGAACTATTTTAGCCTGTCTGGTGCCAATGTTTACCTGTTATTCTAACATTATATGTACCTGGAAAAATAAAGGAGAGCTAGCGCATCTGTTAAATGTTGACAGTTTATTTGAACATTGTGTTGAAGTAGATATAAATTACGGCAAATTAGAACTGTTCAAACAAGACTGGTTTTATCATACATTTTAACGTTATATGAGCCGCGTCAAGACAAAACCAACATAGTGGGTTTGCGACCAGCATGGATCCAGACCAGCCTGCGCATCCGCGCAGTCTGATCAGGATCCATGCTGTTCGCTGTCAGTTTCTCCCCTTGTAATAGAGTTGATAAGCGAACAGCATGGATCCTGATCAGACTGCGCGGATGCGCAGGCTGGTCTGGATCCATGCTGGTCGCAAACCCATTATGTTGGTTTTGTCATGACGCGGCTCATATGTATATTTATTACCCTGTCTGTTGGCTAAATATAAGATAATGGTTGCGGGGGCAGAAAAACTTGATTTATAAATAGCTAAAATTCTGTTTACTTGCCAAGAAATATCGAAATCTTATGGTAATTCGAAAATAGATTTTGAACTGATTTGGAATTTGAATACATGTACATATATTTTTCAGTTTATTTAATCTCTTAAATAAAATTTTCTTTTGCACATTACCTCATACTTTTCATCAAACTCAGTTCAATTTAACAACACGAAAATTGTAATAGTCTTATTTATAATAGCACTTTAAAAAATCTTCTGTGCAGCATTTTAGACACGATTAATTACCGAGTGGAAACGACTGGTGTTGAAAACAACACTTAGCAAGTTAAGTGAAAAAATATCACTGTTTAGCCTGTTAGGTAATGGGTTCCAGACTTCACAAAACGCGTCTCAATTCTACAAAGGTGCACAAAAACCCCGTAATTTCCGACATCTCACATTAAAAAAACTTATTAATTTCTTTCTTTCAATTAAAAAAATCGATCATGCGTTAAGATTTGCAGAGCACAGTTCATCTTTTGAATCATAGACATGTAAACAAATGGTAAATATTTTACCAGCTAAAATATACTGTATTTCGTTTCTTGAATATTGGGAAAAATCATAATGAAATATTCTGGTAGAACTCTGTTCACTGAGTCGATTCGGATATTACTTGAACTGCCAAAATTTCGTACTGCTAGTGACTGTTAGTTGCCGAGATTATGGAGAAAACGTTCAGTGGTTGAACCATGGATTTCCTTGATTCGTATATTCGCATTTTGTTATTATTTATATATTTTGTTTTAATAAAAGGACAGGATAATAAAGGGAGGTATGTATATTATATTTGTTTTGTTTGAATCAGTTATAAAATAGGAAAGTGATTAATTGATTTTGTTTTGTTTTGTTTCATAGCTAATCGTATCAAAAGTGACAAAGTGATAAGAATATGAATTTCTTCGTTTAAAAAATTTTGTTTGTCGGTATTTTTTTTTTCATTTTTGGTCAGTTCAACTTTAACTATTATTAAAAAGCTATAAATTCAAAATAGATTGTATACGCGTGAAGAGTTTAAAGAAAAAGAAAGAAAAGAGGCCAACGTTTTTAAACATCAATTTAAAATCATTACGACAATTCAAATATTTTTGGTAAATTATATAAAACATTATACATGTATATTTTACATGCATATTTCTATTTACTACAAACTTGTAATATAGTTCATTTTTAAGAGGAAAAATATTTACATCTGAGGTGCGAATGATTCCTTTATTTATTTTGATATTTAAAGGTATTTTTCTTTTGATAAGATATACATGAAAAATGGTACATGTACTTCACAACGTTAAAACCTGGAGTTTTGTCATTTTCTTAAAAAAAATGCTTGATGTAGTATTTATTTACATATTTGTTTGTCTTAATTCACGTCATATCGTAAATGTAACATATAATTTTCCAAAATTACAAATAACTAACTCCCTCAGAATTGTCCAGTAATGTTATTAATTAGCATTTTATCTATTTCAATGTTTTTTTTTTTCATGAGCCTCAAGCCAACTTGGACCTGAAGTGATTAGCCTTTGCCACCAATACAGAGCCAGGCTCGGTCAGCCAAGCTTGCACATCCAAACAGTCTGGTTGGGTTCAAACCCGTTGGCAGCTCAATTTTTGTATTTTGAAATCCCTTAAACTTTGCTAATACATGTATCCATTTCACAAATTCTGCAGATTAAGTGACACATTGTATATGCAAATTATATCAGATTAGATTACCCCTTTACGTGCTGAATTTCGTAAATGGATTTGTACAGCTTCCATGTTTTGTGCTGCTCCAGTGCCACAACGGGTCAGATAACCAGACCCATTTACAATGGCAAATATACTTATTTTTTCCCGATCTTTAAAAAAAATCCCAATCGAACTGAAATTCTCGATATCAAAACCTGAAAAATTTGCTGAAGTTCATTCCAGTATAGTATCCAGATATTTCATTGTCAATTTTTAATGTATTTTTTAAACTTTGAATCATAATGATAATGATATTTCAGCGGTTGTAATAAACAATTTTGCACAATTCAAAATACTATGCCAAAAGTGCATGAAGAAGCTTTCAAGAGTAACCAAATATTTTTCCGAATTTAGCAATGTTATGACGCAAAATATCCCATACTGGGCAAGGTATACTTTTTCCCCAAAATTGCTAGGAAAAGGCACGTGTCCATTATCAATGTTCGGGATGTCAAATTAGAAAATAAAGTCAGCCTACCAACATTATAGAAACTGCTCAGACTCCATGGATTTCCAGGCTGGCCTGGCTCTATACTAGTGGCAAAGGCTAACCACATTCTGTACCAGCATGTTAAGGTTAATTATAAGACTTAAGGTTAGCTATTGAATTTAGAGGCGAGCCTAGTGAAATTTTCTTACATATCTCATTTTCTGACAGTTCAGACAGCAGTTCAGAAATTTTTTCTTAAAAAAAAAAAAGACTGAGTGAAAAATGTTATACTGAAACTAAATTTATACAAATCTAGCATATAGAGTTACATGTACTTGAAAAATGGCTTTACAAATTGTATGTGTTTGTACATGCGCAAATTTCCGATTTGAATTTTGTAAAGCCCGCTGCTATTTTAATAAGTATTAAAGGCATTATGTGCCTCAGAAACAAATTAATTTTTACTTCTTTAGAAAGGACAAACATAAATTGTAGATAATGTTAGATACTTATTTCTCGATGAAAGTTGTGCTAATTATGAAAGTATTTATTATGAAAATAGCAAAAGGTAAACAAAGTAGTATTTTGACTTCCATACAAATTACTAAATCACTATAACTGTACTTATTGCCAAAGAACAGAAGAAAGGAATTGTTCAGGCAATTGGCCAATGAATAACTTGTTGGAAGCTATTTAACGATACCAAAAATAAAACGCTTTTTTTTTGTTTTTCGTTTTTTTTATAAATATATTAAACCTAAAATATTAAATTTGGCCTTTTAAAATTGAGAAATTATTAGAATATTTCATGGAGATGTATTTTACTCTGGGGCTGGCAACTGGTGGAACAGACTTGTCAACGTCACAGCTAGCAATCAAAAGTATAAACAGATAGTGTTTTGTTTTAATTCAGGTCCTTATATGTTTATTTCTTTTTCTTTTCATTTCAGAGCAGAGATATTAAACTTATTGCAAGCTGTAAAGATATCTCGAACGCCGCCAAATTATGACTCCCGTAAGTATAATTATTTCTTTATAAGAATGAGAATGATTTCGGAATGCCGTTAGGGCCATCGCCTATGAATGTGTTGCTCTGAAACGCGATAGTCGATAGTACGATGGTGAAAACGCGAAATCACGAAATTACGATGGTGAAAACGCGGCAGTACGATGATGAAAACGCGAAAGTACGATGATGAAAACGCGATAGTACGATGATGAAAATGCGATAGTACGTTGATGAAAACACGACAGTACAATGGTGAAAACACGATAGTACGATGATGAAAACGCGATAGTACGATGATGAAAACGCGATAGTACGATGATGAAAACACGACAGTACGATGGTGAAAACGCGATAGTGCGATGATGAAAACACGACAGTACGATGATGAAAACGCGATAGAACGATGGTAAAAACGCGATAGTACGATGATGAAAACACGACAGTACGATGATGAAAACGCGAAATCACGATATTACGATTGTGAAAACGCGAAAGTACGATGATGAAAACACGATAGTTGATCGTAATATCATCATCGTACTGTCGTATTATCGCGTTTTCGCTATCGTACTGTCGTGTTTTCATCATCGTACTGTCGCGTTTTCACCATCGTAGTTTCGTGATTTCGCGTTTTCATCATCTTACTGTCGAGTATCGCGTTTTAGATCAAACCATTCATAGGCGATGGTCCTAACGGCATTCCGTAAGAATATGCACAAGTACTATTATGACTGTGCGAAAGATAAGCTTGAGGATTCACGGGCCATAATGTTTTAGTGGCGCCAAAACATAGCAAATCAAAAGTTACATTACCCAGTTATATAAATTGTTCTTTTTTTTTTACCTCGGACTATCTTGCTAGTTTGATTTACATCCTATAAACAATGAAAAATCAGAGATCAAGGCTCGTTTAATGCGATAAATATTTCCTATTACGGAAGCAAATCTGTTTGAAAAAGTACACCCTTGTTCACTGTATAAGATCAATTCTGTGATATGACTGTACTCGTCTTCCATTGTGTTCCGATGAACAAGATTTCTCCCCACAAATTTGGCAGATATTACCAAAACATGGTAAACAGATAGAATTGATTATCTGTCACTGTGAAGAAATGACGGGATAACTTTTTTTACATTCATCATATTATTTGGTTCCAACTTGCCGCCGCTTTTTCTTCCATTTATCGTCTGCTATGGGGATTTATATTTTGTAAAATCAAAGACATATAGATATATGGAACATACAGACTCTGGTATAACCAATAATTTTTCCACATACACACAAAATAAATAGATTATCAATGTCTCTTTCATTTTTTCCGCTTTTTGTGTTTTAACATAGTTAAAACCATTTTTGCTGACTGTTACTTGGTTGAATTCAAAAAATAAGTAGCTCATTTAAAACTTGATATTTAAAAAATTCATTTATAGAAACTACATGTATAGTATTAGTATGCCACGCACGTACATCGAAACTTCCCGAAATTGAATTCCAACTTCATGAAAAAAATGACAATATTTGTGTTAGTCTACATCGGCTCTCTGGGCTCTTCATTATTCGTACAAGTATGCCTGCTTAGAGTTTGTCATTAGTTTTCTTTATCTTAAGAAAACCCTTAAGGAACGAAGCCCGACAAAACCTCTCACTTCTCAAAATTTATATAGAGAGGATATTCAAGTTTTTTTCTATAAATAAAGGATTTATTTTCATCTTGTGGTATGAAAATAAATATTGCATGAGTTGTGGTAGCCACAAGAGAAATCAAATAATTTTCATACCACAAGCTGTAAATAAATCCTGTATTTATAAAAAATCCTTGAATTTTCTTTTTATTATATACATTTTTATCTATTACAATTTGAAGGACTTACCCTCGTATTTTGTGTACAGTAATCCGACAAGACACCAGTCAAAATACGAAAAATATGTTTCACTGCAGTGAAAAATAAATTTGTCACAGTGAAAATACTAAAAAATGAAAATACGCATTTTATTTCATCACTATTTTTCAAAACTTCATTTTTAAGTATATACAAGTAATAGATATTTTTTTCACACATGAGTGTCATAGTATAGTCATTCATTTTACAAATGAATACAAGTAAAATGTGTCGTAAAACTAGTGTAAGAAGTACATATGTAGGTCACTGTGTATACTAAGTACTAAAGAAGATGTAAAGAAATGATTGAATTAAGAATAATTATCCATATAATTTTAAGGACAAAAGAATTGTTTTATATAACATATATGTTTTTTTTTTAAAAATACATGCTTCATTGTATAAGATATTACACCAATATTATAAAGATGCAATAGTGGTTTTATTCTGCAATCTGTTTGCAAGGTCTGCCTTTAGTTTAGTGTATTATCATCTGCCTTTAGTTTAGTGTATTATCAAGAGTTTAGCGAGGTCTGCCTTTAGTTTAGTATATTATCAAGAGTTTTGCAAGGTCTGCCTTTAGTTTAGTGTACTATCATCTGCCTTTAGTTAAGTATATTATCAAGAGTTTAGCGAGGTTTGACTTTAGTTCATTATATATCAAGAGTTTTGCAAGGTCTGCCTTTGGTTTAGTGTATTATCATCTGCCTTTAGTTAAGTATATTATCAAGAGTTTAGCGAGGTTTGAAATTTAGTTCATTATATATTAAGAGTTTTGCAAGGTCTGCCTTTAGTTTAGTGTATTATCATCTGCCTTTAGTTAAGTATATTATCAAGAGTTTAGCGAGGTTTGACTTTAGTTCATTATATATCAAGAGTTTTGCAAGGTCTGCCTTTAGTTTAGTGTATTATCATCTGCCTTTAGTTAAGTATATTATCAAGAGTTTAGCGAGGTTTGACTTTAGTTTAGTGTATTATCATCTGCCTTTAGTTTAGTATATTATCAAGATTTTGGCGAGGTTTGATTTTAGTTTAGTATATTATCAAAAGTTTAGCGAGGTTTGATTTTAGTTTAGTATATTATCAAGAGTTTAGCGAGATTTGATTTTAGTTTGATATATTATCAAAAGTTTAGCGAGGTTTGATTTTAGTTTAGTATATTATCAAGAGTTTAGCGAGATTTGATTTTAGTTTAGTAAATTAGTAAAAGTTAAGCAAGGTCTGCCTTTAGTTAAGTATATTATCAAGAGTTTAGCGAGGTTTGACTTTAGTTTAGTGTATTATCATCTGCCTTTAGTTAAGTATATTATCAAGAGTTTAGCGAGGTTTGACTTTAGTTCATTATATATCAAGAGTTTTGCAAGGTCTGCCTTTAGTTTAGTGTATTATCATCTGCCTTTAGTTAAGTATATTATCAAGAGTTTAGCGAGGTTTGACTTTAGTTTAGTATATTATCAAGAGTTTTGCAAGGTCTGCCTTTAGTTTAGTGTATTATCATCTGCCTTTAGTTAAGTATATTATCAAGAGTTTAGCGAGGTTTGACTTTAGTTCATTATATATTAAGACTTTGCAAGGTCTGCCTTTAGTTTAGTGTATTATCATCTGCCTTTAGTTAAGTATATTATCAAGAGTTTAGCGAGGTTTGACTTTAGTTTAGTGTATTATCATCTGCCTTTAGTTAAGTATATTATCAAGAGTTTAGCGAGGTTTGACTTTAGTTCATTATATATCAAGAGTTTTGCAAAGGTCTGCTTTTGTTTAGTGTATTATCATCTGCCTTTAGTTAAGTATATTATCAAGAGTTTAGCGAGGTTTGACTTTAGTTCATTATATATCAAGAGTTTTGCAAGGTCTGCCTTTAGTTTAGTGTATTATCATCTGCCTTTAGTTAAGTATATTATCAAGAGTTTAGCGAGGTTTGACTTTAGTTTAGTGTATTATCATCTGCCTTTAGTTAAGTATATTATCAAGAGTTTAGCGAGGTTTGACTTTAGTTCATTATATATCAAGAGTTTAGCGAGGTTTGACTTTAGTTCATTATATATCAAGAGTTTTGCAAGGTCTGCCTTTAGTTTAGTGTATTATCATCTGCCTTTAGTTAAGTATATTATCAAGAGTTTAGCGAGGTTTGACTTTAGTTTAGTGTATTATCATCTGCCTTTAGTTAAGTATATTATCAAGAGTTTAGCGAGGTTTGACTTTAGTTCATTATATATCAAGAATTTAGCGAGGTTTGACTTTAGTTCATTATATATCAAGAGTTTAGCGAGGTTTGACTTTAGTTCATTATATATCAAGAGTTTAACGAGGTTTGACTGTATTTTATACCAGAGTATGAAGATCTTCTGTATACATTAATGATTTAACATCTGCCTATCTTTATCTTCCGAATCATAGAGCGAATCTTTTCGCTGTTAACAAAACGTAATCAAAGCAATGTTCTTAAAAAATAAAATGCTGCAAGCGCTGTCTGTTATTTTCATGAATGTATTTTATCTAGTCAATTATCGTATAAATATCTTATTTAGTTATTGTTGCTGTTTGATGCTGATTTTATGGAAATGGTATATATTATGCATTCAATTTTAGGTCTTGATTATATGTATGACTATTTCAATATTGTTCTGGATAATTATTTTATAATATACCTAGCTATACAGCGACTTACAGATTGTTTTTACAATGCTGGATCAAACATGACCACTAGAAATAATGGTGTCAATCATCTTTATACAAATCAGAAATGTCAAAAATGGTTTAGTTTTACATGTTAACGACTTCGTACCAATTTTCAGTCGGAGATTAGGAGAATTTCGTATAGATGAAGCACCTATGACGCTCTAAACGACTACAAATAAGCCAAAAACGAATATCTCGAAACATGTCGTAACTTTAAAGCTAAGATTTGAAGCTAATGAAAGATCAACCAAGACTTGTCGCTGCTGCCAATTGTACTAATTCGATATATTTTTGGAATTATTTAAAGACAAGCTATCTCTACTGTTTAAATATTTTGTACTAAAATATACAAATATACAAACTATATATTGGCGCATATGGTTCAGAAAGTTGGTTTTCTTAAAGCTTAAAGATATTGACATAGAACATAACAAGTTCTGTAAATATGTATTGAACTGAAACTGGTTAACTCCTAATAAGTATGTCTACCGAGAGTCGGTCGTTTTCGTTTTTTCACTTTATTACAATGGCGAGAGTCTCTTAATTCATCTAGCAAACAACTGTTTTAATAAAAGTATTAAAATTGGTTTTATAAGAGAATCATACCTAGATCTAATTTAAAATTCATATTTTCCGTCAGCCATTGTCAAATTGAGAGTTAGGTCTTCGATCAATAATACACCAAATGATAAAAGGATATGTCCTTATTGTTTTACTGATTTAGATGATGAATATCACATTCTATTGATTTGTAATCACTTTAGTACTTTACGTGAAATGAAAACATTCTACCAGATGATTTGGTGAATAACCCTTCACTTGAAAAAATGTACATGTATATCAGTTCTAAGAAACGCATATGCAGCATTGTATAACAATATAGTACGCTTTCTTCACCATGCACTTAAATATAGACGCCAATACATTCATAAATAAATAAAATATTGTACCTAATGATCTACGAAATTCTGTTAATATCTTTTAACTGACTGCTAATGCTTATATTACAATAATTCCATGCATATTTATGATCACCTCATTGTATTTTCATTGCAATTTCATGTTTGTTGCATTATGTTGTATTTTGGGCTGGAGGCATATGTTGCAGGAATAAACATGATCTAATTAAGTTCTATAAATAGTAGCACTTCTATTCAATAATAATTATATAAAGTTGGATGTTAAGAATAAATTATAATCAACCAACGTGTTATTTGCAGTCGAGGCAGCGGTGGTTAAATGTTATTTGGATGTCAATCAAGTTGACAGTATCAGAGAAGCCCACATGGTAGGTGAACACAGTTTCTAACAGGAGTCAAATGTATAGCTAATAGACCGTGCTGACATGGTTGTATAATCGAAGTAATATAAGACCAATAACTATTGTATCAAAATCCTCCTTAATTTTAATATATCCCAAGGCGGGATTAGAACCAACAACGACTGAGGTCAAGTGAGTCATGCTCTGATACAACTCTAACAATTCTCTCATAAATGCCCATTGTCTGGTATGAGATGTACATAATTTGTTATATACGACCAATAACTATTGTATTCATCTATTTTATGATGAAGTAAAATGCAATTTCCCAAGAAGGATATTTAATTATCCCATATATCACTTGTTTAAAAAACGGTTGCCACACCAACATCAAATTTCAACATTTTTATTATTTTGAAGGACTTCACAGCGGACATTGGTCTACATTTAACATGGAAAGATACTAAACTAATGGAGAATATACGACAATATAAATACACTTTCGATTATTTGGATTTTGATGCTCTAAACATGGAGAAGGTCTGGGTGCCAGATATATATTTCCCTAACGAAAAGAAAGCCGCGGTACACAACATAATGATGGCCAATAAAATGCTGAGACTTTACAAGAATAGTACGGTCAGCTATAAGATAAGGTATACTTTACTTACTACATTGTAATTCTATTACTTAACATGTTGTTGGTTTTTGCTTTTCTTTTAATGTTGTTCCAATGCTGTTGTAGGTTAAATTCAACGTTTTCTGATTTTTTTTCTGTGATTGACGTTTGAGATTTTAGTCTCCGTCACAGTGTTGTTGTACTCAGTGACTTTTCAGCATAAGTAATGGATAACTTAAAAGGACTTTCTGTACGTTATGATTATTGCGGTCACAGGAGGTAGCTGTGCATGTATAAAGCCGTCTGCAAAATATATTGATAGCTTATTCGCATGAAGTAATTGGACTCCCAAGGCGGGATTTGAACCAACAACGACTGAGGTCAAGTGAGTCACATTGTGCGACAATAGGCTCCCCTTGCCTAGTAAAAGCTGTCTATAATATGTCATTTATATAAAAGCAAACAGTACCGAGGGTTGGTTGTGACCCGCGTGCTTTAATAAATAAATAAATAAATAATAAAAGTAATTTTGCACTTAGATGTCTGATGCTAATTTACATATAATATGGTTGAGTAGATTTGTAACAGATTCACGTTCGTCGTTCATGTATTAAAATACTCTTTAAAGTTCGTCAGTCATAGAACAAAAATGTACATGTATCTCTCAAATACGAAACATGAAATACATCTTAACATTTCTTACTCAACTGTCAATAATTTCTAAGACCATGAAGAGGTCGTAACTAAATGGATGTTACTCCTTCATTTGGATTACCATAATATTAGTTGCAAATGCTCTTGATACAAGGCAAGGTCAAACTATGTTATGCCTCCCGTACAAAACAACAAATAAGCAAAAACAAAAAACCGGCGGGTCTCGGGGTGGAAAGTTCTGTATCGGTGTCTCCATGTATAGCTATTGTTCTTTAAAAGGAGACAAAATACGTAATATTCTGTCCTCTTTGGCATATTCTAATCTTGCTGATCCATTACAAACTTCAAGATAAATATTACTAAAGATTCATTTTACAGCTTGTTATAATGTCTCTAACTTTATATGTTTTACAGAGTCTCAGTGACGCTGAGCTGTCAAATGGACCTACGAAAATATCCGTTCGATAAACAAGTCTGCTCTATCCTCATGGAAAGTTGTAAGAACACTCATTTTATTAATTGAAATAATACATCAATACTTATGCTATATCATTATGATATTATAACGATTATGTGAAGTAGTAATTGCCTTATTTATTGATATATACTAAATCATAATATATTAATATGTTACATATTGATTGATTGGTTTATACAAATTTATTTTATTGATTGTGTTGGAACTATAAGCTATATTAAACACTCTCAGAATCATAGTTCTCTGGAACAACAGTAACTATGAGCAATGAATGTTAATGATATTTTTCGGCTTGCCCTGAAGTTTGTGAACAAGCGGTTCAGCATCTTAGATATCATAGTCCGACGCGATTATAACTCACTCGGCAAATAATTGAATTGATTAATGATTGTATTGATAATAATTAATAAATTTGTTATTGACATTACATTAATTAATTAATTAATTAATTAGCAGGTACGGTCAAGACGTATAATTTAAGTTCTTAAAATAATGTAAAGCGCATCGTATTGTTCGCAAGACTTTATTTATAGTGTTATTATTTCGGACTATAAGTATTTTATTTGTTAAGACTTGAAATCAATGGTCCCTGACTGGAATCTAGAATTATAACTCACATTGAAATAAATGTAGCAATCGCTCTGCATCGCTTGTCTGATTTGATCAAATGAAATTAATACGGAACATTGCTGTTCGTCTAGACTTTAGAAACGAGGTGTACATAGGAATAATGATATTGGAAAATGGTTACAATTGAAAATAATACAAATACGACCGAAATATGTTCCACTTTTTCGTCTGGTTGAAATGTTTGTTTTCAGTTTCCAATTATTAGGCTTTTATTTATAAATGGGATCTGACATCGACATAACTGGCCAAGAATTTTAACTTGACAACAATATTGTCAAAGAGTTTTAATGATTGTTGAGTTCTTTAACCATAAATAGACATCTCAAGCTCAGTATGAAGAAAATAGCGCCATGTTACATCATTATTGTTTTGCAATATTACGACAACTTCATTTTCATATTTGACTTAAACAAGAGATGGATTCCATTCACATTATAAGAAAATGTAACGGATACGTGCCCCCCTACCCCCCTCCCCTCAAACATTACTTTATTGCGATCCAATACGGTTATCCAACGTATTTCAAGTAGAAATAAATACGTTTTCAGTTATACTTGGTAAATGATCCTTAGTATGATGTCGGCCTGGCGACAAGTGCATGCGAAGATCCACTGTTAGGTGCATGTATTCAGTCAGTATTTATATTACAATGATGAATGGTTTTGTCTGAAAGATGGGCATTTAGGGGAGGGGGGAGGGGGGAGGATTATTCACAGTACAATATAATGCGGGTTTTTTGGTAGGAAAATGATACTTGATTCTTTTATTTTCATCAGTTAGTTTCACATCAGATCAGCTTATCTTACTGTGGGACGAATCTGAGCCAAGTCCACTGTTTACAGCCAATATAAAAGAGTTACGTCAGTTTAGAATGATCGGCACAGATTATAAACACTTTAACCGTTCCCATGGTATCACAGGTACGTTCATCTTTATTATATAATTAAATCCTACCACATATAGAATGCGAACGACCATACTATTCATCTATCGATGTTAATACAATTTTACAGTTACATTTTACTGTTTGTTTTAATATATATCAATGGTTTAAACATATTTGTCTAAGCTCGATTGCGAAAAAAGTTCTTGCAACTTATATAAACCACTTTCGAGTCCGCTTCCTGGAGCCAACCAGTACCGGTGTCATATGAAGAAGAAACATGGTTGTGAACCGATTAGAGCTCGAACCCATGATCACTTGGTTGAGAGCACTATGCCACCGTTCCTCTTTCATAATATTATTATTGCGTTCTTCGATTTCCAGGTAATCATAGTTGTCTACAAGCGGACTTCCATCTTGTACGTAACATCGGATATTACGTCATACAAATGTATGTTCCAAGTCTACTTATAGTGATGCTATCCTGGCTGTCGTTCTGGTTAAACGTCAATTCTATTCCGGGGCGCGTCACGCTCGGCGTCCTATCTGTACTCACAATATCCACACAGAGTACAAGCGTCAATGCGTCTCTACCACGTGTCAGCTACACAAAAGCTATTGGTAAGGAAGTTTTGAACTATGTAGTAAATTTGTTAATTCGTCCTAAAAATCACGCCATAGAAAGGATGTTGTTTTCCTTTAATGCTGGCAATTACCGTAAAACGTCGGCTCTTCCAGAATACTTCGGATGAGTCCATTGCGAGGCATAATAGCCGAAGAGATCAGATTGAAATCGTGAAAGAAAACTCAAGGCAATGTGCAAATTGATTGCACATAATAATTCCAGTGCTGCCTTTGATTTTTTATTCCTACACTAAGCAACATACATGTATATTTTGAGAGAAATCAAATGTCACATTTTGTCAGTCACATGAAACTATATGTTTACATTGGTTTACACAGTGCATGTGGTTTTCAGAGTTTGGAATATACATAAAAAAGTTTGTTTTGTTAGTTTTAAATCACATTGACACTGTAAAGATCATATGGCGACTTTCCAGCTTTAACTCGGGGAAGAAGACCTCAGGTGCCATTCCGTGTACCGGTATTATTTGTAGCACAATCAGGCATCTGAGTAGAACCAACGACCGAACCGTAGCTTTCTCACATGAAAATTTTGCAAAGTCTTTGACGAAATTAGAGCCGACAGCGGTGAGGGTCGAGGGGCAAGGGATTTTAAGTCAGACGCCTTAACCACTCGGCGATAGAGGTCCCAAAATCATAGTATGAAAATATTTCATACATTATTTTTTGTTACCAGATGTTTGGATGGCTACTTGTCTAGTTTTTGTATTCGCCGCGCTCATTGAGTTTGCGGTAGTGAATGTGTTGAGTCAGAAGGTACCTGGTCGCCGGTTCTCTCTCGCCACTTTGTTCCTCATACAGGGAGAGAAAGAAGAAAAAGAAGTAAGATTAAGTTAATATGGTGATATAATCGATTTATAATTATCAAGTGTATATTTAAAATATTTCACCATTTGGTAAAACAGTATAATCTCTGCAGAGAAATACCCTTTAAGTAGCAAATAGTTTGGTTGTTGTTGAAGAGGTGTCGCTCTGGAGAAGTTAATCATATTGTGAAGTCGATTTGGGGAAGCAGTTTTTTAACATTATACTCATTTTAGTGATTATTAATTGATGCTATGTATATACTGTATTTTATTGCTGCCGAAGAAGGCCGCAAGGCCGAAAGCTACGGCAAATTTGAATTAGCGTTTTTGATTATATATGTATCTTTAGAAATTGAGAATTCGTGTAAACATTTGCTGTACTTTAGACATATGGTCTCATTTAACAGTTTATCAAAGTTGTTACATGTGTATTTTTCTTTCAAATTCAAATGTAACTATCAATCTTCATACAGCAGACGACAGTGGACCAAGATGGACGTGTATCACTAGAAAGACAGCCGAGGAGCAACGTAGTGCTGTGTTCCGCATACCTCGATATTGCGTCGAGGGTCATGTTTCCAGCCGCGTTTGGGATCTTCAACATGATCTACTGGATTTACTATCTAAATGTAACAGAGTACTAAACCAACTCGAGTCGACATCTCTGCTTAAATGGCCCTATAATTTCTAAAAGAAGATAGTAGTAAAGTCAATTAAGAGTGGGATTGGTGTTGACAAATACAGTGGTTTTTATATTTGGCCGAAATTTGGACAGACATAAAAGAGCGATAGAACGTTTAGTTATTTTATAATGCATCTGTTAATAAATCGATGGTGTCAACTAGCTTTAGATTGAACTAGCTTTAGATTGCCTAAATGTCATCATATCAGTCAATGTCTATAAATGTCGCTTTAGCTGGTTTGAGCTCTACATCTACTATCATAAACAAAGAGAAATGTATGTTTGGTCTGTTGTAGAAACATGTAGAAATTATCAGTGCAAATGAAGAAAGCTCCCATTTAAAGACAGAGTTCACACTAACATTAACAGTTGCATTGCCTGTTTGTGCGTTTTCTAAGTCACCCAACCCAAACAGAAATTAATCTTATAAAAATATTAACGGCACCTGTTCTGCTTCAACCAAGAAAAACATGGCTCCATATAGTAAAAAAAAGTTACATATTAAAGCTTGGACATAAATTGTTAACGTACGTCCCAGGTTAAAGGTCACCACATCTGCACACTCTAAACAAAACTATGCATTGTGTTTGTACTAACAAACTTATACAACATTCCTAAGTTTCCGACCGTCTCAGTCGTTAATTATGCATATGGTAATGTAACGATGCATATGTCAGTAGTTTATAAATTTTTGGAGTATGTACATTTTTGTAGTATGTACATTTTTTGTAGTATGTACACTTTTGTAATATGTACATTTTTGTAGTAATGTATATTTTGAATATTGCAGTTAATTTTTCGTAAAAATGGCATTTTAAGTAAAGAAATCTTCATTGTGTTCCTATAGTGTTGATGTTTTTTCTCTTTAAACAGTCAACGCCGTACCTTTTTCTTTAAAGAAGGACGTCGTTGAACAAAAATGAATATTGGGAGATCGCCATTTATAAACAAAAAATCATCAACGAAAACGATACAATCTGGCCAGATTAGACTGTTCAACTGTTTAGTTTTATCATTTTGGAACCACCTTACCTCACGAAAGAAACACAGTTAGCCTATTGTAGGGGTTATGACCAAATAATGAGTCAATGACGACATTCATGCGACTAGTAAAAAGTTATCTGGTGCAAAATGGTAAGTTTTATTGGAGTGTAAATGACGTCAGGATTCAAACAAACAAACAAATGTCACAGGACTCTTTTTAAGTTTTGCATTTTAAAGAGACGCTAGATGACCCCTTGTCACATTTGTTGAGTAGAACCATCAACACTCTGCAAGATACTTGGATTGTTTCCTCGCATAATACAATCAAGAATCACTTGATGGAGTGGGAACATATATGTTTATAATATACATCCCTGGTAGACTCAAACTATTACCCGTTGCAATGAGAGGCAATCATTTCAATTTCAACTGCTGTACCACCACAGTTTAGACTGAGGTCAAGACTTTGGAATAACAACTACACTGTATTGGCAAAATTAAAAGAGAAAAAAGAAGAAAGCTATTAAAGGTCAATATTTTTTTTAAATCTTAAGCTTATAAGTATTCTTCATTTTATATAATTTATTATTCTGATGATTTTTCATATATAACATATAATGACAATGTTTTTGAAGTCTTAAAGTTTACTTAGAATAATATTTTTGGAATTATAACAAAGAATCTGTATTGTCCCTACCCAACAACCCTATCCTTCCTAATCTAAGCATACAACATTAAGAAATTCTGTATTTATAATTACTACCATTGAATTTGATAACATCTTTACCAATAAAAAATTCCCTGGTCATTTTAACTGTTTAAATAACATAAACAATAAACAAACCTTAGTTACACGATTTTTACTATAATCAAAACGTTGACCTATAAATCTTCAATCATACTGATTTTATTAAACTAAATAAAGCTATATATTTGCTTCAAAAAATGATTGTTGAAATTTTTGAAAGATACAAATTAGTATACTGTCATAAAGTGCATTGCCTATGCACAAAATCATTGCTAAATGGTTAAAACCTTACTTAAAATAGCAACATAGTATTTTGTTCCTAAACATTTTATTTTGTTTTTGTACAATATTGTGTTATATATGTGTTAAATAACAGAGATACAACTCTTTTGAAATATCATTTTACTGTTAATAAACTTTATAAAAATATTTCATTAGATATACAATGTACCTTCATTTTCCTTTAAATTACGTAATCTATGGTAACAAACAGTCAAAATAGCATCAATCTGATTCAGGACATGACTTTAACATAAATCAAAGGAAAGAGATATAATCAACAGGTATTTCATAAATCAATACTATAGTCTGTTTTTTTTTGTGACATGACATCAGTTGTCTCCCCTGCTATTTTAACTTAACTTTTGCAAGCTATGATAATGACTCATCTATTTAATTATGCCACTAGGCCACCATGAACATTTTGCAGTCTGACTAGACTCTGAGAGGTTATTTTTGTTCCAGCCAGGCTTAATCATGTTGCCTGCACAATTTTATTGCTCTAATTTTGAAAAACATCAAAATCATGATGAACACTTCTAAATTTAAAGCAAACCATGTCTGGACTACAAACTCAGCAGGGCGCAGGTCAAGTATATCACCCTGTGCCAGCTCTTCCATTCAGGTTCACATTTCACTTAACACAATATGTTTTTCTTCAAATACTATCTTAAGTTAGCTCTCATATTAAATTCTAGACTTGTGAATTTTGGACATTTTTGCACAGGTGCTCTTATCTTGATTCTCCGTACATGAGTGTCTCTACCATTCTGATGGTTTGATAAGATGGCAATTTGTATCATAAAAGTTCGGATAGATTTTCCATTGATATCTTTCAGTGGTACAGATATCCAGCCTATAGGTTCACTTAACTCTATCTGCTCCACCTCGACAAGATCGTTAAAATGTGTCCCCGCTCTTATAGATACCCTGTAAATATAGGATTTGTTATATTATAGTTTCCATTAACAGTTTGCACAGTTGAAATGGTTTATCTGTGAAAACATATAACATAATGCTGGCTTTGCAATTATCTGACATAGCTTTGACTAAAATTTATTTGATGTCCCATGACACAGGATTCACTTCTGACTTTGCTTGACGGTAAGAAAAGGTGAATAACTCTGTAAAAAGGTAATTCAGAGTTACAGAACCTTTGCAACTGCAGCTTGTCATGATGGTTTCTTATTGTTAAAGCATTTAAATAATTCAGACAATGCAGCAATCATGCTTTGAAATAGACAAACTAAGTATGAATTAGTAGGGATATAACATGACTGGCCTGTAGCAGTTTAAACAAAATTCAAACAATCAGTCTAACTTATTCTGGCCAGAGATATATTGTTCTTTTTATCTATCCTCTGTGGTTTAAAGTTGAGTATGACACAAGGGCAAAACATTCCATCTATAAGAATTTCTTTAGTATAGTAGTATACAATCAGCTAATAAAGCAATTGCAACAAATACATTGTACATAACAGGATGGTTAAACAAACCTATTTGGTGTGTAACTCTCATCTGCCTTATAATCAGTGTATATACAAACATCATGAATGGTGGTCTTGCGTCGGAACTGTATGTTTACAAGGTGAGGCTGTGGACCATCAGATTGCCAGTAAGAATCGTATGAGTCATCTCTTAATTGTTCAACTCCAAACCCTGGTAAATATATAAACAGTGGAAGACAAGTAATAAGTTATATTCATCCTTGGTAGAAAACTAAGAAGGATGAAATTAAAATATAAAGAAAGAATAAATGGAAAAACAAACATCATTAAATGAATATGATCATAAGTAATTTTACAATGGTTGAGAACAGTTCATTTTATTGTCATAATATTTATTTCAAATCTGACTTTTTCAATATGAACAGAACTGCCTCCATGGTCGAGGGTTTAGAGTCGATGACTTCTAGTCCAGTTACTTCTCTGGTGTGGGTTCGATCCCCGGGAGATGCTTTAGTAGTTTAGCACGGAGGAAGGTAGTCTAGTACTGGTGTAACTCTGCAGGAACGATGATTAGGACACTACCCTCCTATATGACTGAAATACTGTTGGGAAAAGACATAAAATGAAACAAACAATATGAATGGTATACAGGCAGTGATCATGTTAAAATCTTATCCTAAAGAGGAGTTTGTACTTCTTGAGTCATTATGTCACAAACATGTTTTCTTATAAATAAGACGTCAATACTGGTTAGTACACAAAATGGACAAAGTTGCAAAACAAAACTTTTGTGTAAAATTCTGATTGTGTGTTAGTTTGTTTGAATATCTTTGACAATTGTTTTCATTAATTTGCTCTTGTTCAAGTGGCTGTTATACCTACGTAATACAGACTAGCAAAGTGGCGCATCACTGAAATTGCATGATGACTTAAGTCGTACACCAACACAGTATAGGTCATATGGTGACTTTCCAGCTTGACTGGTAGAGGAAGACCTCAGGTGCCCCTTGGTGCATTATTTGAGGCACAAATGGGCACCTGACAAGAAATATTGACGTTCCATAAGCTAGCTCGATAGCTTTTTTCCAAAAAAAGAATCCTGAGACACTGGTGTGGCTCGAACCTCTACCTACAGCGGTGAGAGTACATATAGTATTAACATTCACTTTGAAAGGATAGTATTACCTGCTTTACAAGAGGATAGAGACCAGACTGCTTGGTTACCCACTTCTCTATAAACTCCATCCTTCTCATCCTTGAATACATCCAAGTCTTGACTTGCTACTACTTTAGTTGCCATGGAATATTTTATCTGAATAAAAAATATATATACAGTATAATACTAGAATGTTTAAAGACAATGTGGAATAAAATTGGAAAGGGTTTATATGATACATAATATATGTTGTACAGATGAAATTAAGAAAATTAACCATAATCAAATAAAGTATACAGTAGCACTGAGGTCAAATGTATTTGGTAATATTTATGGTAATCACTTGCTACATGTTTTCACTAACACTAGTAAAAGAAATACTCATACTAATAGACCTACCGCAAGAATTTGACACAGAATTCAGTGTTTTTTCTTTGTATAACTACTACCCTAAGATGGTACTGTTCCCAATTGAAAATAGACATTGAAATTCCCAATTTCCAATGTTTAAATTCCCAAAATGGCTGTTCAAAATTTCTACAAGGCCAAGTGATTTCTCTGAAATCATTTAAATCAAACATATTCATATAAATCATCACTCAATAATTCTACCTGGACAGTGGAAGCTGTTAGCTATCTTTATTCGTGATGACTAATCTTATTTGTACCTGAAAAAATGTATTAAAAAAATTCCCAATTTAAGTCAAAATAAGCTACATGTTTTTACTAACACTAGTAAAAGTAATACTCATACTAATAGTAAATAGACCTACCACAAGAATTTGACACAGAATTACCAATGCCCTCTGCCTATGGTAAGTTTAAAAAGTAAGTTCATAATACTTTGTATGTATTTGTGACTCTCCGAAAGGAGGTAAAAAAGCTAAAAAATCAAGCTTTGACAGTTGGCGCCAATATTAGGCCAAGTTGACAACTGACAAAAATGCTGCACATGATCCCCCCCCCCTTATATTTTACAACCGAATAGAGGCAGTTATCCCTAGACCAAAATAGGTATACTTTCCTGTGAAATGCCCTGTCTTTATTAGAACCATAATTCAACAGCAGCTGACTTATTTAAGCTACTGAGCTAGCTGATATATCTAATTAATGAAATACAGAAAACTGCCCCTTTAGACATCTCCTGTTATGCATTGAATTGAAATTATTTTTTTTCTATTTAAATGTGTGATTTATTTCCAGTCTCTGCCTTTTCTGATTTATTGTGCTATATTTTCGCTGGGACAATAGATAACACTTAACATTTTAAGTCCCAGATTTTCCCCTTCAGCTCTCCAGAAACTTGAGAAAGCACAGGTTGTTTTGAAAATTGAAAAAAAAATCACTGATAGAAATTTCATTTTAATATCCTATATCCAATGAAACACATAATAAAGAGATGAATTTAAACAATGATTTAATATATAGTTACAAAACATAGAAATCAATTATTTGCATATCTTACATACCTTCCAATGTTTACCACTACCGCTTTTTCTTTCTTGCAAATGGGGGAACGTAGATAAAGGGAGACAACCTGTACGTTACAATTGATAATGCCGTAACGTTCCGGATTTATTTTCAGAATAATTAACTTTTTAAGGCGCCTTTCATTTTGAAATTAAGAATTTAAAAGCAGGAGAAATGACCACACTTATGAAAAATGAATTATAAATATAAATTACTGATATTGTCATGGAGATATCGAAAACATTTTTTGAAGCACAATGTCTGTGTTGCCATGTAGCAAAACATTTAATCTTGATTTTTATTAAAATCAATATCGAATTATTAAATTGGTCATATTATGCAAAACTTAAATGGCACTAAACAAAATGTAAAAAGATATCCTAATATGCACAAAAGCAGCCATATTTTGGGATCAAATGCACAAAAAAAAACAATACAGATAATAACTGACACATACACAATATATACCATACAATTTTATATTTTAACGTCTCGAGATCTGATCAAAATAAGAATGAAATTTACGACCAAGATCAATATTTAGATCAACTGTAAAATATCCACATCCTTTAAAGTAAGTTGATTTTATTCTAACATTTGATAATCATGCTATTTTAAGTCCATTTTTATCAAGTTGATCAGAGACATAGATATTATCTATGTCTCTGAGTTGATAAATAATCTGTTGCATAAACAATGACAAAAAATTGATATTTTAATTTTGATCCTACTGTTGACTCTGATCAAAGTATCAAATATCCTGACCAGTATGTGATCATCACAGGGTTGAGTTATATCTCTTTTTATCGTTTGGGATAATATATGAGGAAGTCGAGGTTATCACGATCATTCAATTTGGCTCAATTGTTACCCGGTGTTATAGACTTGCTGGTCTCTGATAAATTTTGAAAAATCTAGAACAAATCTACAACCCCCCCCCCCCCCCAAAAAGAAAGAAAAAAAGTGAGATTAGATGACAATTGATTTATATAAATATTGACGGAGAACATGGTTATTTAGAGATACGTCACACTATATAGCGTAATAGAGGAAGGAAAACTGACTCTCACGCTGACGTATATATACATAGCTATTCTTGCATAGCAGACTGGCGTTTCCGTGAGTTTTACCCATGCCGGAAATTTCGTTGTTATTTAAGTTGTAAGTTACACGCTATTGTAAGAAAATAGTTATGGATGAAATGACTTTAATTTCCATGAACATAAATCATGTTGAGGTAAACCATTTTAAATATGAAATAATATGGCAGAATATGCAAGAAAAAATATCTGACATAATTATGTTTGCGGTTCGGATCGGAATATCCGTCCCTCGGGAACCCGCCCAAGCCTCGTTACCGCCCAATGGGCGGATCCCCTAGTCCGAACCGCAACATATGACAGATATAATTAGGATATACGTTTGGAAATTGTTAAGTATAAGTCCCGTCGTACGGCTTACACACGCTTTCAATGTGAGAAAAAATGAATATGTTCAATAATTTTCTGCGTATATATTGTACGTTATGTACACGCTCATATACGCTACACAAAAGCTTAATACGCTAGACAGTCGCTAAAAGTTCGTAACTCATATCCTAAGTACATTTCTTACACGGTTGCGATGAGAAAACGTATAAAATGTTTAGCGAATTTTAGACTATAGTAACGTCGTTGTAACGTATAACCGACGAATGAGAAACGTAAGGAACGTCTCTCAACTGACAAGCATTTACGTTACTTATACGCTCGTTAACGCTACCTATACGTTTTTATCACACACCCGTGCCGATTTTGCGACTCCGTAAATATGGTATTGCACGGCCGTGCATATATTTTGACGTGACGTCATTAGCGTTATACAAACATAGTGTAAAGACGCGCTAAATGTTAGCGTTATACGCGTCAATGAAAATGACTCTTATTTCACTTTAAACGGTCTTTATTTTGGGTAAGTGATAAATAGAATATTAAATTCGTGTAAGTTCATTACTGAATTTATTGCACTCGTTGAATAAAATAATATTATGCTCGCCAGAGGCTCGCATAATATAATTTTATTCAACTCGTGCAATAAATTCAGTATTGAACTTACACTCATTCAATATCCTCTATATATGCGCTACGTTAAAAGATAAAATACGTCCACATATATGCTCGCATAACTTTTTTACCAATTCATACGTGATCCATTAATCACTTCATGGATAACCCTCGAAATGCTTGTTCAAACGTCTCACTATGAACTAAATGAGCTAGATGACTTTGAAAATATTTTTACATTATGTATACGCTTTAAATAACTTGACAGGACCTTTACCATGAAATATATAATATGAATGTTTACGTATCTTTTGTAATTTGTAAGTGACGCTTTAAAATCTGATAAAAGTCACTTGAAACTCACCCGGAGCAGCTGCAGAAAGCTGACACTATCTGCGCGTAAACGATGTGCGTTAATGGCATTGTATCATATGACACTGTGATAAAGATAAGTGTTGAACTGATTATCAAGTTACATGAGAAGAGATTTAAACATGCGTGTTTATGTTAGTCGCCGGAAATGACCATATTGGCCAGATTATCTGCGCACTTGCTGCATGGCCCGGTCGTAGATCTCGAGACGACACATTATATCAGCGACTTTTCGGGCAGAATCTTAATTCCTTGACTTTTTCTTCGTTTGTCTGGATACGACAATACTGCCAAAGCATCACGTTTCAGACGGCATATCATAACAAACACGGCTCTTGGTAGTGCCGTCCTCCCGAGTTAGTCACGACAAGTCAACCATCCGTCTCTGGTACTTGAAATTACATTTGTAATTGACATACCGTGCGCCTCCGCGGGAGGGATTTGGAGAAGAATATTGGGCAGAACTTTGTACTGCGATAAATTTTAGTTATGGTTCAAATTTCAGACACTCTTGATAACCATCCAAACGGAGCACCGCGGTTCACTTGTCGGAGATACCCGAGTTGTTAAAATAGACAAAACACATGATCGGACGGAATAGTACGTTTTTTATTTTGCAATTGATTTCTATGAGATATTATCTTAATGTACGCATCAAATTACTCATGTACATGTACATGTATATGCTCCAATTTTCCTTGTATCTGATATTACAATCATTCCCCGGGTGCAGCTTGAATCATGCAAAAATAATTTATTCTAATGTCTTATTGGTGTTTGAAAAAGGAAGTTCAATTTGTTTTAGTTCCTGGGTGACTTTGATGAATGATTTACAAAGCCCGTGTTCTTTGTTAATTTTACGATGTATTTACATAACAGTTTAAGCGTTCTTTTTCCGTGTTGTATTTTATCTAATAAATTTCCTACACGCTATTCTGAATGGTTTAAAAGTCTGTTTTGATCAGTGACGTATACATTGGGTAAAAAAAGTTAAATTGGAATCAAAATGGAACACAAAAGCAACCTTTATAGCTGCATTTGACTAGTGGTTTAAGTATAGGTTGAACTTTCAGCCCAAGAGTCCTGGGTTTGAGTCTTAAACTCTTAATATAGCGTGATGGTCTTGTTTCCCGAAATGACACCAGTATACTGGTTGGTTCAAGGAACCAGACGACTCGAGCCAGATTATTGTCATCGTCGGATACCCTTAGGCCGACTGCGTTAGTCACGCGATAGAAAAGTATAAATATGATGATAAATCCAGGAAATTCAGTCAATAATCGCACTTTTAAATATCAATTGAAAAGTTGAATTACTTTTTTTTCTCTTAAAATCTTAGCACATTTTTCTCAAGTTTGATTTTCTTGAAATATTGTAGTTCATCTAGGAGACAAGCGCTTTAAACAGGTCAAAAGAAGCGACATATGATATTAGACATTTTTGTTCTTAATGGCGTCTTACTATAAGTATCTCAGTCGTTGACCTACTTTTTGTATGCATGCACGCGCTTAAATAAACGCTATTGATACGAATAAACTGTCAACAATTTAAAAATTATGGTCTTCTCATTGGTCGAAAAGTAGGCCAAAGTCTCACACATGTGTGCCTAAATTATGACTATGAAATTTTGTTTTTCGGCACGGACCAGGGCTCTTATAATTCATCATCAAACTTTTAAAATGTCCCGTATGTGATATTTTCCTGTGGTTAATCTTTTTGCAGTGTTCAGTATTGAGCTATATTACATATACATGTATATATAAGTATTATCTAACAATCAAGACTATATAGATAATTCAAAATACATTAAAGAGTGATCAGCATATAATTTTTAATCAGCAATACTTTACTCACTATATATTAACAACAAACTATTTACATTTTGGAGGTATAAAAATATAAAAAACTTAATAAACATAGATTTAAGCAATACATAATTCATAAATGACATACATATAACTATAAAACCTGTACATTTAAACTGCACATTTAAACTATAATTTAAAGCGGATTCATTCCATTGCCCTGCAACAACATGCAAATATAAATTGGGAATATACAGTTTACCCCATGGTGACCAATTTCGATTGGTACCACACCGGGCTGTCTAAAGCTGGTTGTAATTAAAATTATATTTGTTCTAACTGAACTCCCATTCATTAAATATAGATTGTTTCAAAACTAAAGCAGGGCAAATTAAAGCAGGGCAAATTAAAGCAGCAGGTTTATTATACATGAATACATAAATACATGCGCACCGGGCAAAGATTAAACAACACACTTTTGCAATAAAACAATTTGAGATCAACAATTTGCAGGCCTTCAAACTTAGCAAATACATTTGTATATAAATACACTGAACAATATATTCAGGTCAATTTGATTGTAAGTAAACTGATACACGTATGTTTGCACCGAAAGTAATCATGTTCCACGTGAACTTGAAATTCTATCAAATAACCATTACATTGTATATTAATAATAATATCCAAAAATACCCCCTTTTTAGTATAAATAAACACTATACTATTTAGGGGGTATATTTTGCATATTATCGTTAATATTGATATAATTTCAAGTACCTGTGCATTTTCTTAACAAATTTCGACAGACATTCACTTATACCGTTAATACATGTATAAATTGTTATATTGTTATATTGTAACACAGTAATTCATCTTTTAAATGAGCCGTGCCATGACAAAACTAACATAATGGGTTTGCGACAAGCATGAATCCAAACCAGCCTGCGCATCCGCGCAGTCTGATCAGGATCCATGCTGTTCGCTATCAGTTTTGCTACTTGTAATAGGGTTGGTAAGCGAACAGCATGGATCGCGGATGCGCAGGCTGGTCTGGATCCATGCTGGTCGCAAACCCACAATGTTGGTTTTGTCATGGCGCGGCTCAAATGGCTGTACCACTTAAGTACATATATGTCATCGGAATCATATCCATTTAGTAGTTAGGCGTAGCTGTTAGGATATTTCAGTCGGTGATATATATAAAAAATATACATATTCCTCACTGAAATATTCATTGTGTTCCGGCTTGACTTTGACAAACATTTAGTACCGTATATCTATCTACCCACACTAATTGACGTTGCTAATACATGTAGTCATTTCGACGCTTACCAAAACATTCCCGGATATGTCGAAATTTGCCAAAACACGTATACTGCAATCTCCCAGGTTATATGGCAGTGTTCGCAAGATAATAACGTTCTCCTTCAACTTCTACAAACTTTGTCTATGCCTGACTCAGTAGGTGACTATTATCAATTTCAAAATATCACTGTTATTCCGTCTTCCACTTTATAAAAGAAACATATCTCTATCACGTTTATCACAAAGGCGCCACATGGAGGCGGCCATTTTACCATGTGACTGAAAGTAGTTCCAATTATATTTCACCTTATTATGTCAGAGGTCTATTGGAAGCATAAAAACCGAGGAGATCAAATTGGATTTTATGAGGGACGGTAAAAATTGACTCTCACGTCAAAGAAGCATGTTCTTGACTCTTTTCATTTACAAGTTTATGTAGGAGTTGATCTGTTCATGAGAAATAAATATAATTATAATAATATTATATGCATTAACATTAAAATACTTTTTAAAGGCACATTTATAACTATTTAGCCCTATAAGTTATTTTGAATCTCTTTTTTCCTCAAACTTTGAACGTTTTGTGAAATATTTTCATTTTAAGATTTCAGGTCATATGATTTGATTTCAAAACTGTCTTCATCACCCTGTATTTCATTGGTTACTTCAAAAGTTTGTTCTGCGCGCTGTGATGCGCGCTGTGATGGGCGCTGAGATTCGCATTGTTGTGAGGACCCGCCTTGTAATGATGGTAGAAGGGAGGTGTCTCTATTACTACGCCGAGATAGATAACTATGAGGAGATTTGCAGTTGTTGCTTTTCTTACACTCTGTCACACGTTCTGAAATTAAAACATAGAAATGTGTACATTGAGAAATATGAAAGTAGACAAAGCCTATGAGCGGGGAAATAAGAAAAAAATAAGTTTATTTTATATTTGTCTTTTTTTTTTCGTTTTAAATTTTCATTTGGTATTTCATGCACCGCTTCCGTTTTCAATCGGAACACCTCTACGATTGAACTTGTTACGCCGAAAAGTTGCGATGGTTATTACTCTGACACTGAAAATTTCATTGATAGGTATAAAAATCTATATACATATTTTTAATTGCTTTTTATTTGGGTTCCTTTTAAATATACACGTCATCGGTAATATGTCTAGGTGTTAAATTATAGGGATTAAAATTGTAAGGAGAAGAAATATAACAGATGATGTAAATTTACCATTTACTATTTGCTTGAGTTCCGTATTGTGACGATTGTCATCTTCGTCATCAAAACAACCAAAGTCCGAACATACGTTGTTTGAAATATTTCCGAGCGGGTTTGGACGTTCACTTCTTACGATCTCTTTACGATAAGAGTTATCGTCTGCTTTATTAAGATCATTGACGCATCTTGGTCTGCCCTGGTTGTTATCAGCATTTTTAAGTGGACATTTATCAGGAAAATGGCTGGCTGGACATTGATAGTCCCAATTGTCACTGGTCAGTGAGCGTTGAATCTCTGCACGTACTCTTGGAAGTGTTTCTGTTTCGTCATGATGTTGTACCTGACTTTCCAAACTGTTGTTGGGGAGTCGAGATCGGAGGTCAGTCTGACACCCCGTATTTTTAGTCTCCTCTTGACCATAAGGGGGTAACCTCTCGATAGACGACATATCTGCACACAAAAATAAATAGTTAAATAAAACATGTAGCTGTAAATAGTTTCTGGTAAACGGTTAATACTTTAACACGCGCTGGTTTAAAGGGCAACTGTAGTTAGAACTTTTTATTATCTTAACATTTTTTCTATAGAATATCCTCATGTTTTGATAAATACCACCGCTTCTGCATGAATTTATCTAAAGAAGATATTTAGGAAATACAAAATAAATAATAATAATTATTAAAAGAAAATATATTTAAATAATAAAAAAGTTAGCTACCGCTGCTTTCCGGTTTGTCGTCAGCGTTTGTTGATTCAGTGATATCACTTCCTGTGAAACTTCTACTAGTATTCAAGGGCGTCGAGGCCTCAAGACCTATAACCAAACAATTTACATAAAAACTAAAGTATATTTGTATACGAAACAGGTAATCGTGAATAGATTAACTACTTTACTAAAATGTTACAACGCCCTCTCCCCCCCCCCACACACACACGAGAATATATTCTAAACTAGATTAAGCTAAGGCATGTCCTAAAAATTTCTACAAATGAGCCGCGTCACGACAAAACCAACATAATGGGTTTGCGACCAGCATGGATCCAGACAAGCCTGCACATCCGCGCAGTCTGATCAGGATCCATGCTGTTCGCTTACAAACCCTATTACAAGTACAGAAACTAATAGCGAACAGCATGGATCCTGATCAGACTGCGCAGGATGCGCAGGCTGGTCTGGATCCATGCTGGTCGCAAACCAACTATGTTAGTTTTGTCATGACGTGGCTCAAATTATTTTCAGGTTCAATTATATTTGTTTCAGAACTAACAAGTACTTAAATTTCCAAAAATGCTAGGAATCATCGTTCAGCCGGGTATTTTTTCTCTCTCGTAAAGAGAGGACTCCTTCCTCCCTGAACAATAAAACTAATGTTTCTTTTTAAAAAATCCGAATAGTTTTTATTCCGCATGATACTATACACACTGGTTTTTTTCTTCTTCGTACATGTAGGTCATATTTCAATAATATTTGAGCCGTGTCACGACAAAACCAACATAATGGGTTTGCGACCATCATGGATCCAGACCAGCCTGCGCATCCGCGCAGTCTGATCAGGATCTATGCTGTTCGCTTACCAACCCTTACAAGTCGAGAAACTGATAGCAAACAGCATGGATCCTGATCAGACGGCGCGGATGCGCAGGCTGGTCTGGATACATGCTGGTCGCAAACCCATTATGTTGGTTTTGTCGTGGCACGGCTCATATGTGTAGGAAAACTAAACGGGATTGCATTATAAATTTTCAGTCGAAATTTACTCGTTATAACTAGACAACAGTCCATTTAAAGAAAATTTCCAGGAACTGGTTGGACGTGTTAAGAATTAGTTTTGTGATACAGCAGCAATAAATAAATTATTAGTGTAATGTTTTACAAACCTTTGTCACTTGTAAGTGACGGTATTTGGACGTTCATCAAAGCACTCTTACTTTCAGGATCGTGTGAACTATCTTCATCTGAAACAATATTCATATTGAATAAATATTATAACCAGTTAGTGTTTGGAAATTATTTTTCTCCAATAAGATTGCAGGATTTCAAATGAAACGTAACATATCGCTACCTTTTTATTATTCTCGTAAATATAGGCAAATGCTTACTAACGTACATAATTGTGAACGTAAAATGACCACAACTTGCACATAATGCAACACTCGAATCTTCTCGGTTTTTTCCGTCAAACTTCGGATTAATAGCCGATATGTTCCGATAACCATTATCTAGTCTGGATTACCTGCCCTTTTCTCTTCGTTACATCGTATAGCTATTTTCATACAATGAAGAAATCTTATAATTATATTCCTTTTTTCCAAACAACAGTGTTCGCTGCGGGAAGCCAAAACAAACTACAAAATACCAGACTCTATAAAAACCGGCAATAAGTATAAATTGTTGGAATAAACATGCCCCGTGTAGTAAGGGTTCAGTCACATGAATGGTCGTTTATCCATGTGTGATCGAAATTGGCGACTCAATGGGTTCGAGTAACTGAAGTCAATGCATCTCTTAGCTTCAGTTAGGTGTTGTTTTGAAGACTGTACCACCCGGACTAGTCAAATTCATCTTTGTGTTGGTGCGCCGTAAAACCAACCAACCAACCAACCAACAAAACAAACAAACAAACAAACTTACCACGATGTCTTCCTTTATAACATAATATATAGACGATTGTTATACTGAGAATGATGACAAGTAACACCAGAAGCGCACCTACAGCTATCAACACGTCTTTAAAGACGCCTCCATCTAGAAGTTAAGAAGAAAAAAGACTATGTGTTAATGTATTTTCAAAAATATTTCATACAAATATAAATTTTGTTACTGGTAAACCGAACCGTTTTAATTGAGGAACATAAAACAGTGAAGAATACAGTATGCAGTCTTCAGCTCAATACATATTAAACTGCGACCAACTTTCATAAAACTCTTCAAGATGTAAGAAATATTGCAGGAGACACAACAATGGTACGAACCAGACAGACAGACGGCCGAACAGACAGATAGACAGACAGACGAAAATAATGTCTATAACTTCATTTATATGTCAATCATTGAGGGGCCGTACAGATGAAACATGTATGTAATTGAAGTACAATTGAATGTGCACTTTTTTATATATTTATTTAAATATTTATATCCGGTATCATTGTTTAAAAAATAAATATATATTTCAAGGACGAAAACGAGGCTTCTCTAGTACCTGTTGTATGTGTCCTCGTTGTTACTTCAATTGACTGGCGTATTGTCACGTCCCACTGCAGACTCTCGTTGCAGTAGTAAGACCACGTGACTGCTTGCGTATGTTTGTTGACTAAGGAACATGAGAAATACACGGAATAATTCACGTTGCTATACCCCAGATCACATACCCATTTGTCGTCTGCTGTTTTGTGGTCGTCTGGTGGAGGCCCGCATCCTTCAGAATTTAAAGATGGTTAGTTTGATTTCTTTTGTGTTAGAATTCTACGTGCATGTATAATAGGAAATAACTTAATATTGACACGCTTAAGTTTTTTCAATTTACAAATTGAAATGGTGTACACATTTTAATGAACGTAATATTATTTACTTATAATTATTTGGTTAAGTATTACATTTTTACATAAGGAGGGCTGTATAGAGCAAATTCAGTTCCAACCTCTAAATTAAGAAACTTTTCAACACCAGATAACATAATTTTTGCATATCGCCAGAAGAATGTTCTTTCAAAATATTTTTTATCGTTAAAAGAATTAAAGTTAACTGTTTGAAAATCTTTTATCTGACAGCACCACTATTGGTACCCTATAAAAATTATGAGAACCATTTTAATTGCTTCTTTTGCTTTTTGGCAATAACTCTTGTAATAGCTATAGTTATTATTTTGCACGAAATTCAAAATACCACATTATTTACATTTTGCTACCTAACATTATTGAAATCCATTATTTATACATTACTAAACACATGTGTGACCCTTCTAAATAAAAAAGCTCATTTCCAATTTCTAAAGAAAAATATAGTTCATTTCAAAGGCATGTGCATAATCTACCTGGAGTTGTTCCGATTTTACAAACTGGATAAAGTTTGTTGTCTCTTTCATATGGCGTTATTTCTGCCGTGATATTGGAATACTTGTCCCCACAACGATATTCCTGGTGGCGCTTGTTACTCTCGTCATTTTGGAAAGCCTTTGTTACATCGCAATACAGGCAATGCTTAAATGTAACACCATCCTCGGTGTAAATGCTGAAAAAACAACATACATAACTACAATGTAAGCCAATACGAAAACACAGAAAAATGACATAATAAATAAACAATGACTTTCTTTGGAGTGACAATACGTACATAAAAACGACTTTTTTTTTAGTAATCCTGTCCGTCAAAACACCACCAACATCAATAACGAAATAAAAACACCACTATCACTTACAATAACAACAACTAGTATCCTAAACGTAACAACAGCAACTCCTACAGAAGACTCAGTTTTAAGCACTCTTCCCCACAAAAATATCATTAAAACTAATTATAGCAAAGTTATAAAAGTTTAAAAGATTTATTAAGGGGCGTACGATGCCGAGTGGTAAAGGTCTTGCGTCACACCGTTGTAGGTTCGAGCCGACGACCGTTAGTTAGCCGGATAGCTTAGAAACATGAAAGAATCCAAAGTCCCTGTCAGGATTCGAACCCACAGCGGTGAGGGGCAAGTGGTTTGAAGTCAACGAACTTAATGGACGCCCCTACGACAAGTAATGGGAATAGATAACACTGTACAGATATCAATCTATTGTATAAAACAGAAATAATAGGGTCTCGTATAAATACAAGGCTATTAAATTATTGTAATTATACTTAGTACGTAAGACAATATATCTTTGCTTTATTGTCACACAAAGTGGGGGACATTCACATTTGTCTCTTGGTGTTTGAAATTATTTTTTTTTGTCTCATAAGATTGTATAGGTATTATTCTTAATCCCGATTTTTTTTCGGTTATTTTTGCCAATTTTTCGAATAGCATTACTACGCCTACTCATTGCACCTATTTACATTGTTGCAACTTAAATTTAGTGAATTAGCACAATTACCCAGTCTAGCAAATCGACTGTTTATAAAGAAAAAATAAAAATATTTGAGCCGCGTCACGACAAAACCAACATAATGGGTTTGCGACCAGCGTGGATCCAGACAAGACTGCGTATCTGCGCAGTCTGATCAGAATCCATGCTGTTCACTATCAGTTTCTTTACTTGTTATAGGGTCTGTAAGCGAACAGCATGGATCCTGGTCAGACTGCACGGATGCGCAGGCTGGTCTGGATCCATGCTGGTCGCAAATCCATTATGTTGGTTTTGTCGTGACGTGACTCATTTGGAGACATCGACACCGTAAAGAGTGAAAGATCTTATGCCTGGCGACTTTCTACGTTTACTGACGGACGAAGACCACCTATTTCCATATGCTGGCTATATATACGTGGCTTACTAAGACGATTTTAATGATCCATAGTCGTTGGCAGGATTCGAACTAAAAGCGGTTAGGGGCAATGGTTTAAAATTATCGACCTTAACCACCTAGCCACGGATTCTCAAAATGCTCCCGGTTGTTTGTGCTTCTAAGTTAGATATAAAACTGTTAACTTAAAATGAATCATTTTAAAGATGTGATGTGGTGAAAAGTTTTACAGACAATTTATGGTGGTTGAATTATTGAAAACCTTATAATATTTAAACTTGACTTTTACTTTTGTAATATGTTCGTGCAATCGCGAGCCATTCTAAATATTTGTACTCACGAAACTAACGAACAAACAAACTCTAGCTAATACAATCAAAACAAATAAAAAAAATACAAAATAAAAAAAACAAACAAAAAAAAAACAAAAACAAAACCACTCACTATTTTCCTGTTTCACCTGGTTTAAGTCTTTCTGGTAATAACGTATCCAAGGATTCAACAGGAGTTATATACAACAACAACAACCACATGATATCTCTAAGTGACATCTTATTTATCTTGATCGTAAGCAAAATATTAAAAATATTTATTTTTTAATACACGAAATAACAAAATCTTATCTGAGCGTAGTTTAACCTCCCACTGCTCGTAACCCTGATATTTTACATGCTGAATGAATGTACACAAAAACAATCAAGGAAGTTTAAATCGATTAAAACCCACGCGTCCTTTTGATAATTTACCGAGTTTAATTCGTCCGGAAGAAAGGTCTTACCGACTCTTTTTTACACCCCCCCCCCCGATCCAACAAACAAACAAATAAAAGAAGAAAAAGGGAAACAGCTATGACATAGATCTATTAAATTTTTACATCTTTATAAATACTTTATGTCGGTCATATTTCGGCCATATGTACGTTCGTATGGCCGGTCTTCCTGGATAAGTAACAGTAATAGAAAACCTCTTAGCAAGTGCCCGGCTAACTATTCTACTTTAATTTTGATTTAGAGATGAGTGATCAGTTGCCATAGAGAAATTTCATCTCACCCGAGGATCGCACCAGCGACCCCTGTATTCTAGATCTCTATTGAGCCGGGCGGGCGGTATATGGCGGACAAATATTTTATTGTTGAAAGTACGATTTACTTCGATTGTTTTCATTACTATTTAATAAGGAAATGTATCTTCGAGGATAACGCGGTTTAACATTTTTCTAAGAAGCGTAATTGCATGAAGGTCATTAAGTACATTTTGTACTTGGAAAAACCTATACTGTATAAGTTTTCTGCGGTGACTTTATTTATGCGGTCTGTTTCAGCACCGCAAAAAGGTGTCACAAACTGTACACAAAAAAACCTTAATCCAAGTCCCTAAAGAACAATGCAGCATGTAGCATTTATTTCAATAGCAATATCATATGAATGCGATTATACAAACAATTTACAAACTTTTAAAACATCAAAAAGTAAACATTTATTTGAGCAAAATTTAAATAACTGTGCCACAATTATTTATGACCAATAATAGCAATTGAAAATGTTTCATTAATTATATCAATTTTACATTTTTAAACAGGGGTATCTGGCAGTAATATAAAAATATTCCTATCAAATAAATATGTACATATAAGAAAGGAATTAATAAATCATTCAAATGAAAAAAAAACATTAATTATTATTCAAATGTAGTTCATGTCAAAATATTTATGTCACCCTGAAAAATTTATGGTGGTGGGGTTTTGTTCACTCTATAAAACTTGAGGTGTGGGGTTTTGTCCACTCTGTAAAATTTAGGTGTGAGGTTTTGTCCACTCTATAAAATTTTGAGGTGTTGGGTTTTGACTGGTGGGGTTTTGTTCGCCATAATTTTAAAGCTTCCCATTGATTTAAAGGATGTAGCGCCGTCAGTGGTTCAATAGTCATATACCGACGAGCATGCAGTACAAATATGTCCCTGGCAGTAGAGTACAGCCTTTGCAGAGCATTCAAAAAAGTACGATCTTACAATAAAGAATACCTCTGCAGAGCAATCACCTCTCTACAACGGTATCGTTGCCCTTACAATAAATGTTACCTCTGCAGAGCAATCGCCTCTCTACAACAGTATCATTGTTCCCAAAAGTGAGATCTGATCTTACAATAAATGTTACCTCTGCAGAGCAATCACCTCTCTACAACGGTATCGTTGTTCCAAAAGTAAGATCTTACAATAAATGTTACCTCTGCAGAGCAATCGCCTCTCTACAACAGTATCATTGTTCCCAAAAGTAAGATCTTACAATAAATGTTACCTCTGCAGAGCAATCGCCTCTCTACAACAATAACATTGTTCCCAAAAATAAGATCTTACAATAAATGTTACCCCTGCAGAGCAATCACCTCTCTTTAACAGTATTGTTGTTCCCAAAAGTACGACATTACAATAAATATCATCTCTGCAGAGCAATCACCTCTCTACTACAGTATCATTGTTCCCAATAGTAAGATCTTACAATAAAGTTTACCTCTGCAGAGCAACCACATCTCTACAACAGTATCATTGTTCCCAAAAGTAGGATCTAACAATAAATGTTACCTCTGCAGAGCAATCACCTTTCTACAAGAGTATCATTGTTCCCAAAAGTAAGATTCTTCAATAAAAATTACTTCTGCAGAGCAACCACCTCTCTACAACAGTATAATTGTTCCCAAAATTAAGATCTTACAATTAATTTTACCTCTGCAGAGCAATCACGTCTCTACAACAGTATCATTGTTCCAAATAGTAAGATCTTACAATAATTTTTACCTCTGCAGAGCAATCATCTCTCGACAGCAACCAACAATCTTTGTCTCCCACAGGGTATTGTTCTATAGAGGTTGTACTTTAATATGTTTTCTTCCTGCATGTGACCCCCATCATATCCACAAAGTATGCAACAGTGTTGAAGACGAATGACATTTTTATTGAAATCAGACCGAAAAAAAAATTGAAATTTAATTTCTTCAGAAATATTTGTTCTCCCCCCCCATCAGATTTTACATTATAACATACAAATGTTCATGTATATTGTATTTGCAGATTAAGATACATATTGTTTGTTCATGCAAAATGACTAAAATGGACCATGATCATAAAGTGTGTAAGCAATGATAAGAATATTCACAATTAAAACCATCCGGCCGCATTTAAGACCACTTTGGTCCAGTCCAGATGGTGGTCTTAATTGACGGTTTTTGTAATATTGTACGTATTTACTAAAATTAGTGATATAATCCCGAGTCCGGATATCTGAACCTTCGAATTTCCGGATGCGGGTATTCGTATAAAATACAAGTATTACAAAATATTCAGATGAAAGTTAAATGTTTTTTTTCCATTTAAACATCTTAAACGTCTTAAAAAAAACCCCAAAAACAGAAAGTTAGTCCAAGCATGCCGGTGATATTAAGATCATTAATGAGCCGCGTCATGACAAAACCAACATAATGGGTTTGCGACCAGCATGGATCCAGACCAGCCTGCGCATCCGTGCAGTCTGATCAGGATCAATGCTGTTCGCTTACAGACCCTATTACAAGTAGAGAAACTAATAGCGAACAGCATAGATCCTGATCAGACTACGCGGATGCGCTGGCTAGTTTGGATCCATGCTGGTCGCAAACGCACTATGTTTGTTTTGTCGTGACGCAATGAATTATCGAACGATTTCACACAGATGCCTATCAGGTGATGCATGTTTTAATTCAGTCACTGGCTTTGACTATTGGTTTTTTAAAACCATATAACTTAATGTCCCCATGTACGCGCAGTATGAAAAGGTTAGGGAAAAATAATTCACAATGATCTACTTCAATGAAAACCATTGTTTCCATTATACATTTTGACTTTAAAGAAGTTAATGGCCGATCGTGACCATGTGGTTTACCTATATTCCCCAGGGAAGGTATAACACTTGTGACCTGCACGATTTAATGATATTCGGCACGTTTTCATCCAAATATAGAAAATTAATCATCAAGATTCTAAGAAAACCCTTACAAAAGATGCTTGATATTTTCCTTTCAATTTTACAATAAATCTACAACATAATTATGCAATAGTCAAACCCGTGACCTTGATTTTATTCGCAGGAAATAATATGACTTCTATTGAATAAACAGAAAGAAGGGACGGAATTCTTCAAATGTCAACTCAGCTTCAAAAAATGTACATGTGTATATTGTCAGAGAAGAAGTGTGTATGTGTAAATGCACTTGCCATGTGTGGCTGAAGTGTTGGTAGTTCACGCTAGTGATAAAACGTTTTAATTGCTTTGGTAGATTGAAAATTATATTTCCACCATCTGAATTACATATTAAAACAAGACACGCACTGCGCTTGTCTTGCACACAACGAGGTTATGATGCTCACAACGAGGATTAAAGCAAAAAAGGGTATATCTTCGTTTCTATGAAGACTTTCAGGTAATGATTTACGCTGAAGACTTGTGGGGATCTGTTTTAGGTTAGAATGCACAAATTTCACCAGAATCGACGTTTTCAATGTTAAATGTGGTCCGGAGAGAAGTCTCCAGTTTTCCAGCTACCCCGAGCGACTGCGTCGCACGGTATTTCCATCAAATTGTCCACCAACAGGCAATATCTTTACATGTGCATACTCGGAAAACACATCGCTAGCTAACTGCATTCCGATATTTCTACTTAAATGTCTGTAATCTTCAAAAATTATGAAAAACTCACCTTGTTTATCGTATCACACGTCCTAGATGGGTGCTCACAACGAGGAACGGAAGTTGCTCACAACATTTTTACCGATGGGCATTTTACACTCGGTGTGAGTTAAACGGGCGTGTATAGTGGCTGATTTGGAACGCTTTTGTCCGTCGTGTTGGCGCTAGCGACAACAGGACAAAGCGCCAAACGGCGCGTTCTCGGACTTTTGTCTTGTCGTCCTGTCGCTAACGATGTACGCCAAACGGCGCGTTGTCGTGCGGCGTGATGCCACATTGTTGTTCGGTTCAAATCGAAGGATTGACTTATAAGCCAAGCGACAGGGCGACATTGCGCCGTTTGGCGTGCTTCAATAGCGACAGGACGACAAGACGACAGCAGAACGTTTGGTGCTTTGTCGTGTTGTCGCTAGCGACCTGACGAAAAGGCCATAACGATATTGGTTGCGTTGTCGTTATCGACAACGCAACGCGCAATGTACCAAATCAGCCACCATAGTTTACTATGATATTTAACTAACTGATTACTGCCTACTATCACTATACTGTACTGTGTAATGTTACTGTGTTACTGTTTAGTGTCTATTATTTACTCCTAATTTCGACGTTTCCCAATCTATGTTTTACCATGGACTTTTAAATGTCCATCGTGTTACCAACTGCTTAAAATCTCGGATTACTCACTGCTTTAAGACTGTCACAATCTATTACTGCAGATTAGCCGATATATTCATTAAGACAAATATTCTAAGACTTTAAGAAAAATAAAAAGATTCAAGAATGTAGGAATCATTTACATTTGTACATGTAATGTGCGACTAATGACTGATTTTGCAGTATTTATCACCATATTTCTACTGCGTGACTATCACAGTAAAGGCTATTTGTGAATAGTTTGCACTCTTTTAAGTTTTTTATGTGAATTGTAAGTGCCGTTTATGTGTGAATTACTTTCTGTGTGCATGCA